CAAGTCGGCGAAGTTAACGGCGATGGCCACAACGGTGTGGGATTGACAAACGGTAACGGTATCGATGATGCTCTCCAACAAGAGCCGGCCATACCCAAGTTCAGCTGCCTCTACGTCGATCCCCCACTCCGCCCAGAGTTGTACGAGGACCCTGACGAAGACGTTCAAGACAAAGTTCTGTTCGTATTGAACAACGTCTCCGAGCGCAACTTGCGCGACAAGATCAGCGATCTCACCGAAGCCGTCGAAGAGAGACATCACCAGTGGTTCGCAAACTATCTTGTCGAAGAGCGCGCCAAAATGCAGCCTAATTTCCAGCAACTCTATCTCGACATGCTCGACCTGTTCAACGATAAGACACTTTGGGCTGAGGTGCTCCGTGAGACGTACGCGAGTGTCATCCGTATGCTAAATACTGACTCCACGCTGGGTTCTACGGAGCGTGGCCATCTTAAGAATCTGGGTTCTTGGCTTGGTTCATTGACTATTGCCCGAGACCAGCCGATCAAATTCCGCAACATCTCATTCAAAGACTTATTACATGAGGGTTACGATACTGATCGCCTTCTTCTTGTAATTCCTTTCACCTGCAAGGTGCTTGTACAAGCTGCCAAGTCTTCCATCTTCAGGCCCCCCAATCCTTGGATCATGGAGATGCTGGGAGTCCTGATGGAACTTTACCACTTTGCAGACCTAAAGTTGAACCAGAAATTCGAGATCGAAGTCCTCTGCAAAGGCTTAGAGCTTGACCACAAGGAAATTGAGCCCACAAACAGTATCCGAGGACGACCCCCAACGGATGAAGAGTTCCTTGGATCCATGGTTCCTGAAGGATTAGAAGCATTCAGTGATCTCTCGATTATGGGCCTGAACCGTGGCGCCCGGGGTCCGAACGAACGATTCTCGTCAGCAGCAATTACGGCAGCTCTGCCCGATTTCACCAACCAGCTCCAGTACCCGCCGTCTGGAAACAGCGCGGTCCCTCCAGCGGCATTGAAGAAGATCTTCCTTACTGCTGTCAACCAAGCCATCCAGGAGATCATTGCTCCGGTAGTAGAGCGCTCTGTCACTATTGCCGCCATCTCAACATCGCAGTTGATTAACAAGGACTTTGCTATGGAACCCGACGAGGAGAAGCTTCGCAACGCAGCACACACTGTTGTCAAGGCTCTTTCTGGTGCCTTGGCCCTTGTTACTTGCAAGGAGCCATTACGCATGAGTATTCAAAACCACATCCGTGTAACAGCTAGAGACCTCCCCGACCAAGCGCTGCCAGAGGGACATATCATCATGTTTGTGAACGATAATCTTGACCTCGTCTGCAACACGGTTGAGCAGGCCGCTGAAATGTCGTCTCTTGCGGAGATTGACATGCAGATCGAGGAAGCAGTCCGCATTCGCCGAATGTTCCGCAGCTCTCGTCCGAACGAGCCATTCAAGGATGCAAACATCAGCCCATGGGCATTCTATATCCCTGAACCATACAAGCAGATGCCTGGTGGTCTGAATCGTGAGCAGCTGGCCATCTACGAAGATTTCGGTAGACAGTCACGAGGTGCTCCGCACACGAATAACACGTCCCAAGACGGTGGACGTCAGCTTCCAGACGTCCTCCAAGACCAGTTCGCAGCGGTACCGAACCTCCCAACTCCAGGTGCTGCACCAGCAGAGCCACGCCAACCAGCACAGCAAGCCCGGCTACAGAGTCTTCAAGCCCCTCATGCACCTTTGACACAACAACAACAACCAAACGGCTACATGGAAGCTCCAGGCTTGGAGCGTGGTCAGCGTGGTGTTGAGGATGTTTTGCTCGAACTGACTCGCGTTATTAAGGAGGCGCCAGAGGAACGTATCAGCGAACTTCAGCCTGGTAGCAGCAATGTTCACCAGGTTTTTGACCAGCTCATCACAAGTGTTGAGTACGCGGGTCCTAACAAGGAGACCTGGGCTTTCCGCATCGCAGGTCAAGTCACTAACCATCTCTTTTCCGACTCATTGAGCCGCTTGGAGGTCGAGGTGATGGCGCATCTGCTAAGTCATCTCTGCCAATTGTCTGTCCAGACTTCGCGGCAGGTACTTATGTGGTTGGCGACTCTACATGACGACGACAGGATTTTCAAGTCCACAGTCATGGTCGCTTTGATGGAAGTTAGCCTGATGGATATGCACCGCCTGAACACGACTATCGCCAAGGCCATTCAAGAACGACGTGTCGCCGCAGTAGAGATGCTGTCTAGCTTGATGGAGGAGCTCCTGCTTAACGAACATCCAAGTGCCTTCCGTGCCGACTTCGCCATGTCCATCGACGCTCTTACCACATGGCTAGCAGAGGACCCATCCTTCGAGCTTGGGAAGCGTGTGCTCGGCAACCTTCAGGTACCATCCAACGAGTCGATGCTTACGCCACCAGGATCCGGACACAAGGATCAACTCGAATATGTTTTCGATGAGTGGGTGCATCTCCAAATGGAAAGCATGCCAAAGAAGACAGTTGGCGCATTCATCTACCAGCTCCACCAGCAGAAGGTGATGGAAACTCAAGAATCATCCGTTGCATTCATTCGCACCTGCATCGACTCTTCAGTAGCGGCATACGAACAGGAACATTCCGCACCGTTTGGTAACGGTAACGAAGACATTGCGACCGTCAAGATCGATGCACTTGGCCGACTAGTGGTGGACCTTGTCGTTTACCAAGGCGAGCAAGACGGAACTGTCAAGGAGAGCAAGGCTAGGTATCTGGATCAGATACTCGTCGTTGTCGTGCTCGTTCTCTGCAACCATCACAGCACACGAGGCGATGCCTTCAACCAGAAGGTCTTCTTCAGGTTGTTCTCTGCCATCCTTTTCCACCTGAATGACGCGGTAAAGGAAGAGGCTCTAGCTGACCAGAAGGCCGACGTCTTCCTTGCTGTAGCCAGGGCTTTGTTGGTTCTCCAACCCTCGCACCTCCAGCGATTCACATTCTCGTGGCTGGCACTAGTTGCTCACCGTATCTTCGTACCCGCTATGCTAGAAGAGGGCCAAGGAGACAAGCGATGGGACGTCTACGCTCAGCTTATCGAGACGCTCTTGATCTTCACGGGCAAGCTCATTAAGCCCACGGGAGAGACGGTTATGGCTGAACAGTTCTACCGCGGTGTCCTGCGAGTTCTGCTAGTGATACACCACGACTTCCCTGAGTTCCTGGTCGAGAACCACTTCCGGTTCTGCAATAGTATTCCCATGCACTGCACACAACTCCGCAATCTCATCGTCAGCGCATACCCTTCCACCATCCTCGAAATGCCAGACCCGTTCACAGCTGGACTTAAGGCCGATCGACTGGAGCATGAGCTTCAAGCACCGGTCATCAGTGCCGACATAGCGCAGGTGCTTTCAGATGCAGGTATCAAGGATGCTATAGACAACCTCCTAAAGGGCTCAGAGTTGAAGAATAAGGACGTTGACAAGGTGTGCCAAGCAGTCTACTACGCAGAGGCTCAATCAGCAGCGTTTGAGCTCGTTTCTACGACAGCGAACCCAACGTTGATACATGCTATCACTCTGTACATCGGCATCGCGACTCTAGGCACCGGGCCAGCTAGCGTTCCGATCTTTGATGCAGAGAGCCCAGCTACCAAGGTCATTGAGAGGCTTGTTAAAGACTTCCACCCGGAGGCCAGGTTTCACTTCATCAGCGCCATCGCGAACCAGCTCCGCTTTCCGAACACTCATACTCATTTCTACAGCTACACGCTGCTCCACCTCTTCGGACCCCCTAACGACGATTCGCTCGCATTGGAGATCCAAGAGACCATTACCCGCGTGTTGTTAGAGCGCCTGCTAGTCCACCGCCCACATCCCTGGGGACTCATTATCACGCTGTTGGAGATCTTGAAGAACCCAACCTACACGTTCTGGGACTTGCCGTTTGTCAAAGCAGCTCCTGAAGTACGTAATCTTCTACTTGCTTTGCTGTCCAACCATACTGACTCGTCTTCTTCTTTTGAAGGTTGAGCGGTTGCTTAATGCACTGTTCACGCATGCGCAGGCGAGTCCGCGTCCGCTGGCTTAGGCGGCTGGTGGTAGGAACTCGGAGTTTTGCAGCAGAGTGTATTTGGTGGGTACTAATAACCTTCCTCCGTTGTTTTTGAGGAAGACTTAAGTAGTTGATCTTCTTCCTTTTTCCTATGTGGGCATTCGGGTTACTTCTCAACCTGCTTACGGGTATTACGACTCCTATTGGGCTGGCCGACAAAAAAAAAACAAGGGGGTTAATGACACGTATGTGGATGGGACCTGAGATGAGCATGGGAACGCAGAAGATGATGTTCGCGGTTTTTGGTATCGTTTTCTATTTCTGGTCCATGATACAAAAGCACGGAGTTCTTCGGAATCGTCACTTGGGGGTATTGCTATACCATTCATGGGGATGCTGCGTTACTAGTCATGTTCATTGCTGTCGCGCATTTCTTGTAGAATAAGCATTGCGAGGCGAATACTTTGTACTGGGTGGATGAGGCGCTCAATGCGAGGTTTTTTACCGTCAAGTGCATACTTTGTAGGATATTATGAATGATGTTTCCTGCTTCGTCCACGTCGTTTTGGTTTCTTGGTCTGTCTGCTTGTGTAAGCTGTGTATCGTGAAGGTAGTGTAATATAAGGATGTGAAGAGAAGGGAAGGTGAGATGGGTATGTATGTTGCAGCTGCTCTTTTCACTTCTCTGTCAGTTCTGGGAGGCGCGTTATCAGTCGTCTTCACCTGTCAACACAGTGCATTACGCAAACGCACGCAGCAGCAGCAACAACAACAAACAGATGCCTTTTCACTTCTCACCACTCAACCGCCGCGACAACGAGTCCAGGCTCGGCCTTCGCCACGTTCGCCTCTACTTGGCTCTTTCCTCTTACTCGGCTTTTTTCTGCCCACAAAACGGTTGTCGTGCTCCTCTCACTCTCAACCGCTATCGCAATCGCTCTTGGAGCTTCCACCTCTTGGGATTCATTATAACGACACGATGACTTCGCAGCTTCAGATTGACGCATCGCGTTCCCCAGGTTACCCCGTAGCGTATTTTCTCTGCGATGGCGTTACCGACGCTAAGACTCTCAAGGTGAGTTCTGTTTCTATTACTGCATTTGCTTGTTGGCATGGATGGAGGAATTTTAGCAGCAGCGTTTGCCGTTGAGGTGTACGCCACCACATTCAATATCCTTTGAATTATTCGGGACAACTCTTCATTCTCGCACACTTGACAACTCACTATCCTCGCTAACACTACAAATTACCCTTTCAGACCGCGCTCTCCCTCTCGCGCACACCCAAGCTCCGCAAAGCGCGTGTTGAAGATTACCGCCGCTCCGTCCGTTCAGGCCACGGGGCTAGCACACTAGCATTCGACGCCCGCAATTGGGGCGAGTGGTGCGGCACAGAAACCGTCAAAGGTGTGCTTTTCGAGGCCATGTGTTTGGAGGAGGAAAGGGCACTGATCCAGTATGTGGGTGGAACTGGAGAGGTCAAGACCGAGACGATTGAGGTTGCTTGCTCGAGTCTGCTGGGCAAGGTGGGGATGATGAAGAAGATAAGGGGCAGGATATTCGTGCCGGAGGTAAGCCAAGGGTGGTAGACTGTATGGAAGAATTGTGCTGACGGGTTGTTTCAACTGACAGGGCGATGGAGATACACTCGTAGGAAGTACGAGGAGCGTCATGCATAGCGCAAGGAGGCTAGAGCCGGATGAGACCCTTACAGTTGCCAGCAGTGGCAGGTCGGCTGAGGGTTCGGCTATGGAGCAAGAGCCTAACAGCGGTGACTTCTCCGAGACAGGCTCGATAGCTGTTGTTGACGGACATCCGACACCACGCATATCGCCTTCGATCGCGACATTGCACGACACGGATGTTCCACACCAGTCTCTCGATGAGCTTGCGTTAGCCGACAGTGACGAGTATTTGGAGCCTCTCGCTTACGAGCATCCAGCTGATCCGAAGATTGAGACCAAGGACTGGGCGGCGACTAGCGAGGTTCCGACTACAGGGATCGATGACATCAAGGATACTAGGGTCTACCAGGAACTCATGGAGATGCAGGAACCTAGCAGGGTTGAGGCAGTCGAAGGTCCAAGCGAGATTGAGACTCCGCAAGTCAGGGACATCAAAGATACCAAAGTCTTCAAGGCAATTATGGAGGCTAAGGGACCTCAGGAGGTCGAGGCGGTCGAGGAGGCTCAAGAGATCACCGAGACCACCGACATCGATGAGCCGTTTCACATGGAGGAGATCAAAGAGATTGACGACATCGACAACGGCAGGAACATTCAGGTCGAATCCGAATACCAGCGGTTTCTTCTAGTAGAGCAAAGAAGATCAAGGGCTGTCTCGATGAACACGTTCATCTCTGGTACAAGCACCGCGATCGATGATGAGCGAAGCGTGTCAGCGTCCGCGACACAGCCATGGTCTCCATCCACCCCATGGCGAAAGGAGCATGCCACCGCACCTGTCCGTTCAGTTCTCACACCGGTGTCTCCCAGCCAGTCTATGGGAACTGCTACTCGTATGCGGAAGACTAGTGATAGCATCAAGTTCTTGGTTGGAAAGTTCGAGAACTTGACTCCTCAAAACACCCAGAGCAAGGGTGCTTGATCGGCGCGAGGACTCCGTATGGTATGCGACAACACCGTTAGACAGTGCTACGTCTTCGATGGAAAAGAAGTTATATACGCATCTGGATGTTTGGAAAAGTATAAAGTGGACGCTATGTCCGCTAAGCGAGGCGTTTCGGCGTCTTCTTGTACTTTTCCAGCTACGCTACGCGTATATCCGCTTGCTCCCCTGTTTGCTTCTTTGCTTTATGTCCAGAGTATATCGATGCAAAACGACATGCTTGTTTGCTATGTCTCCCGATATCCTCGTCTTTCTCGCATGCTGTAATCACACCATCAACAACTTCCAAACTCTTCGCAGCCGGCGCTGCCTAGCTTGAAGGTTGTCAACGCTGAGCCGTAGGGCTCAAGCCTACGCGCCTTCAAAATCGCCAATTCCTCCAACCTTTCGATCAAGATAGAAAGAGAAACCCAGAGAATGTGCTGCTGTTATTCGGTTAATACTGCGTGCTGCATTGACCCCGCCTTCCCAAACATAGCTAGGCTGTGTAACTTCAGGCAGCCAGTCACCACGTTGTATTTAATCTGTTTTCCGGCCTTGCGACTGTTATCTTCTCTTTCTCTTTTCTCCTCTTGAATCTGCCTACATCGTGAGACCAACGAGCAGGTTTTGAGTAGTATTTGGAGAATTCGGAATTTCAACCCCTTTTTTGCTTACCTCATTCAAGTTACCCCTCCTCTCGACCCACTTGACGCTATGCCTACAGTCGTCATCAAGCCTGGTGCCACTATCTTTGTGACGGGTGTCAATGGGCTTATCGGAAGCCATATTGTCGATCAGCTGCTGAAGCGAGGTTACAATGTTCGCGGTGCGGTCAGGCAAGTCCAGAAGCACGGATATTTGATCGAGTACTTCAACGACAAGTACAAAGAAGCAAAGTTCGAGCTGGTCGATGTGCCGGATATGACAGCCGAGGGATGCTACGACAAGGTCGTCCATGGTATGTCGAAATTAGGCTCGCTCCTGATACGCCCAGCAAAGCTAAGCTGTCTTGATCTCTAGGTATCGAAGGATTCATCCACGTCGCTTCACCCATCGGAGGCATCTCAGACGCCCACGAAGCGATTGCGCTTGCCACTAACGCAGGCCTGAATGCACTCAAGGCTTGCGCAAAGGTCCCTTCGTGCAAAAGCTTCGTCTTTACATCATCTTCCCTTGCTGCAACGTTTCCCCACCCCAACGTTGAGTTCTCAATCGACGAGAATACCTACAACGACGAAGCATTGAAGATTTTGGAGAAAGAACCGGGCAAACCAGGATTGTTCGTCTACGCAGCCATGAAGACGGAAACCGAGAAGGCGATAATGAGATGGATGGAAGAGAATCAACCCGATTTCGTACTCAACCGCATCGTAAGCAGAGTCTCTCCCCTACTAGAAAGAATGGCGCTAACATTAAAAAATAAGTTGCCAAACGCAAATTTTGGCGCTGTCTTGATGCCTGAGCACCAAGGCTTTCCTTCAACCATTGAATGGGCCCACGATGCTTGGAAAGGTATACAGTCGGAGAGATGGACAACTTCCGTTGGACCACAGTGGTACATTCATCCTGTCGACGATGCGCTTCTGCACATCTCCGCATTGATCCATAGCGATGTGAAAACGGAACGTCTCTTCGGTTTCGCAGAGCCGTGGAGCTACAACAAGATGATGGACATATGGCGTAAGCTTTACCCCGAGAGGAAATTCCCGAACAACATCGAGGGCATGGGTGTTGATCGGATGAGCTTGCCAAACGCCAGGGCTGAGGAGGTGATGAGCTGGTTGAAAGGACCGGGATCGAAATGGGATAGCCTTGAGAAGGGATTGCGGGAAATGACTGAGAACTGGGATTGAGGGAGCTTCCTTCTTTGTATGTTTGCCAATTTGGGTGATGCTCAGGTCTTGTCGCTCCATTGGTGGAATGCATGGTTTTGGTCGCCACACATACTCCAGCTATCCAACTAGACATTGTGATCCCATTGCGACCTTGGAGAGTCGTTAGTTTGAAAACCGTAACGTCGCTACTGGAACCGTGAGATGAGAATGACTGTGCCACCGCTTTGCCAACATGACCATAGTTGTAGTGTTGCCTGTGCCGCCTCGTCAGTCAATGCCTCAAAAAGACACTCCACTCGTACCTCCGCAATCATTCGCCGGCAGGAATATGTTTCCTTTCCCTCCAGTCCATAATGCGAAAGTGTTTGCGCAACATGAAGATGAGAAATCTCGAAGCGCGGCCGCGGTAAACCTACCCCGTACCTCAAGCCACCACAACCGCATGACCGCTCAGGGCGCAGGAAAATTAGACCCTTGTCCCCCGCAGGCACAGACTAAGAAACCCAAGATACGCGGGGGAGGAAAGTCGGGGTTGGCGAAAACAAGCCGCCAAGTCGCGGGGTCATTCGTGGAGAAATGCCGCCGACTGTGACCAACGCGAGGCGTTCACTTGGCGACGCATCTCATAGTCTGGGGATTCATCGGTTAAAGATGCGCCAAGTCTGTTACACCACCGTCCTCGCATCGTCACTCGCGGAAAGTACATGGATGACATTTCTTCCGCTGGCTTGGGGGCGCAGATGCTGGGGTAGCTTTGGGGAAGCTATGCCCCGGTGCAGCTACACGAGCATATCAGAAGAGATGGTAGCAGGATTTCGCGCGGGATCGCGTGTGGAAAGTGTGCGTGATGAGGCTTCTGGACGGACGGAGAGCTGGGCGAGAAAGTGGTGTGGGAGATATAAAAGCTAGGGCAGTTGCATGCGTTGTAAAGTACCTCTCCTGCACCTCTGCAGTTCTCAATTGACCCAGAATCTCGGTCACAAGAGTTCAATTCCTCTCACAATCAAGATCCAGTCGTCAAGATGAAGCTGTCTACCTCTGTCATCCTCCCTCTTCTTCCTGCCCTCTCAACGGCGGCAGTGATCCGTCGTCAAAACGGTGATGGACCACAAGGAAGCACAGACTCAACTCAGGGCGACCTCGGCGCGCGACCTCCTCCGCGATTCCCATTCCCGGTTACCAAGTTTCCGGTGCCAACTGAGACTGTTGTTCTCAACGAGACCATGTACATCGGTCCTGGTCAGGTCTTCGATGGCCAGATGAAGCGATACGAGCGCGAAGAAGGATCATGCAACGAGCAGGCGGAAGGAACTGACGCTGATGCTGTCTTCAACCTCTTGCCCGGAGCCACAATCAGGAACGTAGTCATTGGCAAGCACCAGAGCGAGGGTATCCACGCGCTGGGCGATGCTTGGGTCGAGAACGGTATGGTCCCTAAACCTGAGTTGATCGCACTGGCATACTGACAATCCTACGACAGTCTGGTGGGAGGACGTTTGCGAAGATGCCCTTACTTCCAAGGGTCTCAACACTCAGCTCCGCGTCATCGGAGGCGGTGCGCGAAGCGCAACCGACAAGATCTTCCAGGACAACTCGCTAGGTGGAAAGGTCAACATCACCGGTTTCTTCGCCGAGACCTTCGGTACCTTCTACCAATCGTGTGGCAACTGCTTGAACCAAGCGAAGCGCAATGTTACCATCCAGAACGTTATTGCCATCAACGGTACCCGCATGGGCATAGTGAGAATCCATAATTCCTTCTCTTCAGATGTCGCATAACTAACGCGTTTCCAGATTTCACCCAACTACGGCGATGAGTACCGCATCAAGGACGCACAGGTCGCTGACGTCGAGCGCTGGGTCGACAAGGAGATTGGAAACAACGTTCAAACTGTCCCATACACTGTCGGTACAGGCCCTGATGAGAAGTACGCGCTGTACAACCTCACTCGCGACCACCTTACCGACTACGAGGGCGAGATCTTGAACCAATACACTCCTGAGGACCCATATGAGTGGCTGGATGAGTTCTGGCCAGAGGGTACTGGTGCCGCGAGGAAGTAGAGTGTTGAAGTGATGATCTCGATGAGATAGTCAATAATGATAGAATTGAATCACGATAATGTTTTGTAGACCAAAACCTGTATCTGCATCGGAAAAAGATCTTTTCGGATGCCACGCTTACTGTGTTCAGCCTCGTTCGTACTTGTGGCGTGCCGCACCGGTGAGTCCGGATGCGGGTGGCAGCTATAGCAGCTGCATCATCGTCATCAGAGAACGCAGCCTCCAAAAGCCACCGCCCGGAGATGATGCGGAATGCCGAGAGATGTGATGGGGATTGCACGAGCGCAAGCCTGTCTAGATGTCGCCCGGCAGATTTAGTCTCGAAGCGGACAAGGGCCGCGAAAGCACAGACACCTCAACACCCGTCCCGCTCAGCCTACGTCCTCCAAACTACTCTCTTGCCGCGAAAATGGAGGCGTACAACAAGGCTGAGTCTGATATGACAATGCCATTGGATCAGCATATGTCGCTTACGCGCTCACAATCTACGCTACAGCTCGAGAGTGGCTGACCACTGCCTCACTGCGCCCGCATAGCGATTCTCAGCCTCAGGCATGGTACGCCTCCAAAACTTCAAGGTCGGATAAGAGTCAGTGCTTTTCCTGCCGTTGCTGTTCGTTGCGGCACGATTCTACGAAGTCTTGTTAGGGATATATCTTATCAAACTGACTTATACTACTAAAGCCTCCCCCAGCCTTCAAGCCCCATCACCACGCCATTAGGCGTTTGGTGCTGGGGACCCTGCGAATCGTCCATCAATCGTCAACCCAAGCCTCCAACTCCGCTATTACTCGCACATCAGTGCTTTTCTTCAGTCCAGGATCGCAATCCTGTTACTCTCAATCTCGCTGTCATTCCAAGTCGTCCGGCGAGGACCAATAGTCTTCGCCGCCCGCCTTCCTTATCCCACCAAACCCAACATTCTCTTGTCAATTATCGAAATTCAGACTCTTTGTTTCCCCTCATGAAGTCGAGTACGACATCAATCCCTTCATTCATGCAAAACACCTGCCTAACAGCATACCGTCGCGCGAGCCAATCGCCATCACGGAACCAACCAACGAACCTGACGTCATCCCCGCTCAGGAATATCCTCCTCAAACCCCTCTAGCAGATTTGGACGAACAGTCAGTTGAAGCGCAATCAAACCAGGTCTTGGAAGAATCTTCCGACTTTCGGTCCACAGTCGATCTCACAGATCACAGCCTCGTTTCATCTCCTGCCACGCTTCCAAACGAAACAGGCATCGACACAGCACCGCTTCTACAACACTCCATCAGTTCTGAAAGCACACCTGTCACGGGTACTTGGACGCCTCCTTCGAACGACGGCACGGCTGACACCGAGCCGTGTGAATTGGTGCCATCCACCCGATACGCCAGTCCTAGCGTACATCAAGCCATCGCGGGACAACCCTCACGTTTCGCAACACCTGTTGAAGATCAACGTACATACGATGGATCCACTACATGTGGCTACTGCGGCATTATCTTTCACCGAGTTTGCGACCGAAAGTAAGTATCAAACGTAGAACACAATATAACTATCAAGCTAATCATTTCGTCCTTAGTAATCACGTCCGTCGAAAGCATGAAAGAAGTCATCGCTGTACGTACTCGGGTTGTTCCAAAGCCTTCGGTCTCCGCGCAGATCTGGAAAGACATCGCCAAAGTCATCAGTCACTCGGAAACCGACGTAGCTTTCGGTGCCCCGAACCTGGTTGCGGAAAGTCGTACCCAAGAAAAGACAACATGCGAAAGCACTATAGGATCAAGCACAGACGACCTTTCCATGCCTACCTTGTGGTTTCCAGAGCTTCGCCATTCTCATTGTGGAAAACGGCAGCTCCTCGAATCCTACTTTAAACGGCAGTCTTCCCGGACGACATCATCACACACTATCTGGATAGATGCCTCGTGCATTGATCGGGATAGTATGAAAGGGGTGTATTATCTGTTAGTAGAAAACGGCCAGATCCATCCGAACACTTCCATAGTCGTCCGGTCGCTTGAGGGCGGAGTATCGTGGCGACGCAATGCTGTTGTACTGGATTCCATGGACCGCTTTAAGTTAGCATACCAGCGCCAGCTTGCACATGCTCCCGTCGATCAACCTCTGAAATCGGATTTGATTAACTCAATTCTTTCATGGTTGAATATCGACACCTACAAAGAATGGATGTGGTATAGGGAGCATGTAAAATTCAAGTCCCGCACCCCTGCATCCTCTTTCGCCTATATGGCTCCCAACTCTTGGAGGCAGGAGGATGAAGTGCCACCTAACTTCCGTACTCCCCCTACCAACACCTTACCCAACACTGTATTTTCGGACTTCGTTTCAGGGCATGAGGACGAAGTGACACCCACTTTCCGTACTCCACCTGCCAACACTTCGCCCTACACTGTGTTTTGGGACTTCGATTTATATGGGTATGAGGAGCCCGTAATTCCCACTTTTCGATCTCGTCCGCTTTTCTATGGACTCCATCCTGTTCGACTTGGCATTGGTTAGGTCCCCTGTTGGCCTTCAACTTGGCTTTCTAGTTGAGATCGCCTGCCAGGTGAGACTGAGGTGAGCAGCTACCGCCTGAAATATACCCGAGTAAAGTTATCGGCAAACCCACGGCCTGGGGTTTTATCGAACGTGGTGAAGGCCAAGCCTGGACTCGCTGTCGCCGCCGCTGAGTGGTGACCTCCTTCTGCTTCCCTTTATATGTACTATCGCTTGTGTCAGCACTTCCGGCGAAGGCCTGCTGGATAGGAGGTCTTGGTTTCGCTGCGATATCGCATGTTTTCCCTAAGAAAGAAAGAAAACCCTCGCAAAAAAACACAATTTTGAATTTTCGCGCATGTGCACCCAACTATAGCCAGTCTCTACCTAGTTAGTCTTGTTGCCATTGTTAATACAAAGAGTCTCAAAAAAAAAGCCTGGTTCCAAATAACTCCAAGTGCCTTTTGCTGAAGACGAGAAGAGCAATCCGTCTCCTCGACTTGACTAGACTTGCTTTCGAAGCAAACTTGGAAAAACTGCGCCAATTCAAGGATTGTTCTTCCCGAATAGATCGCTACGATCTGTATTGACTGATAGCGCGACTGTATCGTAAGCTTTTTCGCGATCAGTCTTGTCCCCACCATCTCGCCGTAGCTCGTCGCTTCCTCCGCAGACCTACCCCACCTAAAAATTTCTCTCACATCACGTCCCGCAGCTCCGCCCAACACCAACGAACCTCACGATACGCCAAATTTCCGGTTTGACAGCTTTCCAATTATATCTATTGTTATAATGATACCGTTTTTCCATATTCTCATCAAGCAACCAACCAATCACATGGTTAGGTGAGATGGCCGAGTTGGTTATGGCGCCAGGTTAAGGTTATCTTAACACATATTCCTGGTCACGAAAGTGGCGTGGGTTCGAGTCCCACTCTCATCAGCATTCGTCTGGCTTCAGTCAGATACCCCAGGTTCTTTTTTTGCCAATTATTGGTACATCACTGAGCATAAAGGTGAGGACGAGAGGCGGAGGAAGGGAAGAAGAACATTGCTCCGCTTCGAGTTGGCACACTTCTTTTTTGTGTCTTGGAGGTTATCAGCTTAGCGAATGTAACCATTAGAATTGAAGACTATCGTCTAACATTCATTTGCTATGGGTACCTACAGTACACGCAAACCGATCTTACATCTCCAATGTCCCAATCCTACTCCCCACATTCCCACTATCCCCCCAAACCCCATCGCCTACCCTCCTCCTCACCATAGCCAAAACATCCTGTCTACCCCCTACCTCCTCCAATTTCCTGCCCAGCGTCTTCAGCACCTCGAACTTAGCCGTCGCAACGATATACGCCGCATTCTCCGCATCACCCCTGCCACCAACAAGGTTCGAAAAAGTCGTTGCTGGCTTCAGTAATGAAGGAAGGACACCCCCGCTTATTGTAGGGTCCAAGATGACGTCGACACCGGATTTGGGAAAGGCGTTTAGACGGGCATATGTTGGGTCTGTTGGCGGAATATCAGGGAGAGCAGCGGTAGACCAAGATGACGTGATGAGAGCGCCGACAAGCGTCAGAGCCGCCAGCGCGTTCTCCTGCATAGCGATAGTCTCCATGTGATTTGTTATATCAGCAAACATGTTTGGTTTCTTGCTGTAGAAGAGCGCAGTGAGTATCCTCGCATACGCTGCTTCCGTCTCCCTGCGCTTCGCATCCTGGCCTATAGCTTCAGTTTGCGGGAAAGTGAGTTCTTCTTTCGGCGGGCCGTGGAAGATGGCAGCGAGGGTTTTCAACGCGTCTTGGTTTGTGCGTGTGATGGGCATGTCGGTGATGACACAGTCGTCCCAGGCTAGACCTGAAGCGCGACGCGGGATGAGTGTTGAGCGGGGCATTGAGGCAATGATGTTGAGGTTGCTGGCTTCGCACTTGCGGATGTTGCGGTGGACGTAGTTTCGGATGACGGGCATTTCCTCGCTTTTCTCAAAGTTCTCGGGGTAGTGCGATGCATAATCGCTAATGTATTGTGCTGTTCGGCTGCTTAAGAAAGAATGGTCGAGGCTGGGGTTCTCGGAGGTATGGAAGTCGATGATGCCTTTGTGCACGCCTTCTTCTTTCAGAAAGTCGAGAGCGAGACTTGAGTCGTAGTGTGAGAGATGGGGCTTTGTCTTGACCGTAATGATGAGTGTGCTGTAAAATTGGAGTAGGGTCATGTGCATGAGCATGTCGTCCTCAGTGTCCACCATTTTCAGGGCGGCGTAATGAAGCAGACCCTGACCTTCCTTCAATCCGGCCTCTTTCTCAACATCGAGGCCGTACGTGGATGCTATGGCATTCCAGTCCATAGCGGCAACGCGTGGTAGCCACGACAACAGCCTAGCTTGTGAGATGGTCTTATCACGCTTGTTCAAAAGTGGAGGAGGTGGCGACGTGAGCTGTTTGAGAGATGTGTAATGGTAGTACAGCGAACTGATGTCTCGATCACTCAACAGGCGCCTCCACATAGGACCAGTGCCGTATGTATGCAACGAAGACTTGCCATCTATTGACACGGGTTCGTTTTTCGACACTTTCAGCAGTGAGGTAAGAAGATCTTCGGCCTGGTTTGCAACTCCCGCATCATGGGTGCACAGCCACAGACGAACAATGGCCAACATGACTGCCGGCCGATTCGCAAGTGTTTGGGCATCGGTGCTACTTGTGGTGGCCTTTTCGAGTAATGTGAGGATCAGATTGTGGAACGGGGTGGCCTGCAGGTCCAAGCCAATCTCGAAGTCGATGTCCTTGATATCGTCGAATCGGTATGGCTCAGCCAACTTGACGATGAAATGAGTGAGTGGCGCAGGGTCTTGTTGAAGCTTTGGCAGTAAGGCTGCTATCTGTAGGAAGAGAGGCCTTGACTCCTTCCATATTTGGTTTCGATACTCTGGCGTGTTGATGGAAAGCTCGCATCGCTCAAGTAGATCTGTGTCGAGTGGAGCGGCCGGATCTTGGTCGATCTTTTGCAGATGCTCTGACAGTTCGGTGAGCGTAGTAGTTGAGGCGGCCATTTCGGACGTTTGTATGTAACACTTTAAAAGCGAAACTTGGATGAGCTGAACGGTGATGTTCGATAGTAGCCCTGGCTGGGAGCGTGGCGGTTACTAAGGACTGTAAGAAGGTTCTAGGCCGCTCATGTGATTGCGCGTAGAGGTCGAATGCACGCGTTCCCTGTAGCCTGGTGCACGATGCTGGCGTCGCAGTGCTGACTGGACTTGTTCGACTATGAAACTTTTCGAGGTTGTTCGGCTACTCAGCGATAATCATTCAATCTAGGCTTGTAGACGGCCTGGTCCTTGTGACTTTGTCGTAACGACTTCGGGTACTAGTGTGGTGTTCATGTAGTGAGGTGGCGGGGCTTTGGGTACAAGTTCGGTTTTGGGGCCCCACCCTCAGCCTCAGTCGTGCTAGCAGAGGCCGCGGTCCCAGCTGTACCGAAATAATTTCTGACTCCACAACTCTCTCCAATCTCTCATTCGACGACACTTGACGACTGTTTAGAACGTTTCGCCAGACGTGCATCAATCCTCCAGTCAACCGTAAAAGACAGACATGGCGGGAAGAGGAGGAAGAGGAGGTGGACGCGGAGGCGCGCGTGGTGCCTTCAATCCCGCACGAGGAACCGTGACGATTGCCGGAACTGAGCTCAACTGGGATCTGACTGGCCTCGACATCCAGAAGGGGCCTGCCGAGCGCTTTCCAGTGAGCATCTCTCTTTCTTCCGGCGCATGTCCCTCGCCCCTGTAGCTGCTGCTGCTTTGCGCGTCGTCGCAGTCTTCCGGTAGCATTGCGCATTTGTACATAATGTTGTCGCAATCACCATGCTTCGCCAGTCGCCGTCGCAGCAGTCTACCAGCACCACGCACCTCAAGAGCGCATCCTTGATTCACCCACTAAGCCATGCACAGGAAGCACCTCCACCCCAAGCGCCTCCACCAACCGACAGTGAGCTCGGCATGGTCAAGCACCACCTCGCAGTCCGCGACCGCATCCACGAAGGCCCCTTCTACACCATCCTCAACGACGGCATGAAGAACGGGCTGAAGCGAAAGGCCAACGAGCCTGCACCCACCGAAGCCTCGCTCTTCGATCCCTTCACTGGAAACCAGACATACTCGGCCAAGTACCTCAAAGTGCGGAGGAGACTACCAAAGTTAGATGCGCGGCCATACGGTGAGTTGGAATGAACAAGGCCAGAAAGGGAACTCAGCGCTCATTCACACAACAGTCGTCGATCTCTTCCCCGCAGAACTCCGTCCCACACTAGACGGCACACGAGCCGACTCCACCTCGACCAAGAAGCGCAGGACGCTCGGCGTCACAAAAGTGAACGGTCTATCCCAGATTGAGCGCCTAATCAAGTCCGAACAAGAACGCACAAATGAAGCAGAAGCCCGCGCAGAAGAAGAGGCAGACGACGAGGACGCCGAAGAAGACGAGGAAATCGACGAGGATAAACCCGATGCCGTTGATGAGGAAGATAATTGGTCGGCTGCGAGTACGGACTCGGAGGAATCGGATGACGATTATAATGCCGAGCAATACTTTGACAACGGCGAGGACGATGATATCGATGATGCCGATCCTTATGAGAATACGTATGAATAGATCTAGGGAGCGCTGGCGTTTAGTTAGGCATAGCACGGCGTATGGATGGCATATCGCGGCAAGTAAGCGAGAGAGCATCATAGGCGTTCAGTTGAGTAGATACCCCAAATTTACATTCTTAACCAGTCACCCGATTGCACGATGCCGGTTCGTGCACCATATCTGACACAATCTCATATGATGGAACCATCAAATAAGTAAAGAAGGTCACTGGTATGTGGCATTAATAACTACGTAGTCTGTCCGTGTAGACTTCCTGCAGTCCATCAACTTGCATTACCTAATCGTGCATATAGGTCCGGTGCTTCTCCCTCGCGTGCTTCAGTCTCGCATCGCTGCGAGCAAAAAAATACTGGGACTCTCGACTTCGTGGTTAAGAAAAGGGTGCTGTTTTTTTTCTTTTGCCTTGGTTTGGGTGTGTTTTTTTGTGTTTTTTTTTGTCGTCTGCTGTCGTAGGAAATTGGTTGTACTGCTGACAGGATGTCCCAATCTCGTACGTGATACGAGAATAAGCAGGTTCGGTGTGCATTTGAGGGAAACCCGCGTGGAGAAGGGGAGACAAATTGCGAGGATTCCGATGGGTTCTCGAATCTTGGGCACGTTGTGAGTTGTTCTCTCCCTTCCGGTGCTGTGTGGAGCCTCACATGGGAGACATGTCGTCTCTTCAAAGAGCCGCGAGCATGACGGCTCAGGTCGGGCTGATTCCGTGTAACCCGACAATGGGGGGAGACAGGCGCAATGTCGCTGTCAAACCCCCCGATTGCAATTTCTGGGACTCTTACATTTGGGCTGATTAAGAAAGTAGGGAAGATGTAGGGCTTGTAGATTGTGGCCTCGATATGCTCTAGGTCTGCTTCTGGTTCTTCGTACGTTGTTCCGAAGAAGGTTTCGAAGAAGCGGTTAGAAAGCCAAGAATGCGCCCGTCTCGAGGTTAGGTAATGTTCGGCGGTAATGTTTCCGAAGGTGTCTGTGTAGTTTGTAGTCTCGATATGCTCTAAATCTGTTTCTGGGGCTTCGAACGGTGATGCGAAGAAGTCGTTATCTGGGCAAGACGGATTCGAGTACACGTAATGATCAGCGGCGGTGTTTCTTAAGGTGTCTCTGTAGATTGTCGTATCGTGTGAAAAGTCTTCGACAGCCAGGAACGTTGCACAGAAATCGCTCATGCGTTGCTGATGTTTGGTGCGTCTTAATGTGCCGGTTCAGATCAGTTCGAAGACTGAACGCTTTCGAACAGTCGTCGATAACGCACTTGTAGCGTCGTCGGTGCTTTCGATTGACGTGTTGACTTTGACATCAGTCAGATGACGTGTTCTTGATATTGTGGTCATACATACTTGAGGTCGCAGTGCCGATTAAAGGTATCTCCACAGGCGCTGCAAGATAGCTCGTAGGCCCTATCTGTGTTGCTGTGTTCGGAGCGTGTTGACTGTTCTGGAAGTGGCGAGGCTGACGAGAGGCTATTGTTTAGAGTGTTTTCTGGAGTAGGGAGATTATTCGAATATGACTGCTCATCAACTACCAATGAATCGTTGTCGTCGAGGCTGCTTCTAGAAGTAGCTGGAGTGATCGAATGGAACTGTTCTTGCGATATGAACGAGTTGTTTTTGTTGTTTTTGTTGGTTTTGTCAAAAATTGGACTGACAAAAATTGGACCTGGTATTTCGTTTTCGGAAGATGTCTTGCTATGAAGATACCGTTTGTGTATCACAGGATTTAGGTCCTTTTCAAAAGCGAAGGGGCTGAAAGAAGAAACAGAAAGTGAATCGTCGCGAGAGAGTCCAAATCTCGAAAATGACGAATTGAAATGTGACGGAAGGGTGATAAGAAGGGGTAAAGGCGAAGACTACGTTGGCCTTCGCCCAAGGCTGGCTATGTAGGGTAGGCGCGAAGCCTCAAGGTGCGCAACCCAAACGCCTTGCGGCGCGATGGTATGGGCTTGTGAGACTGCGATTCGGGGTTGGTATGGAGTTGACTTGTGAAACAGGCTTTGGATGAAATTGATTCTTGGTGATAGGATGGGAGGAAAAGACTTCATACAGCGGACGCAAGACTACCTTATATGCCAGAGCCGTATCTGGAGGCATAGAACGGGACGAGGCTGAAACTCAGCCAGCGTATTGGTCCGTAGCATGCATGCGCCTGCATATTGTCCGGCGGCTGCAGTCTGTTCTGTCATCATTCTATGCCTCTGCAGTTCATTGGACCAAGGTTGCTGGAGGCGTAGAGTGGGGTGTCGTGGAGGTCGGACATGTCGGAGAGTTGGTAGCATCGTGACCGGAACTTGAGGTTGCACTCGGCTGTGGGTAAAAGTCGAGCGCCCTTGGGTGGCTGCTTAGTGAGGACTACTCGAGTTTTCCCTATAACGACGTGGTTGGACAGCCCTGAAGTTCCTGTTGGTTCAAGTGTATCACAAACAGCTCTTCACATGCATAATCTAGAAGTATTGTGCTTAACGAATTGTTTTCCTCATGTTTTCTCTCCTTTCAGTCTAACGAAGACGCTACATGCCACTAGACATCCATCATCTTCAAGCCATACCTGTTCACATGCATTCCCTTTATCCCTCACATCTGCCAAAGATAATCCAAGTATTACTGCTAGATTTTCCGTTGCAACAACGCAGCACTGTCCCTTCAAAAGCCCCCGCTCCTTTATGCAAGCAATATGTTTAACTCCGATAACACCAGACGTCCCGAATTCTCCACAAAGAAAGGATTGTAAACCATGGGCTTTCAAAAAAAAAAATCGCTCCCATATATCCCCTCTTTCACTCCCAACGCACCAGAAAGCGCCAATCCATCGGATCTTTTTATAAAGGAGTGGAAAAAATATGGACAGATGTGAAGGTTGCGTTGATTAGAAAAAACAAGGAATGAGTTGCCGTTATCGTAACCGCAGTGATGCGTATCGAGTCTTGCGTTTTTGTGTATCGGGGATTTCCGTATATCGTACATGTATATCTCGTACGTGTGCAGCAAAAGGTGCTTCATCTACCAGATACCAAACTGGTAGGTGAAGTACAGCATCGAACCGAGTGTAGTTCCGGTGGTCAGGAGCATAGTTCCGAGGGTCATTTTCTCGGTGAGGGAGAGCGCGCCGTTGCAGTTGGGGCATGTGTAACCATCTATCATTCGTTAGCATTTACTCCCTGACACAAAAATCGAAAATGGAATCCAAACTTACCCTTGAGCGAAATGTACTCCTGGGGCAGGTACATGCCGAAAGTGAAGCCAGTGAAAGCACCCAGATAACCCGCCCTCGGCGCCGCAGTAGCACTGAGATCAGAGTCGTAGATGAGCAGCTTGTAGTTCTCCGTCAAGAATGGCGCCTGGCCCTCTGGCGTTTCCTTCGTGTTCCAGAGAACTTCCGTCTCGGTGGCGGACATGTTGACGGAGATGGTGTAGGTAGCTTGGTTGGCGGTGCAAGAGGCAAGAACATCGATAGCCGTGGGTGTCACAGAGAGCGAGGTGTAGTTCCATGCAAATGTGACCCAGTCGCCGACCTTGTAGAATTGCGTTCCGGCAAGGGCGTTGGGGGTCACCATTGTGAGGCCTCCGGCGGGTAACCGGGCGTCGAAGCTGGTGGACTTGGAACCCTTTCCAGTTGTCTTGGAGCCGGAGGGCTTCTTTGTGCCGCTTGCTGTCTCCTTTGCAGTGTTGGAGGCGTTGTCTCCGCTGCTGCTGTTGTTGTCGTTGTTGTTATCGTCGTTATTGTTGTTGTCACCGGTTGCGGTCGGTTCTGCGGCGGCGGATGTTCGTGCGGGTTGTGTGCTGGCGGGTGCATCTGAGGAGGCGTTGTCGTTGTTGTCATTGTTGTTGTCTAAACCATGCCATCAGTACCAAGTCATTCGATCACAAGTTTAATCGACATACTGTTGTCCTGACGTCCAAGAAGCACGTTCTTGACATCAGTCAGTCCGGAAATGTTGTCGAATGCATGTTTCACGTTCATGGCCTGGGTGACGGACGACATGGCCACGACGGCAGCGAGAATCTGAGACGGCCTCATGGTGTCCAGATGATGCCAACTAAAAGTATCCTTTCAAACTTCAAAGCAATGAAGCTTCGAATAAAGCGTTGCGGAATAAGGGCTTGTTTCGGCAGGCGAGAAAATCCGCGTGGAATCGAGGGGATTGTGCAACTCGGGTGGGTGTCAACAAGGCGGGACGGGAGCAGTAGAGCGAGAGGCGACGCGACACGAAGATTACGCAAGCAAGGTATTACAAACACTCCTCCGTCGGATAAAACGAGCGACTGGCGGAAGGGTGAGAGGGAGAAGAGGCGTGAATTCGAGGCAGCGATGAAGCGATTGATGGTTTTGCTCAACGGCGGATGCGAAAGGAGAGCTGGGCTGGCTGGATAGGGTGGTCGGTGGTCTCAGCGTAGTTACGAGCCCAGCGGCGAATGGGCAGACCAGGGGCTGGGACTAGCGCTAGGGCAATGCAACCCTAAATATAACATTCTAGCTCCGCAACAGATTATTCTTCCGAGCGTTGAATCAATGCGCTCTTCGTATTCTGACCAAGTCCTATTACCCAAGACTTTTCTCCTACTTTCTCCATAATCATGTGCTCTTTTGGACCTTCTGCAGACACTCCCTCGTGGGCTTGCGTGTCCTTTCATGCAGTATTCGATAGCGCATTTCGGGACGCGAGAACGATTTTGGTTTCCCGAGGGATGGCGATCATCGACTTTGTATAGCCAGTCACGTCAGCCCTCACGCCAGCCTCCTGCAAGCCCTCTACAAAAACCACATCACATCACCTTGAGCATCAGCATCACACTTGTATTAAACATGACCGAGTATTTCCTTGAACTCAGTCGGCCCGGTCATTTCTCAGTGAAACTGCTGACGGACAGCACTGGCCAGGGTCCCCTCTGCGGATCGAGCCTCATCAGCAAGGGTCCAATAAAGGAGATCTGTGGGTAGACCGGACGTGCGCAGATCAACGACGTCAATGGACCGTTGGTCATTGTGTGAAAGTAGAGGCGACATGTTCATTACTGTTTGAACGTGGGAAAAGTCGTCGAGACATGAGATGGAATTCATTGGCAACCACAACTTTGCACAGCCGCGAACTTCAGCCTTCAGCTGCAGCCTTCTGCACTTTACAACACATCACGCGTTGCTTCGCCACACCACATGCTGTCTTATAGAGACTGTGCTGCCGTCAGATGTGCTCTGTTTATATGTACTACATTGTCTTGATCTATCACAAATTGCCAGGTTTCGTGAGGCGCCACCAGACGACAACAGGCGCGGTACGATGACTACACAAGACCCAAACAATGTTGGTTGGGTCAGCGAGCCAACAACGCGCGGCACATCATCACTATTGTATACTTGCATATCGACGACCATCATATGCACGTGGAGCGCACTCCATCTGAATGTGCCTAGGGAAGGCTTATCTGCTAGTCGTGTGCTTCTCTACAAGATCGTTGGGTTTATGTTGGCAATCATCGCGCCTGAATATTTCGTTGCATGCGCTGTCGGCGAATGTTTTGCTGCCCACAGAATAAGTAAAATCCTGGCTGAGATCTTGCCGGTACGTACCCGACATTGCTACATTGGCGTTTTGTATTGTAAACCGTTCTCTGGGATCTGGTGTCAAAGCAGTGCAACTAACTGGACCCGTCAGGGCGGGCGCAAATGGTCGCATGCGTTCAGTCACCTCATATCGATGCGTGGTGTCAAGCTCCGGCTATCGACAGCACCAGACGCCCCCGAAGCGATCCTACGCATTCCCGATATGATCAGATTCATCGAGCAAGGCTGGATCGAATGCGAAGAATTCTCCATCGCAGCTGTACAAGATAAGAGCAAAGCTAATCCCTTCAACAAAACCGTGGCTTCGATACAAATCTTCTGGTTCTTTTCCCAACTTCTCGGCAGGCTTACATCCACCATAGAAATATCCCCGTTGGAGTGGTTCACGCTGGCATACGTTATGTGTGCTTTCTTTATGTACGGATTTTGGTGGTATAAACCTTTCGATGTCCAAACTCCGCTTTTGATATACCCTGATCCGTCGCTGTCTGCAGAACAAACGCTTGAGCTCAAACATTCTCTCCCGAAATGTTTAAAAGACAGGCACAAGTGGAATGATATAGGCGAACTACTAGATCTTGTGCCGGACAAAGAAGAATTGAATACGATGACGACACGTGACAGGGTGTGGATAGACCAGCTTCCGATCAACAAGCTGTTCACCATAGCTATAGCGATATCTATAGTGCTGTTTGGGTCTTGTCATCTGTTTGGGTGGAACTACCCATTTCCGACAACTCTTGAAACATACTTATGGAGATCTGCCAGCATATCCTGCGTGTGTGTCCCTTTGACCTTGCTGGCTTTAGCGTTTTTGATACCGGTTGGCGGACTCAGTGGGTTATGGGACATGCTTGAAGATTACGCGTGGGCCACACTGAGCATTATATACGTGTTGGTACGGTTGTTCCTGCTCTTCGAGGTATTTTTCGCATTACGATCTTCTCCTCCAGAGATATACAAAGCGGTACCATGGGCTCAATATCTTCCTCACATCTAGAAAACAAATAGTCATACTTATCGAAATTTATTACATCTAAAGGGTATCCGCATATATCCAACATCTCCTATATGAAGCCAATCATGAAAAAAAAAGTCTAAAGAAAGCCGAGACAGAGAAAAAAGGACCGCTTAAATCAACCTTTTGTCTCCCAGTCTCATCATCATCATCTCCGCCCCTCCCACCACGCCTTATCCTTCTCCCTCCGATGTGGCATACTCTCTCTAATATCCGTCTCCCGATCACTCGCAAACTCGACACTGCGCGCCCTACTCCTACTCCGCGGCCTCTCCGCCCTGTCCACGCCCGTCTTACTCCGTCTAGGCAACGGCCCACGATCCTCTGCCGGAAACGTACTCCTGGGCGAAAACGTATCTCTCCTGCCTTTCCTGGACGTCGGACTAGCCAACCCGCCAGCCTTGCTGTTGCTAAAATCCGCGCTCAGAGGCCGTGCCGTCTTTCGTTTCGATCGCGTCGAGGTGGTGGCAGGGGGTTTCTTGATGTAATCATATGTTGCGGGATCGCGCTTCGCCAGCTCCCTTTCCAGTCTCCAGAGTGGGGCTTCGGGTAGTACTTTGACAGCCATGGTGTCTCTCCACTTGATTTTCCAGTAGACTTCTGCGTCGCCGGCGCGCGAATTGTTGGCGCCGTAGTCGACGACCAGTTTGTAGCTGTCGGTTAGGGCGCGGGCTTCGTAGAGGCCGCGGTCTTGGATGCCAGGGCCTTCTAAGCGGTAGCGCGTGCGGACTGAGGGGTGAATGTACTCGTTTGTTTGGCGGAGAGGTCGGTCTGTTGCACGGCCTGAGAAGGGGTCTACCGAGGTGTATTGACCTGGTTTGCGTTGCTATCATGAATTAGTATGTTTGTTCATACCTACTTCTCAGCAAGGAAAGACATACTGTACTGCCACCCAACGCAAAAGCGCCCTTGAGCTCGTTGTAGATCTTTCCGAAACTCCACGGTCTGATCGCGCCTTCTTCTTTCTTGTAGTACTTTTCATTCAGATCATCTTGTTCGAATAGGTATTCAGATCGCAAGTCCAGGAATGGTTCAAGTTGACTCATCATCCACGCAAGACTAATGTTCGCGATTTGCATGTCATCGTAACCGCCGCCGACATTCGCATGCGCACCAGGGAACCATACTTGGCGGAGCGTTGTACGGTTTCCCTCAGGCTTCTCCCAGACAGCAGGTGAGAAAGATGCACGATTCTCATCCAAAGCGAGCGCTTGGAATGCGTTTTCAATGCAATTGGAGAGTTTGGTGTCGTAAAAGGTTGTCGCCTTTGACTGCTTCATTTGCAGACCCAGACGTTGCAACTTGCCGATCCGCGGTATGCCGAGACTGCCAACCGTATCCCAGACCGCTATGCATTTAATTGGAATATCGAGCCTGGTCAGTCCTCTACGCTCCAGTTCTTCTGCGTATCGCGGGTCATCTGCGCTTGGTTTCCGGGGAAAGGGTACGTCTTCGTGCTTTGGACGATAGTCGGGGTTCCGCCGATTTTGAACATCCTCATACACTTCTGGTAAAGTGTTCAGACCCTTCTTTGTGAGGAGGCCAATCTCTCCAATCAAACCTCCAATGCTACGCGCAGTGAATGCGCCTCTTGAGAAGCCCAGCAAGAAAATCTCGTCTCCTGGGTGATAGTTGTTGGCAAGGAAGGAGTACGCCTCTCGGACATCGTCACCGAGGCCCTTGCCTGTGGCGCCCCCAACTAAACGAGACAGTTTTCCGCCTTCCGTCCCAAGTCCTTGGGAATAGTTGACAATTTGCTGAATACCATCCTGACTAACTGCCTTGATAGCTCTTGATATCCGGGTAATGTTGCTTGGGATGGAAAGAGTCCCGTTCTTGGTTCCATCATCCGAGTTTAGCCAAGTTCCGTCGCATGCAACAATCAACCTCTTGAACATCCCCCTTCCACCACTGAGTCCTGGTGCATCGACCATGGGTTCGCGCATGCTACGCACGCTTCTGCTTCTTGCGCGGGGCCGTTCTACTGGTACATCAATAATGAGCGGTGATTTAGCCCCACTTCGCGGAACGTCCACAACGATGGGCGCTGGTGTTAGAGGCGCTCTGGTGCTGGGCGCCCGACTTCTGCTCCGCGCTCGAGATAGTGCCACAGACATTCTTTTCTTGAGATTCTTTGCTCTTTCTTGATGTGCCTTTGAAAAGGGCAATTGTTGTCGTGGAGCGGACGCAGCCCAAGTCCAAGGGGAATTAGAGCGAGCTGCGTCAATATGGTTGAGCTTTTTGCGCCCGCGGTGAGATTTGGTGACTGGCAATGCGGCTAACTGGGTTGTCGTTTATCCACGTGTCGACTATCCACTCTGCTGGTGTTGTGTTGCTGGCAGCCTTGGTGTTATGTCCGCGAATGGCCTGTCGTATACCGTTGGGAAGACACCGGAACAACGCGCTTCGTCTGCTAACTGTCGCAACTCTGTTGGGCAGACGGATGCGACTGTCGCGAATCCCCAGCCTCCGCTGTTCACAATTTCCAGCTCTTCCGTGTTCCAACTCTTCAGACTTGATGGGCGGGAGTAAGCGAGGCAGCCGATAACCTCATCAGCCTCGGGAACCTGCAGCAAGCACTTTGACGCAGGGCACGAGAAATCGCGAAACGGAGGGGGTCGGATGGTCAATATGATGGGAAAGGAAATGGGGCGGACGTGTCGCGCAGCGCACAGCGCACTCTTACGTCGAGTGGTTGGGCGTCGGCTTCAAAGCTTTGCTGTAGGCTGGGGGTGCCCAAGTCATTGGACTCGCTTACCCAGCCTCTTGTCTGCGAACATGCGATTACCCCTCGGGATTGTTGATTATTACCAGGCTGATGAGAGTATAACTGTAGTTGTGCAAAGATTCAGTCAATTTTACCCCGCTGGTGCCCAAGTGTGCGCGTGTTGCGTCCAAAGTGAGGCTGTTCTCCAGCACATTGAGCTCGACCGCAACTTCTTCAACAACGCAGCGCCAAGCTCGAGCTCACTTCCTTTCTGAGACTAGGATGCGCTGCATCGCATGGAGCCGCATTGGGCGCAGGTAGCCCTGCCGGTGAAGGCCCAATTTTCCATACTGTTATGCGTTAGGTGCATGCCAGGTGTAGACTTAGGTGCAGGAAGCGTGCGAGTCGGGCGGTGAGGGAAAAGGTACGTGGTGGTAAGGGACACCCGGCCCACCAGCAGTGGTCGGCAACATCGAGATTGCCGAAATCACGGACATTTTCCGAGCTTGTTTTGATGCAAACGTAAATTGTTTTGAGGGGATATCAACTGTTTTTCAATTTCAAGAACTTTTATCTAGTAGTTCCGTTTCCTTTCAGTTCATTCTTCGTCGCTTTCTACGCGACGCAACATTCTTGTAAATGTTGACCAACCCCTAGTCGCAGATGCGCGCGCAATCATGCGCCGAGTAACAATCCAGCGCCTGGTCCCTTGGCTGGTAATCGCACAAGTACACTCTACAGTTATCGTACAGAATTCCTTCCTAGACACCCATGATCTCAAGAACTCCATGCGATAAACCAACATCCCTAGAGTGTAAAGTGCAGCGCGAGCGGCAAAATGGAATCCATCTAGGACATACGCTATGACGAAACGACAAGAGGAGAGAATACAATAGATAGATGAGGAATAGATGAGAGACGTGCCCCAGGAGAATCGTAAATGTCATAGACGCAGAGAAATAGTGAGAAAGAGACGGGTAGCTTAGTAGCCGCCGAAAAGATCATCAAGCTCGTCAAGATCAATAAGCTCCGGGCTCTTCATGATCCAGTCGTCGTCGAGCTCAAGTTTTACCGATTTGCGCTTGAGCGACGGTGGAGGCATTTCGATGTGGAGGACCGGTTTCATCGCAGGGCTGCTCTGGAACGTCATAAGATGGTCCATCTGACCAAAGAGTGCTGCTGCCGCCTCCGAGTCCTTGAGTGCGGCGCTTTCTACAGTCTCCTCGACGGAAACGGCGACTTCTTCCATCTTGACATCGCTATGTTGTGTTGAATCGGCGGATACGCTAGCAGATCGCTCGCGCTCGGCCTCCTGGCTCATGCGGCGTTGTTGGAGAAACGAGGCAGTCTGGGTGAACTCGCGCTCGTCCTTTTCTAAAGGCGGCGATTGAGCCCGGCGGTTGTGCGAGATGTTTGCAGTCGTGGGTGGATGGCTCTGGTTGGAGAAGGGATCGCTGTTGACGCTGTCGTAGTCAGACAGGTCTAGCTCTGGCGACGGCGACATGCGATCTCTTGATCTCGCATCCATGTCTTCCTCTTCCGAGGTTGCAGACGAGAGCGATGGGGTGACGATGCGTGGTGCGATGGCGGTGGCACTTCCGTCGGCTGGGATAGGTTGATGCGGGCAGGTGGAGAGGAAGTAGTAGACACGCTTGGGGTGAGTACCAACGAGCTTCTTGTCGAGCGGACATCTCGACAGAGCTGTCCAATTGCGCTTCAAGTAGGTGGCTAGGCGTGACGAGATGATGGCAGCTGGGTTCGCGGAGCTAGAGTACGTCAGCATGAGTGACCAGCAAACTAGTGATGGAGCTTGGATGCTTGGAAGTTTGGTACATACCTCTCAACGATTGGAATAATGGGCGACAGAACGAGGGCGAGTTCTTTTAGCAGGTGGGGACGGTTGCCTGTCTTCTGGAGCTGTTCGATAACGCCAACCACAATTTCGTCGTCGATGCCTTGGGTGTCAATCTTTGTCGTCCCAGACTCGCCGCCTGGCGAAGGTGGCGGGGTGTCTGCCACCCGGCCTGAGCTTTTGGGTCGCTGCTCATCCAAGCGCAGTGACGAGGGGCGCGGTGGTGATGGTGGCACCGACGAGAGTGAGCCGGAATGTGAGCGTTTCTGTTTCTTTGCGGCGTGCTGACCGTCGCTTGTCGAAGGCGGTGAGCGCGCAGGTCGCGGTGCTCCTGGCAGCTGTATGCCGAGTGACGGCAGCGACAGCGATTTCCGGCGGGTGTTGTAGGGCATTTTGAGGGAAGCGACGCAGTCGCAAACGTCGCTCAAGTGGAAAGGAAGGAAGGAGAGAGTCTTCCAAGGGAGAAGTAAATTATTGAGGCTGGCAGAGGGTGTGCAGCCAAAAGTGTTTTGCTACTGGGAGAATGCCAGGGTCGTCGATTGGTCCGGTAGGAATGCAATGCAGCCTATACCACCAACGCTGCCGCCGAGTATGCAAGGCAGCGTGCGACGCTTAGATATCTGCACTGCAGCTGATGGCGTCGAGAAGGGCGCCCGATTACTCTGAGAGGGATGTTTGATGGTGTTGAACGCTGAGTGGCACCCGTCCTGTCGCGAATACGCGGCTCGCCTCCTGAAGGCAGTGAATACGTAACTCGGCGAAGGCGACTGGTTGCCTCAAGCTCGACCCAATAACTATTGCAACACAATTAAGTGCAGCTGCAACACCACGGTAATCAGGAATCAGAAACAGTGAGAAGCAAGAGTAAACGGAATGGGACAGGACAGTTGATGTCGGGCCCTGATGTAGTTCGAGGGGTGGTGAAGAAGAGGGGATGCGACGAGGGAAAGAACGGAGGCGTAGTGGAGCACACAGTGAAGAAGGAGCGACTAGGCTCCGGTAAGAGACCGTGCATCTAGTAGGGTGAATGTATCCAGGGATCGCCTCTTTGGTTATGACAGCATACTACTTTTAGAGCCCGTTTTTGCTTTGTTGGCCAGGGGCTAGAGCCTAACGCTCCTATCAAGATGCCGTGGTTACCTGCATGTACCACGCGGTAAAGTCATCTAAAGTAGATACTCGCCGGACGCTTTTCAGAACATGGCTTCTCGCCTGCCTGCTCCAACGTCTTGTACAGGCTTCGCTATCCTGCCCAATCCCGTCAGCCTGGGAATCTCGGCTGTCTGTGTCTTGCACCTCTGCCCGTGTCAAGCTCCGGGCATTGGATGGTCTCAGCTGAGCCCGGAACAGTGAACACCGCACTTGGATCTCTATACATGCTGCTCCGAGCGCGCAACAAGTGGCACAAGCTAGACGTTGCTGGTAAGGATGCTTCCTTGCCGATAAACCTCCGCCAACGATACGAACGTCTCTGGCCCTGAGACGGCTTTCCCGCAAGTGACCTCATGCTCAACACGTCTCGTTGGAGCCTCGCGCATCCTTCGCATCTGCAATTGGGCGGGTCATCACAGTTGTCCCGCAAGCTGACCGCCATAATATCTTCCGTCCCCCAAGCAGTCAAACGGCCACGATGCGAGTGGACGGGCGCTTTCCATGATCTGATGCAGCGTGCATATCATCTTGTTCCAGAGCGGAGACATCCCTGTTCTGAGGTTTCGCCTAGCATACAAAGTGGATTTAGCCTCAACGCTGCAACCAGGATGCCCCAGGGCGGTGAGCACACTTTTCTCGAATTTTTCTTTAACGGAAGTTTTCCCACTGGCATGCGGCCAACCCTCGGCAACGTTAATACGCGAACGACAAAAAGCGTTCTCACGAGATGTGGCTTCATTCTTCTTTGTGCGTTGCGGATAACATGTCACGATGCACGGAAAAAGCACAATGGATGATGCTGCCGAGCTGGATCTTCTCGCACATCGGTTTCAGCAGCCTCCACTCCGCATTGCGACCACACCCCCAAACATTGCGCACGCGAGTTGCCATCACTTCCGATGGCTGTGCAGGGATTGCGCATATGTCTTTCCCCGATGGAGACAGGCGCATAGAACCAGGTCCGGTCTGCATGTGCAGCACAGCGTCACCTTTTGTGGGGAACTGGAAGGTATGGCGCCGCACTTGTCCAGTGGGCAAACAGATTTACGGATGCGCTACGTATCTTCCCCAGACGAAGTGTGGACTGGATGAGGAAGTTGGCAAGTCGTGAAAGACGGTGAAGATGCATGTTTGTTTGCTTGTTCCCACACTCAACGACATGTCTGTAGATGACATGCATCTTCATCTGACTCGGCAAGTTGAATGCTGTGCATGATGATTACGACCGCCACTGATGCGTGAGCCCAACGTGCTCGACGGTACGAGATGCTAGATCCCAGGCACACATGCAAAAACATGGCAGGCCCGGATGATAAGACAGAACAAAGTTCGGGCAAGCGATGTCGCGTTCCAGAGTGCCGTGACGCGATTTCTCTAAATGCCCATGATCCCGACTGCAGATCTCGCTTGACCTTCTGTTGGCTCCCAGGTTACGATGGTCGCGATCTGGAAATTGCCGCTTTGAGCCTTTCCCCTCCATCGCCATTATGCGTAAAGTTGACGTCGTTTCAACAAAACTAGGTCTACTCGTACAACGCCGCAACTTGGGGTAGTGAGAGTATAACTCGCGTTATCTATAATAGCGGCGAACCTCCACAATCTCGATGTTCTCGATGGTGGTGAATGTGGGGGAGGCGATACGGTGAGTTATCATCTCCACAACGACCACCATGGCTTCTGTGTAACCGGGGATCCGGCTGGTGCAGCAAGCGGCAGCTCACCTGAGGTGGTGGTCTCGGCCAATCTTTGCCGCATGCCCTTCCTCGGCCTCAACTGCAACCACCAGGTCGTGCCGAAATTGTAGCGTTTTATGTCAACGACTTCCAGCCCACTTTCTTCGACAATCTTGCCGATGTCTTTGTTCCACCAGCAGCCGTGTTCGTCCGCATGAGCGGGAGCAGTCTTGTCCAACATGCTGTTGAGCCACTCGTAGTGCGACTTACCGTGCTCTAGAAGTAGGATCTGGCCATTCTCATTGGTCGACGCCTCGAGGTTCTGAAGCAGCTTCACGGGCTCATGCGTAGAGCACAATCCCATGGTTTGTATCACCGTGTCGTATCCGTCTTGGGCACCATATGGGGGCGTTATCGGATCTGTGGCAGACTGTTGCTTGAAGAAGACACGGCTAAAGTATTCCTTGTGTGTGTCGTTCCACTTCCGCTTTGCAACTGCCAACATGGGCCCGCTTGAATCGAGCAGAGTCACTGTGGCGCATTGCTTGGTCTTGTAGTAAGGTATGTTCCTACCAGTACCAACAGCCACCTCCAACACGTGTCCCTTGGCCATGGAAGTAAGCTTCTTGCGCTTCCTGGTCAAGAAGAGTAACGTCTCAGACGTGTCAACCTTCTCATCATAGCCCTCGGCCTCTTTGTCGAATCGGTCTGAGAGATCTTCTGGCAAGTCCTTCAAGTCGCTATCCTGTGTCAACGACGTGTAGAGCATCGTCGCGTATGTGCCCATGCCGAATGCGATCATGCCGACGCCGAACATTGGCCATTGTCTCCATCTCCGTAGTTTTGCCTGATGATGTGCCGACCTCAGTTCCTCATCCGACAGGCGCTGCAGATCCGACAACGTTGGACGTGCTGCCCATACTCGCTTCAACGCTTGCTCAGGTGTTTGGTTGGCGGGGGCTCGAAGTGGTAGGTCGTTGTCGTGCTGCGCTCGTTGTATGCGTCTGTGTAGTGGTATAGCGGGCTTTGTGGGTATCGCAGGTTTTGCAGGAAACGACTTTGGGGGCTTCGGGAGCTTTGCCATGGCGATGCAAGCACACACAGAGTACCTGAGGAACGGGTGACTGTGAGACACAATGGGTGAAGCCGTCGAGCAACAATCCAAGTCTCAAATCTTTCGATGCGCCGACCCAATCGCTCGGTAGCGTCAAAGCTTCCCTGCCCGCCACGAGGTTATCAACCGTGCCCAGCCGACGCACGCCCTTCAGACAACGATATCGGCCCACCAGCGGCACTTGCACGCCGTTCGCGCTCATGTAGGTTGACTTTTCTTCATGTCTTTCCTTTCTTTTGCGCAGTTGTTGCATTTCTACACGTCTTGACTTTGCGCGCAATGGCTTCTTCTGCATCCCCCGAGATACCCTCATCCATCTTGATCGTCGGCAGCGGCGCATTTGGACTTTCCACTGCCTATTCATTATGTCAAAACCCGCGGTACAAGGACACTTCGATTACTATCATAGACCGTCAGCCTTTCCCTACGCCTGATGGCTCGAGTGTAAGTAGAGCATCTAATCTACTCTGTTTCAACACCTTGCTCTAGAGCAACGCATTCGCCAGTGGAATCAACCTGTTCAACCAAAATCAAACGCTTAAACAAAAGCATACAGATTGACACTTCACGAATCATCCGTCCTGATTATGCTGCCGCACGCTACACCCGTCTCGCAACCATTGCGCAAAACCGCTGGCGAACCGACTTTGCGACCGAACACTACCATGAGGTCGGTCTATGTGTGACAGCTTGGGGTCCAGAGCAGAAGTACGTTTCCGGATCACTCGCAAATGTCCGCGCGATCGGAACAGACAAAGTAGAAGTGCTCAACTCGCCGGAGGACATACAAAAAGCATGTGGTCTGGAAGGCAAAGACCCATGGGGCAACGGCAGCACCGGATACGTGAATTGGAGTTCAGGCTGGGCAGATGCAGAGGGCGCGATGATGTGGCTGAGGGAGAAGGTCGAGAAGCTGAACAGGGTGAAGTTTGTCACGAAGGCCGTGAAGAAGCTGTTGATTGATCACAAAACCAACACCGTCTCCGGCGTGCGATTCAACGACTCGAGCGAACTCAAGGCAGACCTGACGATGCTAGCGGCAGGCGCATGGACGGCGTCGCTCATCGATCTCCGAGGCATCTGCAAAGCGACTGGGCAAGCTCTGTGCTACATGCCCATCTCCAAGGAGGAGGAAGCGAAAATGTCTACGCGGCCGACTATCCTGAACCTCTCCCATGGCTTGTTCATGATTCCGCCTTCCAAGCGCCTCCTCAAAGTCGCCCGTCACGGCCACGGCTACCTCAACCCGACCACGATCCCACATCCGGAGTCCGAGGACCCCAACGAGACAATCACCATCTCCCTACCATACACACATGTCGACGACCCATCACAGGCAGTCCCAGTCGAGGGCCAGCGCCAATGCCGAGACTTCCTCGCAGCCATACACCCATCCCTCGCCGCACCCTCGCGACCATTCACCAAATCGAAGATTTGCTGGTACACGGATACTAGGGATGGCGACTTTTTGATCTCGTACCATCCTAAGTACAAGGGATTGTTTTTGGCGACGGGTGGCTCGGGACATGGCTTCAAGTTTTTGCCTGTTATTGGCGACAGTATTGTGGAGTGTATAGAAGGCAGGACGCCGGATGACTTCAAGGGCCGATGGGAATGGCCAGCTGAGCGGGTATCGGAAGAGCAGTGGGCTGGTGATGGAAGTCGTGGTGGACCTGTTGGTATGATTTTGGAAGAGGAGATGGCGAAGAGTAGAGGGAAGTTGTAAGCGTCCGCGCGCCGAGACACTTCGTGTTGATATAAGTATCTTCAGTTCGGGTTCTTTACTCTCTACTTTACATCAAGAACCATTCCTTTATTCTCAAAACTCAAAATGCACCGATCAATGTCTAGGGAGTGTGTCGCTTCCGTCAAAAGGCTAGACATAAACGGGTCATGGAAACTTGGCGCCATGCCCTCTGCTTTTCAAGAATCATTGCCTATTCCACATGTACTCCTCCTCGGAAAAGCTTTGTAAAATCCAAAGTCTGAAAATCTAAAGTCTGATGTCCCTGGTCTATCATTATCTTCATGCGAAAACGGCAGTGAAGAGGGCATGTTGTTCTCTTGTTGCCATCAGCACGACAAAAAACTGCGAAAGCAGGCCATGGACGACAACCAAGAAGCAAAAATCCCTATAGTCATGAGCGGTGCTGCGTCCACGAAGTTAACTTCCGCGCATCTTCGTGTTGGTATACATATCATCTGCTCACACTCCCTATACCTCGTCTATACTAAGAAATAATCCTTCTTTCCAAAAAGTGATGTCATACCAAACATGGTCGTGGCGTCGTCGGACTCGTCTAAAAAAAACTAAGCAGTAATCTGACGAGACCACAGAATGTCAAGTCATCTATTACCAACAATGGTCCGGAATCTGGGTATGTCATCGTCCTCGAAAAGACCGCAGACCACATCAAAGCCCAGTGTTTCCTGTTGGTCATGTTCTCCCACATACGCAACAGATGGAAAGAATGTCTCTTCCCTGTTGTTACCAAAATCACTACCCGCAAGATCATGACCAAAAGGAGGAGTTAATCGATCATGGATGCTGCTTCTGCTAATACAATATTCCCAGCATGTTTCTAAGCATACAAATGCCTACCACGCACACTTCAGATACTCTTCTTCACACTCGGACTCACTACCTTTTCCCAAAACTAAGCTGGTGGCGGGTCATGGTCGTGGCGCGTTTCGCTCTCCTCAAGGGCTCAGTTCGCCATCTTACGGGTATTCTCAAAACGTACCACCTATTGTTATCAAAATATCATACCATGGAAACTATGTCTCCGCCTTCTTTGAGCGATCCACAAACAAATTCAGACAAAGATACCTCATGACGCTCATCTTCTCTACGCGCCAAGCACGTACCCCGTGTGTCTTACTTTATGCATAAATATCCAGCGGCTCTACGACTTCTACTCCTATTCATGCCAACAACTACTCTTCTTTCTTCCAAAACGTCAGTCGTTCCATGACATGTCGGTGGCGTGTTCTGCCTTCCTCGAAAAATGCACCTGACGAGTATATGTGGACGATCGGAGCTAGACCTGTCACTATCAAAGTCACAGACGATTCATTCATGTCTTTCTTCGCCAACAAGTCGCGAGGTACTTCAAAATTTGGTTGCCCCAAGTCCGACATCTACACCACACGCCAAGATCACATGCTGGGCATCTTACCGCGTGTATAAATATCTCCCTCTATACTTCCGATACTTCTATCCACATCCAAGCCTGCTTAATCTTCTCCAAAAACTGATGAGAACGCCCGGATGTTGGTGGCGCGCTCTGCTCTCTTCAAAATAAAATATCAAACGCATCATGTGGAAGTTCGGAGTTATGCCTTATACGTACCAAAAGATGATTCAGATGTTCGGCACGTCTTTGTTCTTGGCTAGATTTGAGTCCATTTCAATACGTGTCGGCTGCATTTCCTGACCAAACATCCACATTGCTAGTGACAATTTCTATCTCATACAATCAGAGCAGTGTAACCGATAAAGAAGCCTTATCGAAAGATGACGTTGGACTTGCCATAAGTGGAATTTTTCCGAAAGCATATTGCGAAAACTAGAAACGAAGGTAGTAATGTTGCGCGATCGGCTGAGGAGGTGCTACTTGAAAACTTGACAGTATCGTAGAGTCCACTCATTGAATGCGCCGCCGCGGTCAGTTCGGTCATCATGTCTAAAGTTAACATCACATGAAAGTTTGCGGGAAGAGCTATGATTATGTCGAAGTTCAAAAGTTTGATTGGATAAAGTCTACACAAGAATCGAAGATAACGAAAAGCAAAGCCTTCACGAAGCCATGTCGTCTACACACTGCATCTCCTCACAGCTCTAAAACCGAAGCCTGTTATTCTAAGCACGGCTGAAGCACTTGGTGACAAGTGCCTGGTCAGTCGAACCGTTGGGAGTCAATCCAAGGACGTAGCTTTGGTCGAAAGCACCAGCCGACCAGCCAATGTAACCAAGGTAGACATCGCTGTTCTTGTTCAAGCTAGCGAGAGCAGCGCAGACATCAGTCTCGCACGAAGCAGTGTTACCACCACCGACCTCGGACAGGATAGCCTGGCGCTTGTTGGTGCGGAGCCAGGTGGCAAGGGGAACGAAAGAGTCCTCGACGTGGTCGCTGGTGCACTCGGCGTGGGTACCAGAGTTGTCGCTGTCGAGATAACGGTGGACGTCGAAGATGATCTTGTCGGTCGTGCCGTCGGTGTCCTTGACCTTGAGGAGAGAAGGACCGCTGGCAGTGGGGAAGGTACCCGCGGATGTGTAGTCAGTTCCAGGGACGAGAATCATCTGGGACTTGGCGCCTGCCTTGCGGATGGCGTTGACGGCAGCCTGGGCGGAGTCGGCCCAGGTGGACATGGTGAGGTCGTGGGGCTCGTTCATCAGACCGAAAGCGATCTTGCTCTCAGACGCGTACTTGGTCGCAATCTTGGACCAGATGTCAGCAAACTGATCGTTAGTTGGGCCACCCTGGCCGATGATTTGGCCGTTCCAGCGGGCGTAGTTGTGGAGGTCGATGAGGCAGACAGCGCCGGTGGCCAAGCAGCCTTGGACGAGCTTGTCGTAGGCTCCAGCGACAGTGGCATCGAGGGCACCACCGAGCTTGTTGCCGACAAGGTGCTGCCATCCAATGGGAAGACGGTAGATGTTAAGCTTATCGTCCTTGGTGAAATGCTGCATCTGAGCAATTCCGTTCGCACCAGGGTCGACGTAGGCTCCGCTGCAAGATCCAGATGTGTCGCATCCGAAATCGAAACCAGCAATATTCATACCAGCATACTGAGTCTTTCCGCTAGACGAGGCAGGGGCGGCAGCCACAGCAGCGGCCTTGCTGGTAGCAGCAGCGACTGGCTTGGCGGAAGTCTTGGTCGCAGCAGGAGTCGAGGTTCGTGCCATGGTGACCATGGTGGTCTTGGGAGCAGCAGGGGCCGCGGCTCCTGAGCCAGCGCCAGGAACACACTGAGAGTACCAGTCGTTCTGGACCTGACAGTGGTAGCCAGATACACAAGTAGTGGCACCAGTGAAGCCTTGTCCACCACACTGGGCGTAAGCCGCCCCCTGGGCGGCGTAGGCACCGCTTGCTGCAAGAGCAGCGAATGCGAAAGAGTAGCGAGCCATTGAAACGAAGTTTGAATGAAGGATAGACTTGGGTAGGCAAAGAAAGGATGACAATGTAAATAGCACAAATAGAAGCAAAGGATTGAAACTTCACAGATGTGATGGAGAACTAAGAAAACAGCGGACGGATCGCGCTTTTATCATCTCATGGAAAGGGTACCCAGAAGGTCGTGCCCTTGCGCTTCCAAACCGTTCGAGACCTGATTCCAGGTCGACGGGATGGCGGCATATTGTCTCCGCATTATTCCCACAGTTTCATGATCATTACCGAGATGCTCGGTGGTATTACCGGGGACCGTAGTGGCTGTGAGCAGAATATCACGGAGATGTATTGCTGTATGGCGTCTGGAGCTGTCAGTGCTGTCATCGGGATGCGGCGGCTAGGCCAAGCGAGATGGTAGGCCCACTTTTCGGCTTACTGACGCGCCGTTTCGAGCCCGTTTGCTTTATTCAGTGAAACGACTAGGCTTGTATTTGTGGAGAACGGCGTATGTCTCTTCATTTCGCCAAGATGAGAGGGGGGTACACAAGCTTCAGGATTGGGGAGATCCGAAGCTTGGTATGCTTAATCAAGAGCGCGCCATCGTGGTGAAAGGCTGTGTCTCGATAGGTCCTTTCGTCGCATGTCTTAGTTCTAAAACGTCGGTTCGCGGTTATTGTTTTGCTGGTGGTTGCACATACTGACGTCTTGCAGTTCCGATCATGAAGTTGTAGCAAGTGCAGCCGCGGCTCCAGCACTCTAGCCCTCACAAGGTTATAACCGGTGGGAGAAGCTGACACTGTGGATTCTCTAGTTGTTTTACAAAACATCATATCGGTAACGTGTAGACAGCGATGATCTCATTCATTATATGCTACCAACAGGTGCGGCAAAGATCTGTGAGAAACAACGCCAAGCGACATTACAGTTGGACACGCAAAGGGCGTTTGCATTACCTATGCGCCTGTCAGGATACCCTTTCATCATCTAGGCAGGTGTTTTGTGAATTCTTGCCACATATAATGCTGCACCCAAGTACTTTGTTAGTAGAGTTATCGCGTGACAAGCTTGAGTCGTTGATTAGATGGGGTGGCTTGACTAGCTGCGTGGCTTGAAACTACTTGGGCTTTGGTTCCCGAGGTCCCTCTTACGCCCGGACAAACACACTTCACATAACCTTCGAATGAATCTATCAGCACCTTAGCATGTTGGTTTGGACACTTTCACGCTCAGCCACTTTCGAGTCCGTCGACCGTCAGATCGCGTAGCACCACTTCGGTCATGTTGTAAAAGCTCAGCCTCGTTAACTGGGCGCCTCGCCTTGGCTGCATGACACCGGGACGTCATTTGCAGCCTGCCCAGGTGGTAGATCGCAAGTCCTTTCTAATACTACCCTCCTCCCTGTCGATCCGCTTGACTTTATTGCATTCCTTTTTGCGTTTTTCTCTAGGTCTTCGCCCGCTATACAGGCCTAAATGGCAATATGCTAGGCTTGCTACGAGGTTGATTGAAAGATATTGTGGCTTAGGTTGGCTCAGTTACTGCTTACTCGAAAACAAGGGTGTTATGCGAGCTGACGTATAGATATGAGAAGCGGGTGGTTTGGCCCCAAGCTGCCTTCTAGCGTGTCTTAATCCACCATCTAAGACTCGCCGCGAGCGTATTTTCCTTCTTTATGCACACTGTACCAGCGAGGGGCACCCGACTGCCGAAAGGATGGAGCACGAACATCTAATAGACCCCGACCTCATCGATCATGACGCTTCTGCGCAGGCGGTACATAATCAGATTGAAGCACCAGTGGACAGTATGGTGGCATCCACACTGGGAGAAAATGGTCAGGACGACGCAATACAGCTTGGAGAACGGCTCGAGAAGCCACTTGTTTCTTCAAAGCATCATGGAACCCGTCTTTACCACTCTGGCTACGTCCTTGTGTTGATCTTGCTCTATGCGGCACTCGCGCTTTTCGCCTGGATTGTGACGTGTACTCTAACATTTCATCCGATAACGTCAACGTCAAATTATGGTCTGCCATCCTTAAATCTTTTCGAGAGAGTGTCAGCTGACAGATCTGGTGCCTAGGTGTGAATTTTGACGTACCGCATGCATACGGTTGGACTGGAGCCTCTGTTATCCACTCATTTTACACCAAGAACGAAGAGTGGCTCCAAGCTGCTCAGTTCATACATTCAGTTGTGGCCGTTCTCACTCTTCCTCTCGTTTCCGCAGTATGCTCCAAGGCCGCTGTCACTTTTGCACAGCAACAGGGCCAGCGAGACTTAACACTGCGTCATACCATAGTTTTGGCTGACCGTGGCTGGTCCGATCCTGATATATACGTAAAGCTCATGGCAGGCGGGTACAAAAAGTATGGAAGCAAGCTGCTCATTTTCGCAATCATGCTGAACATCATCGGTACTCCCTAGCCGCCTTGTTGAGATGATCGAGTATTGATAAAAATAGGCGGAATCATCGCGCCTCTCCGAACCCTGTTCATAACCACGAAAACAATTAAAACGCCTACATTTCCGGACATGGTTCCCTCCTTGACCGATATCCTGGACCAATTCGACAATGAGGACTTGCCTGACCTGAACATGATACCCGTCAAGGTTCGATCGGCTATGGCTGCCACGAGCAATCTCAGTCCACAAGGTCGACTGTGGACCAGCAGACCTATCAAGTGTAGTGAAGCCGTTGTAAAGTCGGATGCGGCTGCACTACCCATGAACTGCGTCCTGCCAAATATGGCGTTTGGCAACATGTCGTTACTCCCGGATCCTTTTTTCGCCGAATTACCAGCAGGTTATAGTACGGGCCTAATCCGACAATACCTTCCGCGAATGAATTCGACAGCTCATCGGGTAGTCATCACAGAGCCTGAGTTTCCCACAAACTGTGCTGATATGCCGGGTGCCTTCTATGTTAGGTACGCAGCGACGAATCTGAACTATATCACCATGACAGGTTGGGGAAACTGGAGCCTGGAAGTTTGCATGCCAGCGAACTTGACGCAGTCGCCGTGGCGTGCTGTACGCACCCGCCAAGATATCACCGAAGAACTCTATCTTAATATTTCTCTGGTATCAGCCGACCCTGTGCAGCAGTACGTAACACCCGAAGACCAAGGTGGACTGTTTAAAATCTCGCTTGACACTACTTTGGGCTATTTTGAGTTACCCAACTACATGAATGGCGAACAACCAGGGCCGTTGCTTGATGAGGACCCGATGAATCACTGTGGCGGAAATTGTAGTAACCAAGCTTACCGCCAGAACGGGTAAGTTCTTGACACGTCTTCTGCTCACTACATCCCACTGAATCCATTACTCATTCATATACAACTATAGTGCGGATTCAAATGGGAAACTGGCGCGCGGAGAGTTTCCTGGTGATATAAGTAGTTTTGTCAACTCATCTCTCACGTTGGAGATGCGGAAAAACCGAGGCCCGTTGCTAACAGTCGCCTTGGCTCTCTTCGGTTCTGGATCCTTCATTGCAGAGCGGATGGCCCGTCCAGATGCTTTCATGTATCCAAACATGACCTATGAAGAGGCGAAAGCCACGCCGAACTACGGTGCTTGTGTCGATCAAGCTCCTTTTACAAATCTGTTACGTTCGTGGAGCGACCAAGATCAGATTGGGACGTTCATAGATCCCTGCCTGAAAAACTCGATTCACAATCATGACGACGTCCAAAGACAGATAGCCAACTTTGTGCACTCACTGTATTGGAACCATTTCGACGGATATAAGGGCGATCGCATCACGAATGCCTTCACATCCGCTGCCTTCCTCGCCAACGAGGCATGGCTCTCCTCTACAGCATTCATGAAAACTTGGTCTGTGACGTACGACCACGGTGCCGATACCCTCGTGCCTGTTATATCGAGTACCGGCATACTAGTCATCTCCATCCTTCTTGGCGTCTTTTTGGCATCGCTTCTGGGTCTCGCAATCTACAGCGCCGTCTTGCCGCGTTGGACCGACCAGCTGGACGCCTTCGCCATGTTGCGCATCGGCGCTTCCATCTCCGACAAGATCCAATTTCGAACCATCCCGAACGCTCAGCGTGTGCGTGTGTTGGATGAGTTGCCGGGATGGATCGGCGATGCGGCCAGTGGTGAGGATGCGCAGGGCGAACTGGCGCTTGGCGGTCCTGGACGACTTGGTAGGAAGCGAAAGTTTGCTGCGTACGTTGTAGAGGATGCCGGGAAAGGAAAGGGATCATGAGGGTAGTAAATTCGGAGAAAAGGCTCGTTGCTCAGTGATATCTACAAAGCACAATCTCTGGGATTTGCGTTACGGAGCGCGTGGTTTACTGTGCCATGATGGTCTGAGATCCGCCCGCAGCGAACAAAGCCTGAGAGGACTCGGCAATGGAAGTAACGACAGATTCACGTACTATGGAAGAGGCTCTGGAGATGCACAAAATCTCCACAGTCGCCAAGACGTCGTCGGCCTTCTCTGTCTTGACTACCTATGTAGCTCCCCAAGGGCGCCACTATATCAAGTAGCTGCGCTTCGATAGCTATATACCCCTACGTACGCGGTTTTGATGGTGATTAGAACTGAGAGCACATCTTCTAGAACAGTTCCTGTCACGATGATCTTACTCTTCAGTTTCGGTCGACATGTCGCGCTAGTGAAAGAAGGTGAATAGACGAGAACTAAATCTGCATGAGTTGTAGGCTTGCTTCATACTACATGACGTACATTATGATAAGCGTGGTTCTGAATCACCAATCATCAGGTTGCACGTCATCCGTCCAATCATGTTGCGAAAGCTCAGCCTCTCTAGCAGTGCGCCTCGCCTTGGCTGTACGACACTGAAAAGTAATCTTCAGCCTGGTGCATCGTAACTTCTTCTCGACACTTTTGTTCTTCCTGCTTGATCCGCTCGACAACATGGAAGCTTTTGTTGCAATGGGCCTCGCTGGGAATGTCGTGCAGTTCGTGCAATTCTCTGGCCAGCTCATATCTCTCGCCAAGGAGATCAAGAAGAAGGGCGCTCCCTCTTCGCTGATAGATCTGCGCAAAGTCGCCCAAAATCTCGCACAAAAAACTCGGGTAATCGTGACTCAGCTCAAAGCGAATACAGCCACACTTGAGCAGGAAGAGCAGGTATGCCGCGAAAGCACAGTGATTAAAGATCTAGGCGAGCACTAATGTGTGCAGCATCTACTCGATGTGGCCACCGACTGCGAAAAAGCTGGAGAGGAGTTCGTCAAATACATTGATGAGCTGATTACGGTGTCGAAGTCTTCCTCACACTTAGAGAGTTTTCAGTCCAGTATCAAGGTAAAATGGCGTCATAGTAAGATTGAAGCGTATGTCTCTAGGCTGGACAAGTTGCAGGGGTCTCTTTCGCTTGCAACAGTGCTTTCTCTACGCAATAGGGAGATCGGTAACCACCACGAGGTCCTTGAACATCTTAAATCAATAAAGGCAGGAGTTGATGCACAACAACAGAATGTCGATGAGCTGATAAAGGCTTTAAACCTCTTACATGGTCTAGTCGAGCAGCAATCGGGTCCGAAGCTAGACATGTTGCAAAAACAGATGGATTCATGCATGGAGAACATCCAGAAAATCCGGTCCTCAGTCACCAGCACCCGAGAAGGAGAGATTTTGCGCTGGCTAGACTACCGGCAAAGAACATGGCGGTTCGAGGAGGTCGAAGAAGCACACCGAACGACGTTCGATTGGATATTCAGAAAGCCATATGCAAAGACACCCTGGCATGATTTCGGTGCCCATCTTTCCGGGAAGGATGTCTATGAACCATACTTCATAAATGGTAAAGCAGGGAGTGGCAAATCGACACTGATGAAGTACCTCGTCTCGAATCCTCAAACAAAAGCAGAACTCCGTAAGTGGGCTGGTCAACACAAGCTTCTCAGTCCATACTTCTTCTCCTGGAATATTGGAACCCCACTACAAAAGAGCCATCTCGGTATGCTCCGCTCATTACTACATAGCATACTCGCTCAGTATCACGAGCTCATACCTGCTGTATTTCCAACCCTGTTTGCCAACAGAATTCCCATCGGCGGCGACGAACCGCCTTCTTATATCGAACTCAAGAATGCCTTCGAACGATTGAAGTTTCGCTCCGCATTCTTTTTGCGCATCTGTATCTTCGTGGATGGAGTTGACGAGTTTGAGGGAGACCATCGGGACATGTCAACCTTCCTTCGTTCCATAGCTTCTCCAGCGATCAAAGTCATAGTGTCGAGCCGACCGATAAATGCATGTCTCAATGTATTCAGACACAGCCCGACACTAAGACTCCAGGACTTGACGCAGGATGACATGCAAGTTTTCATTCGGAATAAACTAAGTTCGCATCCAATGATGGTGGGACTCCAAGCCGAGTGGCCAGGAAAGGCAGCCATGCTGGAAACGGAGATCCGGGAGAAAGCGGAAGGAGTGTTTTTGTGGGTTCGAATTGTCACCGGACTTCTATTGCGTGGATTGGAAGATGGAGATGATTTTGACGATCTTCTTCCTAAGCTTCGTGCTTTGCCGTCTGATTTGCGGGACCTCTATACCCGGATGATGGAGAAGATGCCCGCAGACTATCAGTCACAAGCCTCTCAAATGTTCCAGATCTTTGAGTGGTGGAGGCTTCATTTTGCCGATACGGAGTTGGAATTACTGCTACTAGCTTTTGCTATCGAACCATCGTCCACAGCGCTTAACTTAAGCACGGATGTTTGGAGTACCCAGATGAAAAAGCAGTTTTCTGAGAGAACCGAAGCTCGTATCCGGAGCCGTTGTTGTGGGCTGCTGGAGTTGCGCGAGGTCTCGGCTGTGAGCGCTTTTCAGCCTCCTACTCCAGTGGTCACTTATCTGCATCGATCTGTAGCCGAGTTTGTGACCAGCCGAGATGTGTGGGAAGACATGCTATCACGAACGAACGACATGAAATTCAGCCCTGGTACGCATATCGCATCTGGACTCCTTTCCATCCTGAAAACTTCGAATCCTCCGTTAAGCGAAAATGAATGTTTAAGAGTGCAGTTAGGCTTCGATTTCAATAGAAACGACTACAGCGAAAAGGTCTTACAACTCGTTATGGATGCATGCCGCCGGACTGTCGATATAGAAGACTCATTCATGCTTGAATTCATGGACGCTTTGGATAAGACAATGACTTCGAAAACTCAAGATTTTGAGGGTTACCTGATCGATCAAAGATCTTGTCAGCTCCCTGCACATTGGTCTGCTCGAATCACATCGTCATTTTTGGAACCAGAGATCCAAAATCTTCCCCGTCATATGCATATCTGGTCTCGAGCCAGCATCAATAGTTTCGCAGCTTACGAAGGATCTCTTCCCTTTATAAGAGCGGCCAATCGAAGCTCCAGACTCGCAGACGTTGAGTTGCTCGTACTGTATGCCTTAGGCAGCTGGGCGGACAGGAATGATTACTTGTCGGAACGACGGGACACTCTTATGTTCTTGCTCAAAATTCTTAACGATTGCTCTGAACTTGGAATCGAGTCACCCATTGGAAACAATACTTTGTGGGAGCATGCAGTGGTTGTCGCTTCAGTTCTCCTGACAGACCCGAGAGACCAATCTTGGATTTGTCCATCATCCCCCAGATTTCTGCCAACGGTACCTATATCAAAGCTATCACCATCCTACCATACACCCCAGCACGAGAACAATTGCTGTCGCGGTACAACCATCGAGCACCTAGACAATGATACTATTCTCGATCTCGATGGACGAGAGTGTGATGTGTTATCTGAGCACCCAAACACTGAAGAGAACAGCATCGAAATATGTATCTCAGATATGCAACAGGGTATCGACATACTACTGCTGTTTCTATGTTCTACCAAAACCCCGAGAGAGTTACTCAACAAGGCGATACGGATGCCAGATCGGCCGACCTTCAAACCGGTCGAAATACTCCGAAATGCATTACAAGAAACACTAGCTCAAAAACATGGAGTTAAACATGCATGGAGTCTGCAACCAGAATATCATTTCCTCTATCAGCTGGTCGAGCTCCCGAAACCTGGTCAATGAACAGGTGAGTGAGTACCCAATCCTTTCGAACTAGGGAATGTCTAGCTCATCAGATCCCATAGCTTCATCAAGTAGCGACGACTTATAAGCTTGCTTTGTGTCATGTTATTGAGAAGAAAAAGGTACCATGCTTTCTCTATCTAATCGTCGTTTAATGTAGTAGATCGGTTCATATGTGAGCCATTTCTGTGATGTTCGGCAAGACTGACTGGGTAGGTCTCTGTACCCACACGTTGCACCATAAGGACATTACACAAAGCCGATAGATTATCGAAGTTATAACATCGAAATGGGTGATTGTCCTTTTCCCACTGACGATTGTCAGATATCGCTTTCTTTACCCTGTATCTAATGTCTTATGATATGTTTTATGTATACGAATCTCGTCCTCTTCTGTATGTTGAGCCCGAAGCAGTCCGGTAATTACCCAGCATCACTATCGTCTTACAAAGGATATATGGGTTATCGCTTCCAGCACAGTACAGTCTATTACTTCTTTCCTTATCTCCACGATCTCCACACAGCACAGATTTGTCACGATTATACGTACACTGGATAGCTAAAGTTGTAGAGTACGACTGTCAACGTCGACTCAGATCAAGAGCGACTGAACATGTACTCTGGTCCTCCACGGCCTTACGAGCCTCTATTCTTCCCTCTTGTTTCATTTGTTACCTCACAACAACCTCAGCGCACTATCCACAAGTCGTCGCATATATATACTTTTCCCCGTCCGTCACCCTTCGTTGTCATGGATTCGGGTATCTCAGTCGATCACTGAGGAAAGCGCAGCATCCGCCGATGTCTCACTTATTCTCCGGGGTACTACAGCACAAGACACGTTACTTTCCGCTCGGCAATAAAGTAGCAACCGACTCACTCTTACAATAAACCAATCGTTACGTCTCCCTTGACGCGCGCATAAATCTCGACCTGGGCTACATCAGCCCAATTGTCACGTCACCCTTAACTCGGGCGTAGAGTTCTACCTCGACCTCAAGATCTAGCTCGATCTTGATCTTGAGCGAACTGTCCTTCTCGCCTTCTTTCACGGGTCGGTCCGCGATGCGCGATTGGTGGACAGGAACCATGCGACGGCCCTTTTTAGGTTTCGCGATGGTGGCTTCTAGTTCGGTGTCCCCGCCGTCATCGTCCGAGGTTTGGGATGCTTGTGGCGCAGGATCTTTTTCGATCTCGTTGTTCTTGTTCTGGCCTCCGAGTTTCGAGGGCTTTTTCCTAGGAGTCTGGGGTACTTCTGTGGTAGTGTTGTTGGTTGCGTCGCCAGCTGGGGATCTTGCTGTCAATTAGGATGACATATTGGGATGGAACAAGAACACTGAAAGGTAGATATCGTCACTTACTCTGGAGACATGTTGATAGTATAATCTGGTGTTCCAATCAGACTTAGAGAAGTCTTTGCTAATATTTAATACCTAATCGAAGTAATCAAGGATATAGATGGTAAACTCGGAATTACACTGAGCTCTTCTTTTAAGCTTCAGATACCCGTTAGATACCATGACACAACAATGGCCCGAGACTGACAGAATCCACTCTGAAACCTGTACGCCTTTCTTGTAAAACTCTCAATCAAGTTTCGTTCCCGTGAGAGCAAGGACACCTACCAGGTATAGGATCCTAGATCCATACCGACCGAGCACCGAGCGCAAAAGCAGGTTTAAATATGCTCAGACCATAACGCCATCATCTCCGCACAACTCCATCAGAGACCCAAGTATCATGGTGCTGGGTATTTTGACTGCCATCGCTGCTTGCCCCGCAATCATAGGCACAACTGAAGCAGTGCGTCAAGGCCAAAGACAAAATGCCAGGGAAAAGCATCCGGGCCTGAAGACAAATCTCTCAATATCCTGTTCGCGAGCCACAAGAAGCGGTCGCGGAATCGATCAATGCGAAGTGGTACTCAGCGAAAATAAGGTGAAGCATTCCCTGTCGGGCTTGCGACCGACGCTTGTTGGATCCCTCTTCGAGCTTCACAGCTAACACGACTACGCCAGCTTTATCTCAATGTACCGTCAGATGAGTTTCCAGACGGCCATCCCGAGGATCACCCATTTGCAGGCTACTTTCTGCCGTTCCCAGACCAAGACTGGGGACGACAGGGGGAAGGCATGGTATCGACCATCTCAGATGACCCGCCACAACTGAATTGGATCTATGTGGATCGCGACACCTGCGAAGTCAAACATGGCGACCGAGTTGCTTCGGAACCTCATATCGTTGGCCCATGGGATGTAACAAAGATGGATCGCCGGGTCACATTCATGGGTTGGGAGGGGTTTATGGCTGTTCAGTATGGACCTGGAGAGTGGGCGCTCTATTTCGATGTCGACGACAATGAGCTGCGAGGCGTTATTGGGGATGACTTGGCAAGGGTGGAGGTTGAGCTAGTACGGAAAGAAAGAAGGCAAAGACGGATGTCGTGTGATCCGGGAGCCGGACCTGGGGCTGCGGTCGATAAGCCAAAAACGACGACTAGCATGGTGGTGTTGTAATTTGCGTGCTGGTGTTGAACAGGATCTCGGGGTTTGGCGTTCTTATTTTGTTGGCCTCGGAGCCGAGCTTCATGATGGTCGGGCATCCAGAATCTCCACCCGACCCTGCCCCCCCAAGATTCTACTGTGCACCTCCACTAACCCCCCACTAAAAAAAAAAGTCGAGCACAAATTTATAAATATGTAACAGTAGAGATTTGCTAGTCTGGTGGAAAAACATAGGGATAGTAGCGAACTAAAAGGCAATCAGCTCGGAAAGATCCAAGCAGTAGCGGGAGGAAAACGGAAGAAGGCTGAAAGGTCTTCAGACACTGAGAACACGACACTCACTCAACAACCAACAACAGCTATACATAGCAATAATACAACCAATTTGCATCGAGTACCCGTTCCGACGGAGAACAGGTGAATACTCCACTACAATGCTTAATGTTGTTTTTATCATCGTTGTTGACGTTCCTTCACCGAGGTAGGCACGAAGGTAGGCAGGCACTGCTCCATTCCCTTCCTCTAACACTGACTCAACACCGCCTTGACACGACTTTACGTCAAAACAGTGTCTTTATAACCACCGAAGCCTTGCGCTGTCAAGTTTATGATAATCTCATTCCTCAGAACTATGTATATTGTTAATACTATATTAACACTGCTGCATCACTAGTTCTAAGACCCTCACCCGCGCGTTACGGTATGGAGAACTTCACGAACGTGTAGTCTTAGCATACTTCCCTGTGGTAGCCACACTGGCACCAAGATCAAGAGGTCCCCAGACTCTACGGCTCCAGACCGGACCGGGCCCACAAATATTTGTGAACTCTAATGAGTGGACACGGTCCACACGGTCCGGCAGCCCCGCACCTCCAGTGATGGAATCATAGAACTGGAATGCTACTCTAAAACACAGTACCTAGTATAACACGGGATCGACTGCTCCGTGCGTTCATCACCCCAAAATCTTTGAGAGCAACCATGTCCCGCGTTCTACATCTCGGTAAGGCGGAAGGCAAGCCTGGAGAAGTATACTATCCGTAAGCTCCTATCCGGACCTCAGAATAATGCACTGACTACTTGGCTAACTCCCGTGTCCATGGAAGCCTTCAGTTGAGGGAGACGCAGATACCTGTGCCTCGAGATGATGAGGTCTTGGTTCGTCTGAAAGCGGCAGCACTGAATCATCGCGATCTGTTTGTCAGGCATCATCAGTACCCAGCCATATCGCTCGAGAACCCCATGTTATCAGATGGCTATGGCACAGTCACTCAGCTCGGCAAAGCAGTGCCTGATGAGTCTCTCCTCATGCAAAATGTGCTTTTGACACCCATGCGAGGCTGGGTGTCTGATCCAGCTGGCCCTGAAGATACTAGCAAATGGTCCATCACTGGATCGAGCCGTCTGAACAATGTGGGGACTGCGCAAGACTATGTCTGCGTCCACTGGGAAGAAGTCGTCCCTGCACCGAAGCATTTATCTGCAGTTGAAGGAGCAGCTTTGCCCTTGGTCGGACTCACAGCCTGGCGGGCGTTGACCACCAAGGCTCGTGTGCAGTCGGGGCAGAATATTCTCATAACAGGTATCGGAGGCGGCGTGGCTCTCTCAGCGTTGCAGTTTGGTGCAGCCATGGGCGCCAACATCTATGTTACCTCCGGCAGCCAGGAAAAACTGGATCGAGCTCGGGATCTAGGCGCACAAGGCGGTGCCATCTACAAAGCGGAGAAATGGGAAAGCGATATCCGCCAACAATTACCATCCTCACGGCCCTTTATTGATGCCATAATCGATGGCGCTGGCGGTGATGTCGTGAGTAAGGCTGTGAAGCTTCTCAAGCCTGGAGGTGTAATCGTCCAGTACGGCATGACTGTCTCTCCCAAGATGAATTGGACCATGGCGGCTGTTCTGCTGAACGCTGAGTTGAAGGGAACAACTATGGGGTCGCGACAGGAGTTTGGAGACATGGTGAAGTTTGTGGAGGATAAGGGGATATGCCCAGTCCTCAGTAGAACCGTCTCGGGACTAGGCAGTCTTAGGGAGATCGACAATCTCTTCGAAGACATGGAAGCTGGACGACAGATGGGCAAACTGGTTATTGATATAGAGGATCGAAGTAGCTCTAAAATTTAGAAGATGTATTGTACATAATCAGCCATAACTCTAGCTAATTCTGTCCCCATTGGACATCAGGTCTCGCTTGCTTGCTTCATTAGCAGTTGAAGAGGTTCCTTATGACGTCTTTAAAGGACTACTGCAAGACATTAATAGTTCAACAACTAGGCAGCTATGGTCGTGAAGAGACTGCTGAAAGCTGTAACGACTCAGATCACTTATCACTGGAGGCATACATGAGTGACCCATTGTCTCGCCTACCCTTACCTCTACCACCGTTTCATTCATTCCATGGATGTACTACATTCGATCGCTGAAATCGATGGTATGACATCAACAATGATGCAATGTCCGAACTCGCCAGCAGTCTTTCCGCACTTTTGGCACACGAAGACGTTTCATATCTACGACATGCTCTCATACCGCTCATGATACTAGAATTAGTCTATCGGCCCGGGAGTATGGAGCGTGCCATATCCTAGTGCATGGCTCAAGAGAGCACTAAAGCGCTGAACCCAATAGGCAGACCGCCACTGGAAATAAACATCTCATGGAAACTACTTTACCCATATTATATGCAGATGAAACAGCAGCACTGAAAGTACCGGGCACGTCTTCAGTGAGCTACAAAACCCACCACCGGCATGGACTTGCGACCATATGTCAAATTATCTGAATCTGACTAGTATATGTGAGTGGACAGAGGATCGCCATGCTGGAGTCAAGGATCATGATCGCTGTGTTGATCATGCGGTTCAACTTCTCACAAGTTGCCAAGCGCCTAAGCAGGTATCAAGCACAGGATAGATTGACCTCGCGGCCCCAGCATTGCTATGTTAGTCCACAAGCAGCAAAAGTAAAGGTCGATAGGTAGACACACTACACGAATTGGGCTTGAGATGAACACAACAGCCTTTGACGCAGGGTCACACGTAGTGGCGGAGCTAGGTAGTGCCTGTCGGATAGGGGGCCATGAACCACAAGATCGCGATCCAGCGCTCCACTGGTTGTGCTCATGGTGTATACGGACTACTAAATCAAATGGATGTACCGGGCAAAATCACGAGTGACCGGACGGCGTAGCGGTAGCGCTATTCACTGCTGAACTTGGTCTTTAGAGTGATTTGCTTTACTAAGGGTTTTGAAACATTATCATATGTACGTACATGTACCCTACCAAACCATCGCATCACTGCTGCGATAGCAGTTGGGCTCAGGCGCTGAATAGAAGCATGGCGAAGTCTTTGCTTCACTTAGCTGCACGACAGGCTTGAGGACCTCAAACTCACCCCAGTCACCCTTCAGAGTTGACATGTGGTCTTGGCCAGCGACTTGGGGAATAGTTTCCCTCCAACTCTTAAGCACTACGTCCAATAGCTCAAGAACGAATAGGTCCGGGCCAATCTGGTCCCACTTGAACCTCTGGCTACACTCCTCCACCACTTTGGGAGGGTACAGTCCGAGCTCGGGTTCCAGGTGAAGAGCTGCCGCAGACATCAGAGTGGCGAAAACGTGGTAGGAGCCACCTTCACGCGCGCGGTCTCTGATAGCCATCGCTGTGCCAATAGCACCGATCAATCCTGTAAGCATGTCCGGTACAGGGAGCGCGGGTAGAATACAAGTGCCGTCTGAATGACCCAAGCTTCGTCCCGTGACGTAGGAGCAGCCAGATGCGGCGTCGGCAATTTGCTGCCATCCAGGTCGCTCGGCCATGGGCCCATCTGGACCGTAACAGTTCTCCTCGACGTATACAATGCCCTTGCCTCTCTTACCAGCCATCTCCAGAAGATTGTCGCGACTGAGGCCGTTCTTAGCAATCACTCCGGGTCGGTAGCCCTGAACGAAGACGTCGGCATCCTCGATGAGCTTGAGCAAGTTCTTGACCTCTTCGTCCTTCTTGAGATCAACATCCATGGTTCGAACGCCAGCGTTGAGTGTCAGTTGAAGTGACTGTTGCGCGAGATGAATTAGCTTCGGCCCGTTTGTAATAATAGGAAAGAGAATCAAGACACGAGAAAGAACAAATTGTATCATAAAAGTAGCAAGTCAGGAGAGAAGAAGGTTATCTGTGGACTTACATTGAAATCTGGTAGTCGGCCACAGTTAACTCGGATAACGTCCGCTCCAAGTGATGCCAACGTCGTCCCTATCACCGGTCCTGCGATGATACGAACCAATTCCACGACCTTGATGCCCGCCAGGGGTCTTTTATCGGCAGACATTGGCAAAGGAATGGCTGGCGTTGCGACTGCGTGTGTCTGCCGTTTATAGTTGATTAAAGGGTGCTTGGATAAGTCTTTGGCCATTCGCGTCTACAGATGTGGAGATGCGAAGTCAGTGTATGTCTCATATGCATTTCGTACAGTCATAACCTACCTCCTTCCACCCAGCTGGAGTGTGGCAGATACTTCCGCAAAGGCCTTGTATCATATGCATCATTTCCAGCTCGTGTGCTCCGAAATTGCGAACTTTTTCGGTGATGACTTTGTACGCCTCCTCATTGCTGGCGCAGTGCTGTGATGGGTCGAGGCCGATCGTTTTCAGGACTGGGTCTGCATCCAAAGACCCGTGCAGTTGGAACCAAACGCCATCGTCTTTGGTCGGATAATTGGCAGTGGCGCGTACTCTAAGCGGAGTACTAAATATGTCGCCTTCAAGGTCCTTGGGGAAGATGGAAGCCAGCTCGCCCTCTTTTGCGAGTTCACGCACGGTTTTGCCGTTACGCTTGCTCATCCCCACACATGCCAACCACAATGAAGCATGGTCTGTGTCAACCGATACAGAGCGATTGGGACTTGGGCCATCTCTTGATTGGAGCAGTTCGTTGGCGACAACACCACACATGGCATGTAAGGCACCAGCGATTACTGATGATTTCAACGGGCCAGGCGTGATGGGCGCAGGAGAACCCGAGAATTCCACGGCATCTAGGACCGCCTCATTTTTGCTGAACCCTGGCGTCGCGTTTGCGAGAATTCTGAGAAGTCGACGTGCATCGTCAGGTACAGGAAGGGGTTCGGTGTCTATCCAGGACCCGGGACCATAAACGTCTTCGCCGGAAACTATGCGCGACATGTCTGCCCGTTTTCTGTGATGTTGTACGCTGGAGATAGAAAGAAAGCTTGATAGGAACACGTCAGAACAATCAACGTAAACAAGAAATGTCGCTGTTATCTCTCGACAAGCTTGCTAGACTAAGTCGAACGATTTAAAAAGGGGCGCAATTCCATGAGGTTCGGCTGAACGGATCGATTGCCTAGCTTGAGCAAGAACATTTCAAATGACTCTTTTTCAATAGCAATAATTCAGTGTCCCTTCTTGTGATCGGCAGAAGTGACGTGGATTTGGTGGGGTGCCGGGAAAGAAGAGTGGGTACGGTCCGGCTCCGATCCGTGTGAACGGTACATGACAGGATGAACGTGTATCCTCCATGCCACGAGCGGCTAGCGGTCTTGCTCTCTGCGAAGATCACGAGGAATTTTAACATAGATCAGAACTCTTGCTTCACCTGGGCAGCTGGGTATGAGTCTCAAGGTACACAAAGGCCGCGCCAACGCCACAGCCGATATACAGGCCTTCGCTAGACTTATCTCATTCATCAGACGCTCCGCTTACTATGATTCTTCCGGTGGAGCAAATTTGAGCCAATCAACGATTACTGGCGTAAGGCAGCTGCGCAGCATAAGCGGAGCGTCTGAGAAAAAAGTTTCCTGCTTCGGTGAAGGTCGGACAAAATCAGGCATTTCACCTACATTGAACACAACATTACACTTGCTGCAAACAGAAAATCTAAGGCTTCCCGTTCACTCAGCCCCATCTCATCAATACATGTAGTGCCAAAGGAAAGTGATTTGTACCAAATGTGATTGACATCTGAGATATTCTATCTGAAATTACTCCATTCTTTGCATATCGACCATCTTCTGCGACGAGTCAACATCGTCCGATTTCCACAGCGAAGTCACAGTCTTCCACTGTGTATAAAACCTCAATCCATCTTTACCATAAAAGTTCAACGAGCCACCTCCAGCGATGGACTTCTTGTTACCAGTAAAGGAGAACATGGGCAGTGGGACAGGAATGGGAACGTTGATGCCCAGCTGTCCGGCCTGAAGGTCTTTCTGGAATTTTGCCGCTGCTGCGCCGGATCTCGTGAAGATCGCAGCACCGTTACCGTAGGGATTATCGTTGATCAGCTTAATGGCTTCATCGAGGTTGCTAGCATGCAAGCACACTAGTACTGGACCGAAGATCTCCTCAGTGTAGCACTTCATGTGCGGCTTGACGTTGGTGATGATGGTCGGACCAACCTGGAGAAGGAAGGGTTAGATCAGTATTACGTCTCGCATTACTCACGCAGAAAAACTTACAAAGTTTCCGTTGGGGTATTTCGCTGGCCTGTAACCTCTTCCATCGATGAGGATAGTAGCACCCTCTGCCTCAGCACTGGCAATAAGGTCTTCCACCCTCTTTTGGCTCTCTGGTGAAATCAGCGGGCCGAGATCAGCTCCTGCTTCGAAGCCACCGTTAACCTGAAGGCTTTTGGCGCGCTCAGCGAGGCCATGTATCCATTCTTTTGTGTCGCCAAGGGTCACCAGAGCGCTCAGAGCCATGCAACGCTGACCAGCAGCGCCGAACGCAGCACCAGCGATGCTGTTGAGTGCTAGATTCTTGTTCGCATCCGGCATAACTAGTGCATGATTCTTTGCTCCAAGGTTAGCCTGTACTCTCTTTCCCATAGCAGATCCCTTCTCATAGATGTACTCTCCAGCCTGGTTAGAGCCAACAAAAGAGATAGCATTAATGGTTGGATCGTTAATGATGAAGTTTACTGCTCGTTTGCCACCATGAATGATATTTATAACACCTTCAGGAAAGCCAGCCTTGCTACAGAGCTCAGCAATAATCATGGAAGCGCCAGGCGTCTTCTCTGAAGGCTTGAGAACGACTGTGTTGCCAGTGATGGTCGCAATGGGAATGGACCACAGAGGAATCATCGCCGGAAAATTGAAAGGGCAAATAGAGGCGACCACACCTAAGGGTTCCCGGTACGAGCGAGTTTCCATGTCCTTTGCAACTTCCAAGACCTCCCCAGGAATTTGCGTTGTGATGCCGCAGGCAGTTTCAACTACTTGGAGGCCGCGAAGAACGTCACCCTTAGCGTCGGCGACAGTCTTTCCCTGCTCCAGCGTGATTGAATACGCTAAGCGATCCATGTTTTCTCTTATCAAAGCAGCTAGTCTGAAAATGATCTGCTGCTTTTTCAAGAGACTAGTTGCCTTCCAGGCAGGGAAGGCCTGCTCAGCCGAATCAACGGCCTGTTGAAGCTCCTCATCGGTGCTCTCTGGAACCCGAGTAACGGGCTGGTTGGTGGCAGGGTCATGTAATTGGATCCATTCTGATGCTTTAGAAGGAACGAAGGCGTTGTTCAGGAAGTTGGGTGTGTCGGCAGGATTGTCGATTGTGTCGTGGTTTGTAATGTATCCACAGTTGGAAGTAGTTACGGGCGCCTGACCTCCAAGCTGAGACGACAATGAGAAGAGTCTAGTATGAGCTTGATGCGATGCCATCTTGAAAGATCGAGGTGGTGTTTTCGGTGTGGGGCGTAATGCAGCTTGGAAGGGACGAAGTCGCAGTTGTCTCAAGGGCGCGCTCATGATAATGGGTTTGGGAGAAACAGAATGACATGGATAGTACTTAAGAAGACAAATAGAAGAAAACAGGTAGTAGACTATTGATCTTGTCCCCCGGTGTCGCGAGAAATCGATTGGAAAAAAGCTCAAGGATGTGCGACCTCGGTCATTCACCTAGCCTCCATTTCTCCTAGCCGTCCCGTCCACAGCCGTCAGAAGCTGGACTAGCATGAGACACACATGACCTGAACTGTGTTCGCGCGTATGGTATCGTATGGTGTAATCTGGTGACGTCCGGACCGCCGGCGGCTAGCCGGACCGTCTCCACTTTTCTCCGTTGCCTGGGGTCGAGTGGGTCAAGTTGGAATCCCGTAGTAGATTGCCAGTCGTGGTCGTTCAGTTGTTCAAGAGTTCAGGAGTTCATTCTTAGGTACCATTTTTGCGCCAGCGATTGTTCGTCGAAACATACTTGGGGAATTTGTTCTACTCTAGAAATCATGCGCTTTCATAAAACACTCCAACAAACCAGCTCAATAGCAACTGCTTCATCAGCTCGACCAGGTCTTCTCAGTGCTACCAGTCTAGCACATCATCGTTTGCAAGGCAGACAAAGGTCTTTCGTAACCACATCTGCTATGGCTTTCTCATTGGATAGATCCAATACAATCGGCTTCATTGGCCTAGGAGCCATGGGCCACCACATGGTAGAGCCCTTGACAGCCCCAGACCATGCAAAATTTTGACTGACTATAGCTTGAATAGCTCAACAACCTCGTAGCAAGACACAAGCGGCCAGGAAGTGGAGAGGTTGGCTATGCCCTGTGTGATGTAGATCAGGCGGCAGTGGACAAGATCGTGAAGCACCACGCATCAGAGCACCCAAATACACCTCTTGTGAGCTGCTCATGTAAGTGAACAATGCGGCCATGAGGTATAGCATGCAAAAAACGTCGTGACTAAAGAATACCCTATAGCACCCTATGATGTAGCACAGAAAGCTTCCGTCATCATCAGCATGGTTCCTACCGGGAGACACGTCGAGGATGTCTACGTGGATGGAAGTAAGAGCGTGCTTAGTGCTCTTGAGTCCATGAGCCAAGAAGAGCGTGCAGCAACCCTTTGCGTGGATCAGTCCACTATTGAGCAAAAGGTCAGCAAGACAGTCGCATGGCGACTGAGGGAAGCTGGTGCAGATCTTGTAGACGCCCCTGTCTCAGGAGGTAAGTCAATTGTTCTTGTTCCCAAAGCATCAAAAGCTCACCAGTGTGTAGGTGTCATCGGTGCAGAGAAAGGCACCTTGGCCATCATGGTTGGGGGATCCAAATCCTCCTTCGATCGAGCAGTCCCAGTACTAGAGTCTATGTCTCGAAAGGTAACATACTGTGGGGACCTCGGCGCTGGACTTGCTGCAAAGATCGCAAATAAGTACATTGAGTTCTTCACCCATGACAATCGATGCATTCACTGACCGCGGATTGTTGCCTATATAGCCTTCTTCTGGGTATCACTATGCTTGGCTTGAGGTAAGCAAAATCATCAGAAAAATTCCTTCTACTCCTCTCTGCCAGCTTCTGATTAAGTCTTCAGCGAAGCCATGTTGCTCGGCAAGAGGCTTGGTGTTGATTCTCAAGTACTCGCCGATATCATAAATAACTCTACGGGCCGCTGTTGGTCTAGCGAGGTAAGCTCTCCAACAAGTCCCTTATTTACTCCACGGTTCGCCCGCTTGCCTCACTAAGATAAGCTGACGTGTCTGGTTAGATCAACCACCCGGTCTCCGATGTCAAAGTCAGTGGATCTAGCCCTCCAGCGCACCGAAACTACGAGGGTGGCTTCGTGACGAAGCTGGCTCACAAAGATCTTGCTCTTGCGGTTTCAGCCGCTGATGAGGCAGATGTACCTCTTGCTGTGGGCCGATGCGTTGAAGAGTTCTATCGGCCATTGGCAAACTCTGAAGAGTTTGGAAACCGCGACTTCAGTGTTATCTACAAAGCACTTGATGCCATGGGCTCTTCAGCAGGAAACCCCAAGTTCTAGGACACGTTTTGATCCTATTTTACATATAGCGAAAAAGGTCGGGCAGATTTGAGAAGATGGAGAAAGGGTTAATCCGGTTTCTGGATATGGTATCTCTCATCACCTCAGGTATATCGCAGATGCAAAGATATTCAGTTTCGAGGGTGAACATGAGGTTTTATGCTTTTATAAGTAAGATGATCTGGCCCCCTAAGATTCTTCTACTCCATACTTGTCGAGTTGATATTTGACAACATGGCATAGTCGATCGGATTGAACAATTCAACCCATGAGCTGAGGGTGCTGCCATTTAACATCTGGCCACTCATCATCTCATCCTCACTGAGTTGATTTGACATGGTGTTGTAATCAACTACTGTCCATAACGCTTCTTCCTCCAACGGCGTTAAATCCAGGACTTGCGTGAGCCCATTCAGATAAGTACCTGAAAAGTGGGTACAGACTAATCGTCGGAGTGTCGAAGCCTGTTGGAGAATATTAGCACACCTAGTATGACACCATATGAACAAGAGCACGTTACCATTGTTCTGACGTTCCCCCAGTGCTGACCAATAATATCCAAATATGTCAAAGCCTCATCGAGCAAAACTTTGGCTTGTTCAGAGGCGACTGAATCGGGGTCAAAGGTTCGCAAAGCAATTACGGACCCCGCAACAGTCACTGCATAACCGCTGGACGATGAGTGGAATGAGCAGCCTGACTCACGTGCCTCTCGAATAAGGGTCAACATCTGCCGCGCGTGAAGCCAGGCCAAGTCAGATGATCGGTTGATGAAGCTGATAGGTGCGAGGTTGGGGCATGTGTTGATGCGCCGTCGCAGTAAAAAGGGGTGGTTAAGGAGACAATAACAAAGATGAAAGAGTGCTCGGGCAAAGATGATTGGTCCAGTCGACTGGCTGTCCACGACACCTTCCGGCGAGATATGTGGTGCAAGCATTTCGCTCACTGGCCTCTGAATCTCCAAGTAAGCTTCGAAATGCAGAAGATCAGACTCGATGCTAGTAAAGTCAGAGCCTGGATCCCACGGGGGATAATGGCCTCTGATGTTAGAATCCTGGAGCACATACTGCGAGCACCTTCCCAAGACATGCGCAATAGCGATTACTTGGGCTGACGGGGATTGTCTTTGTGCGACTGAGAAGGTCCGATTCATGATCTCATCCAAGGATTGCGTTTTTGCCCACAGCCCCTCCCTCCATGTCAACTCATCGCAAGGCAGCTGTGCGTGGCATGATGCATCGACAATAGCCGGTGGTCGACCGCGGCCGCAGGAGACTAATCTATCTAGGAGGTAGACTGACCAAAAGACCCTTCGCCGTTCTTCCTGCTCCGTGTATGGAAGATGTGTCGCGTTGTCCAGCATCAGCCCGCAATCCTGTGCCATCCGGACAGCCAGACCGACTTTGACCCAAGCTGAGCCATGGCGCAATCGACCGGCTATACGAGGAATGAGCTGTCAAGGACGGAGAAAATAAGGGATACGGAAGTAGTTTTGAGTTTGCGGAAAAGCCTACCTGTAAAGTCAAACAGCCCTAATAAGGCAACAGTCTGAACTGCGGACGTCTCGGCCGCTCTCTCCACAGTGAAACAGTCTGACACAATCAATTTCCAAGACTTGTTTGCATATTCGACCGACATTTCCAGGACACGGTCGGTAAAGTACGGGTGAGAGCAGAACCGAACAGCAGTTGCCATCACAGCTAGAACAAGATGACTCGGAATGGTGTGATTATATAAGCGTTGCCGGAAGGTCTGCTCGCAAAAGAACGAGTAAGGCTGATTATGGCAGTAAGTGAAATAAGAATCAATGACGGCCATGAACACATCGTCAGGCGGTCCAAAGTCGCCGTATGCGCTATCGTTTTTATGGTTATTGCGTGACTGTTCGGATCGGCGTTGTTCTGAGGTTGGAAAAGCCACCACTGAGCTCCCCTCGACCTGTCTAGAAGGTGTTGGTAAGCCCATGGGCCCGAGGCTGCCGCCCTCCGTCATAGACACAAGGCATCTCTCGATCCTATTACAGTCACAGGTCAGTCGCAATGGTCCTGTTGCTAGTCGACTCGTAGTATGTACCGTTGAAGACTTGACTCCATACCCTCGATTTTGGCCTCGAGAGTCGCGAGCTTATCCATGACATCTGCCGTCTAGCGAAGGCATAAGTCAGGGGTGACACAAGGAAATGGTACCTGCCAGGTGACATCAAGGCTTTGGAAAATACATGCCTCTGTTCTAGTTGGTCTAGCGGCTTCCCTGGGACGGTCATACTGCTCTTCGCCCGCTGCACGAGGAAGGTGCTGTCTCGGAGCATGTGGACGAGAGGCAGTCTCGACGGGATACACACAATCTTGTCCCATTGAGTCCATGACAACCAATTTAGGTGTGACAGATATCACCTACCAGTGTTGAGTCTCTGACATTGTCCACAGACAGGCCGCTCGCCGCTGCAGCGGCATTTCTTTCGCCTTTGCTGGGATCAGTACAACGCCGGCCAGAACCACTAAGGGGAGATGCAATATGCATACCGGCATTGTAAGCAGGCCTGAGCAATGCGCTGCACCGGAAAGTAGTCTTCGACTCTGCTGGCCATGGCGGAGCAGGAAATGACACGGGACGCTTGATCGTGTGGTGGAGTTGGTGAATCAGAGGTGGCTTGCGACAGGCAATCGGTTACGCTATCGTGGCCACCGCACCGGACCGGACCCACCCCGACCAGCGTTCCCTCCACACCCGTACGCGTTCGAAACCTGAGTCCACTATCGGGCCTATGTTTTGCTTTCGTAATAAGCGTTTTCTAGCTTGTCATGCGAACGTAGTTTACTTGGCTAAAGAAGAGGATGAACGGCGATGAAGCACCCCGCGCATGGACAAGCTGCGTTCCATCGCCTATTCTTTCCTTCTTCCTCTGCCTTGAGAACCAAAACCAACTCCTGTTAGAATTGAAACTATTGCCCCGACCAAGAAGACCATCAGCCCAGCCAGATCAGACTCGCCTCCGCGTTCGCAAAGCTTTACGAGTCGGTACATTGTGCAATTTTCCAAACTCAGCGAGCTAATGGTGTGGGACTTTTACAGCTCCTTAACAAACGTCGCACGCAATGGACGAACGAGTACCTGTAATTATGCACGCCGAGAAGGTCAGCGACCTCGCATCTGATTCGTTTCCCGACGCCACCTTCGGCAATGTCGTCTGGAAGACATTATTTTGCAATAAAAACGCTGCCTCAGACAACATGTGCGCAGGCATTGCGACTTGTCCACCAAACGGCACGCTCGCTCTTCATCAGCACACTCAGGCCGAAATGTACTACGTGCTTTCGGGGTCTGGTCAGGTGGAGATCGATGGCATAAGACATCATGTCAATGAAGGCACTGTGCTTTGGATCCCTGGAGACGCCGTACATGGCGTCTTCTGCGGTTCGGATGAGACGCTCAAGTGGCTTTATGTCTTTCCAGAGGGCAAATTTGAGAACATTGTATACCGGTTTAAAGTAGCATAGTATGGCACTTCATAGATCAGGCAAAAGGCATATTCGGGGCGATCGGGGAAAGAAGGGATTGGGGGTCACGCATATAGTTTGAACAGTGTTGTGTACTTGTAAAGATTGTATATCTCAAGTGAGTATAAAAGTGACAGTCAAGTCTAGCTTTATCGCATTGATCAGACCGCCCGCAGAGCACTAACGCCCAATTGGGACTGACGCGACGTCAGGGCGAAGCTCTGCGGAGCGTCTGAGAAAAGATGATACCCCTCCCCCTAACAGCCGTGTTGTTATTATTGCCTAGTATCCTTCATCCATCTTTCTTTGACTGACTTGATGTAAAACACCATGATGGACATGCTCGCGCATGAGGGCGGCTCTGCTTGGTCCAACGCTCCTGTCTTTATACAAACCAGCAGTGTACATATCCCACACAACATGGGGCTCTGCGGTCGAGTTTGTCACTAACACGTTGCAATCGCGACAGCCGGGCTATCTTGGATTCATGTCGGCAGGAATAGTGTTTCTGCTCAGGATCCCGATTTTGGGAAAGATCGGTTGTAGAAAGTTGAGCGGAACCAGAAGTATTGATGACTTTGTCAAAGATTGAGCAGTTACAGTGTAGACCTGTTGGGCTTTTGGCTCTTGCAATCTCTTGAGATCGCATCTTGATATGATCCAACATTCCGATCGTTGTTCCGGGAATGAGGTGTCATGTTTTCTCAATTTCTTTCGTCATAGGAACACTGAAAAGCCCTTCTGCCAAAGCTGTCATATCGTGTCCAGGACTCGAAAGCATCAATCTGATCGCATCCACAATATCGTCTGGTAGTTGTCCAAAGCGGCAGAGAATGTTGAGGCTCGCAGGCGCCATTGGCGTTTTGGCAACATAGATCACGATCCACGAGTTACCGTCAGCATAGCAGAATATATCGCGGTATCAGTTGCCATCGGGGCTGCGTGATGATGGAGGTGATATAGGTGAGATGAGCATCACGCTGCTCTGCGAAGAGGAGCAGGAGTGCTGCCTTGGTAGATAGGCAGCAATCACTTAGCGTCCGCGCTAGCTCACTCGCATCTACCTCGTATAAGAACATCGCATTCGTCCATCAACATGTCGGTTCAGCTCTAATTGGCAGAATACTCCAGGTCAAGTGCACTTACAGACCATGCCGAGATCCACCCGTTCTTCGGTACGTTCTCGGGCCATCGCATCAAGCCAGAACGCCGTAGCGTCAACGCGCCGACAAACACGAAGCGGACAAACGCCATCATCATCAGCGACTCCTAAAACGAGCATCACTCGACGCAGGATCCCAAAGCCGCCAACTTTTGCATTTCTTGCTCGTCATCAAGATGTAATCAACGCGGATTCCAACAGACAGCTCCGTTTGTTCGCTCTTCCAAAAGAACTGGTCCTGCAAATTGTAACATATCTTCCCCTGACATCAGTCATCTGCCTTACTTTGACATGCAAAGAGGCCGCTGAAACAGTTGGGACGCAGTCCTGGGCCACGATGAAGAATGAAGGCCGATGGACCGCGAACCGGTACGACTTCATCGAGCTTTTGGAGCGAGATTGGGGTGACAGACTGGATTACTGCCACCGCTGCGACATCCTTCATCCCCCTCTACAACCACCAAGAAACCACCGAGGCACAAAACTGACTAAGCGGTGTTTTGGACAAAATGCAATGATCGACTACCTCCCTCAAGATGCGTCGCAGGGATACAACCCAGTGCTGATACACATCACCAACGCCATAGAGGAAACCAAAGATTTTGCTTCGAAGGGCGATGTCGGACCACTTCTTGACACACTATCTGGTAGTTTTGAGATTATGAAGAAGGATTTATCCTGGTGCCTTGACTCGACCGGCCGGCGTATCGACGGCAATCTGGTGCTCAAGCATGTGCACACCTTCCGGAGTCGAACGAGCAAGCGCATCAGCGCGACGGATCTGCTTACTCTACCTATCCGTCTCTGCCCTCACCAGTCCACCGCTACAAACACACCCGAATCATCCTGGTACATCAATGGTCGAAGTGCAGAGCAGAATGGTCGCTTGCTGACACACGTCATCGCCTCTGCATTTCCAGAATCGGATCAGTCGCGAGTTGACCTAAGTACTTTCGGACCCCTGACGCCGTCAGAGCAAGCGCAGGTATCCGCTTCCAAAGCCGGAGAGAAGATATACTGGCAGTGTCGATCGTGTCCGACGAAGTATCGTGTGCAGCGATGCCGGAATACATTTGTGATCACGAGCTGGCATAGCTTTGGGAGGGATATGTACCATGCGATGAAATACTGGAAGTGGTTGGTCAGACGGACCGGCACTACGCTGGGCCCAGACAAGAGGAACGACGAGTGGTGGAGTCCGTCGCGGACGGTGCCGGATTTCATGTGCGAACTCGAATGACGACTGGCCAATGAATCGTGTGAGATGTATGGCACCCCCAGAAGTTCTACCACCGTAATGGCTGTCATCTAAAGAGTGCCAGAGTCATAAGCTCAACCTATCTTGTACGGCATGAAGCCAGGGCTGCCCTTCCTCCTGTCCACAAGTCCATAGGTTACGACACCGGCGGGGACCTCACATGACCGTCACTAAAGCCTATCCAATCGTCCACTTGATAGTCAGCGCAGCTTGAAGAGCCGTAGTTGCGGTCTGTAGACTGTTCACAGCCTCAGTGAGACTTGCTACGCGAGTAGCAGTGAGTCCTGTGTTGAGAGCTGCTGCGGGCCCGAGACTTGCTACGGTTGCAGCGGAAAGAGCTTAGATGAGAGCAATGACAACAGCTCTCTCAAGGTCCGTGAACAAAGTAAGTTCAGTTACATTAATCAGTATACTGATAGCGGATCTGAATTGACTCCGAATTCCGCTATGCCGTTGTAGCAATGCACCAACTTCATTGTTCCGAATACTACGCGTTCAGAAAGACTCGAGAAAGACATTGCCTGGATATTATCACAGGATTAGGTATAGAACTAGATATGGGCACCGCCTTCAGAGAGATCAAAGCCGAAGACAACCAACAACATGATATCGTCATCGATGCCGCGCCCTACAAATCTTACGACGCACGTTCTTACCTCCGACTTGGTCAACTGCGATCGATACTCGCGAGCCACTACGACTGCACTAGAGACGGTCCAATACTGAGCCATGGTAGTAGACAATAGGTCGATACAGCTCTGGATAAATTGACGTCGGGGCTCGAAAAAGGCCGGATCGTTCTGTACGAAGAATGAAGATTTGCATAACATATTTTTCTAGGTAAACATGCCAGCACTTGGCATCTGAAACTAGCAAGAACTAAACTGTGTCGCAAAATGGTATCTCTCAGTAACAAAACGCCCTTGAATGCCATGCCATGCTGTACTTCTTCTTCCACTTGCACTCATCTCTACCTCCCACCAACACCCCTCTCCCTGCCAGCCGTATTGTTGTTATTACTCGGCGTCCTCCACTCATCCTTCAACACCCACCTCCCCCTCTGCGCACTCCCACTAACCTCTAGCGTAGCAATCAACTTGAGCATCTCTTTGAACTCCTCATTCCGCCCCGGCTGCGCACGGCAATAATGATCAAAATGATCGACCAGCATACGACTAGGAACCACACCGCCATGCGTAAGCATGAAATCGCGAATCATTTCGAGCATACGGCGGCCGCGAAACGTCTGTGGTGTTGTTGGTGCAGTTGGGGTGGAGGCGCGAGATGAAGTGGCGGATGTTGTCCCTGGGTTGAGGGGGGAAGGGCGACCTTGGCGGGCGGCGAGGTTGTTAAGGATGGATGTTGAAGAGGGGGCAGAACCGCCGCGTCCTCCACCTCGACCACCACGACCGCCTCGCGTGGATGTTATACCGCGTGGTGCCTCGGGTCGTCCTGCTTCACCGAATTGACCAGTCCATGTCGGTGTTCCTGCTGGCACGTTTCTGGCCTCTTGCATGCTCTTCTTGAGTTGTTCGGCCGCTAGGGCGGCTTGTCGCTTTGCTTCGCGTTGGATGTACGCCGGGTCGGCTTGGACTTTTCGTTTGCGACCGCCAGCTGTAGAGTTCATGATTGCGTCGTGTTCGAGGACAGAGTGAACGCCTGTCTTGGCGAAGATGGTTGACATCAGACGGGAGTCTGTAGGAGGTTTGTCATCAGCTGTTGTGCCGTCTTCGTTAGTGGTGGCAGCGTCTTCTGTGTCAGTCTCGGGGGCCTTGAAAGCTTCAGCCCGCGAAATACCCTTTACTGCGGCGAGGTCCTCGGCTCCTGTAGCATCGGCCGCTGCATCAGCAGCAGCAGTCTTGCCATCTTCCTCGAACTTGACTTCCGAACCACGGAACAAGTTGCCTGTCTCAGTTTCGCCCTCGACATTTTCGACACCAAGTGTGAATAGATCATGAAGATCGCTCATCTGGAATGATTGTCGCTGTTTAGGATCCTTCAGCACCTTGTTCGTCAGGAACTGCTTGAAAATCTGACGATGGTAGATCTTCTCTTCGATGGTACCCGCGGACATGAGACGGTATATCTCAACCTCTCGCTTCTGTCCTAGACGCCATGAACGCTCTCGCGCTTGTATATCAGTAGAAGGATTCCAATCAGGATCGTATATGATGACGCGGTTGGCGCCTGTCAGGTTGACACCGAGACCACCGACCTTCGTTGTTAGCAGGAAGACGTGTAGGTTCGGGTCATTGTTGAACTCGTCGACAAGGTTCTGTCTATCCTTGATCGGCGTCTCACCATCCATACGACGCCAGTTGATATCAGGTAGCTGACTGACAAACTTCTGTAGGATATCTAGCATGATGCGATGCTGAGCAAAGAGGAGGGTCTTGTGTCCACCCTTCTTCCACAACGACAGCAATTCCTTAACGACCTGCATTTTGCCAGATCTGTTGGGGTTACCATAGTCGTACCCCAGCTTCTTCGACAACGTCTTATGCTCCGTCAGATCGGGATGATTGCAGATCTTACGCAGGAAGTCGACACCGTATAGCATTTGACGCTTGCCGCTGGCGATTGATTTCATATCTTCTGAAGCCAGGAAACCTTCGTATGCTTGTCGCTGTTGACGCGTCAACTTGCAGAACAGCACCTGCTCCTTCTTCTGTGGCAGATCGGTCGCAACATCGATCTTGAAGCGCTGCAGAAGGTATGGGCTAATTGCATCCTTGAGAGTCTCGGCACACTGTACTGCCGTCTCAAACTCCAAGTTTGAAGCGTTTGCGTATCCACCACGCTTGATCGGAAACTCGAACTGATTGCGGAAGTTTACCAAAGTGCCTAAGCGCATTGGAAACACGAAGTCGAAAAGCGACCAAAGCTCTGTCAAATTGTTCTGCATTGGCGTGCCAGAAAGAATGATACGGTTCGGTGTGCGCAACTCCTTGCAGTGGATCGTGATGGCAGTATTTGGGTTCCTAATCTTATGGCCTTCATCTAGGATGGCACATTCCCAATCAGTAGGAATCAAGAACTCAGCGTAGGTTTGCAATCCAGAGTAGGTGGTAACAAGCACATGGCCATCCCGTTTAACCTTTTCGAGGATCTTCTTGGCAGCCTTTCCGGCGCCGGTCAAGGTAGTGTCGTAATCGCCATAATTCCGAAGCTCGAGTTCTCGTTCCATGCGGTCTTCTCGACGGGTGTCCAGCATCCCGCTACCAGAAGTGTGTAGGATGGAGACTCGTAGTGCAGGCCACCAGCGGTGAAACTCGTTGACCCACTGCTTCATGACAGTCGCCGGACACACTACAATGACAGGCTTGACAAGTTTCTTGGAGTAGTGCAGGCCGGCAACAAAGCCGATGGCTTGGATGGTTTTACCCAGACCCATCTCATCGCCGATAATGCCGCCTACATTCTGCGAATATAGTTCCCAGAGCCACTGCACGCCGGTCTTTTGATAGTCGAACAAGGCTGGATAGATATCTCCAGGGATGCGGAATCCACCATCGAACTCAGTATCAGCTTCAGTCGGATGAGGCTGGTAGCATTCTTCTTCGTCTTCATCGTCCTCATCTGCAATTGTCTCACCACTGTTCGCCTTTGCTTTTCTCCTTGCGGCTGCGCGGCTCTTGGACCAAGTCTCTATGCGCTTCCGATAAACGCGCTCATTGCCATCGTCAACACCTGCTAGGTCCTCGACAGCAGCTTCTTGTGCAGGAGCAGCCTTTGCCTTCTTTGTTTTCTTACCTTTGGCTTTGCGTTTGCGACCAGTTGTCTCCTCCGCGTATGAGTCGTCTCCATCCATATCGTCCGAACCCTCGTCCGACTCGTCCAGCGTCGCAAGCTGGCGATCCGACATACCAGGCTCGAAGGCATCGTCGGAGTCGGGATCGGTGAAGCCAGGTGCCGCGCTTGATTCGCGCGAACCGAGAGCATCGCTAGCAGGAGTGACCTTCCGTCGCTTCTTGGATCGAGCTGTGGGCTTTGGGCTCGGGGCCTCTGAACTAGAATCGACATCTTGGAAGCCAGGCTTCATCAGGTTGCGATGTGACACTGGTTCCTTCGCAGTGTCCACCACCATGTCCTCTGCCTCAGCATCGAGCATGACCTCGCCTAATGTTCCCGAGTCCGGCTGGTTCTGCGCCAGTTTGGAGAACGGTGTGATCTTTCCTGTACGAATAAGCCACTCGCCCCGGGTTTCGTTAGGCAGCGGCCCTTTTGCGCCTTCTTCCGCTGCCTCTTCCACTCCAGGCGCCTTGTGACGATCATTGATACGCTGTTGTATTCCGTCCATTTCTCGATCCAAGTTGTCGATCTTGTCCCGATATGCCGCGATCTCGCCGCGAAGTTTGGCTTTCTGCGTATCCAAAGCTGGTAGAGCCAGGCGGTTCTTGAGCTTCTGTATCGCAGCTTCCGCGCGTTTTGCTTCAGCCTCGAGCTTTTCTATACGCTTTTTGTCGCGAGCGTCCGCCTGCTCGGTCATCATCTGGTCCGCCTGCCTGCCAATATCACGCTCCAAGTCATCCTGCGCTCGTGTGCCAGTCGTGAGCATCTTAAGTCGTGCCTCCTCGTCGGCATCCGACGGAAGTTCCTCTGCTGAGTCGTGTGCACCATTTTGCGCGGTAGTATCACCAGGCTCGTCATGATTGTCGGTGTTGGTGAGTGTGATCTCAGGCATCGCCGCAGGAGCAACATCGTCGGAGGGCGGCGGCATGGTGGCGGATGTGCACAGTCGATGGGAAAGACGAGAGCGCTTCCACTATATCGGCGGCTCGGTAAATGCTTCTAGAGTTGTATGCGATGCGCCTCAACTACGTGGGTGGTAGAGATCGTGAGAAGTTGCGCCGAAGGCAACAGCGGCGAGTGGAGAAAAGCGAAGGGAAGGCCAAAAGCGCTAGAGGATAGAAGAAACCATCACGAGACAGTAGACAACACGCAACCGGGCTTTGGGGTACAGCGTCAAGAAAAATTGTTGTGGGCGTCGAAGGCACGACTATGTTGAATGGTTTCATCATACTTTCACTCAGAGCGATGATATCACTAAACGCGCTAGTGGACGCGTACGGACAGCGTCCGCGGCATCGCGCCACCACCACCATGCCCGGGTAGACAGATATCTACAAATGCCTTTGGAGAATGGACACTCGGAGAACTTTTCTTTTTGAGCATGATGTTACCTGAGCCACGGAATGGACTTCTAAATCTCACGAGCCCTTCCTGCATTTGCTAATTCGCCGATCATGGTTTTCATCGACGTCAGTTACGAGCCGTGTCTATGATTTCCATCTCACCTCTTTTGAGTGCCCTTGCTAACTTCGTTCATTGGATGTTCTTTTATCACGGTTTGGTCAATGGTTCACCAGCTTCATCTCGTTAACCGCGCCTTCGCCTCTTCCGCGTAATGCAAGTGACATTCGAGAAGCTAGCAAGCGCGATCCTGTCAATCTCCGCCTCACCGGCGCCTACGCACCATCTGACTCGCCCTCTTCCATCTCATTGCGACGCGTCGATTCCTTAACAAAAGTCCGGGATCTGGACTATGGTGCATCCGAAGTCTTCATCCTGACTAGAGTTTTACTCGCCCAATATCACGTCCTATATTCACCACATTCGGGCCGTCCAGGGTTGACATTGATGCGGGTGGCTATCAGCCCTATGCAAGTCATGAGTTGGTGTCTTAACGAACAAAGCCACCTTCATATCGCTTGCGCGCGCTGAATCCTGCTGAATCCTGCGCTCAAGTCCGCCCGCCTCAACACACAGAACGACTCAGATTCATCTCATCGAAGAGGCTAACGGCTCCCTTGGCAGTCGACGCCCAGGATGAGTCTCCGCGGGCTCGATCTCTCCACGATGCAATCGCCTGAGACATGCAGTGAGTGCTTGTCAATCAACGGCCTGCCCCGAACTACCGGAGCAGCCGGTAGTCATAAAGCGGACACGCCTTTCAACCTCAGGTCATGAATATGGCGCGCCCGATGACAGATGCGTTGCGATGCGCACCGTGTTGTTCCAGCATCCCCATCTCGGCCGGAGTATAATACTTCCACTCAAAATAGGAGGCAGTTCATTCGATGGCACGAGCGCACGGAACATCAACAGAAGAGCTGAGATCAAGTCTAGGCTGCTATCGCTGGGGATTTCCACATTGGTCACAGGAACAATTGAGTTGGCGGGTTGTCTGAAGCGTGGGTCCAAGCTTCACTTTTCAGATTTATCCATACATACCCTGTCAACGCCTGTGAACATGGCTGCAGAGGTGAAAGTCGCGTGGTGCGAATGCGGGGAAGCGAGAGGGCTATTTGACGAGCCATGCAGCATCGCTCATACAGGCTGCTGTTGCACCACTTGTAGTGATCTAATACTGTATGCCGGGATTTCCCCGCGCCGTACTATTCAGCCAGTCCGGGCAACACGACTCATCCCTTGGCCTAAGTCTGGATAGGCTGCGTCCTGACTCGGATCCTTGTGTAGAGCTCCCTCCCGCTGCATGATTGCGTTAGAGAACGGCATCTGGCGAGCGATTGGCGTTGTGGATATTGCCGTTAGATGTTTGATAGTCAGTGCCTGCGGCGCCTCCTTACACGTTATCATGAGCGTCGCTTCCATGATTTCTTTTTCCTGTCAACGTTCTATGCTGTTCACGTAAATGACTTCGGCGTCGGGTGCCACAGGGCCTCCACCAATAGCCCCTCATGCTCGGCTTTCTATCGTGCTGGCTTTTGTGCTTACCTCTATATCGACTATAGTCGTAGCTCTAAGGTGCGCCAGCAATCGCAAGTCTGATCGAACATCGGATTGACAGCTCAGGTTTTATGCTCGACATTTCCATGTTGGAAGGCTCACATCGTCTGACTGGGTCATGCTTTTAGCCGTTGTAAGTAGACGTTCTTTTTCTGAGATGCTGTCACTGACTAGAACCAGATTGCTACATGGTATGTAGACATCCGCGGAAATCAGATGAACTGAACTGACTCAGATCTTCACACAGGCTATCAGTGGTAGTACATTGCTACATGATCCATTTTATTGATTATAGTAGCGCCATAGTAAGCTACTACAGGCTGCTTGAGAGTACAAATCTGACATTCCACAGGATGGCGTATGGGAAACATTCAGACCAATAGTAGTCGGCTCCAATCTGTCAATATGGCTATACCGAATCAACTTCATCCTCGATCTCTGTCTCATAAAGACATCGATACTACTATTCTATGACCACATCGCCGCGTCAAATAAGCGCTTCCGATACGTTGTTCGCGGATTGCTCGCCATAATAATCTGCGGCGGAATATCCCAGATTATCGCGTCCATTCTTATGTGTACTCCGATCACAGATGCCTTCTCATATGATGTATGGTACCGCGCTTGGGTCCTGCACGACTTCAATGTCAAGTGTTACAACCCAAATCCGTTTTGGCTCTTCATCGCGGTTTACAACCTCACTACGGATGTAATCATCTGGACGCTACCAATGATATTCTTCCTGAATATCTCTACGTTGCCACTGCGACGCCGTCTCGAACTGATCGCCATCTTCTCCGTCGGTATCATAGCCGTGATATCTTCCGCCTTTCGACTCCACACTACCGTCCTTTGGCTGTCAGGCATCCAGCAACAACAGCTAAGCACACCAGATCTTCTGTTGTGGAGCCAGGTAGAGCAGAATCTCGGTATCATCGCGGCCTCCGTTCCCTTTCTCCGACCACTATTTCGCAAAGCGCTAGGCAAGGCAAGGAGCAGAGAACAGCCAAGTCCTGGTCCAGGGTTGCCTTTAGTTGGCCACCCGGCCATGTTCAGGACGCCAATCATTCCATCCCCTAGCCCGACATTCGACAGGTGTAGTCGGGAGTTCAGGCCACCGAGGAGTACGCTCGAACCTATTGAGCCTATTAAGAGCACATCAACTTGGGGCTCGGCGATCTGGGATGGGTCGCAGGTGAGGCAGGTGCTTCCTACTTGATCTGGAGGTAATTGAAAGGCCCACAAATTTTACAAGAAGTTAGCACCGAGCTCTCGAAGAGTTCAGCCTACACAGGATGATCTAGCTGTGTGTTAGCTTGCAACATGAAGCTCAGTACTCCCCACAGACAACATCCGCTTGCTCCTCGAGCCCTCCCCAGTTACGTACTCAAAATTCGAGACTCTCTTGCCACTTCAGTGTCGACAACAACTATGGGACGATGTCTTCGACTTGTGGACAAACGTTTAGCACTTCAAGCTCACGATCGGACTGGCGTTCTTGTGGCGGTGTCATGCAATCCTCTACTTCCGCCCAAGGCTGCACTCGGCCTTTTGCCGACAGCGATCTTCGAGAACATCGTCGAACACATACCGAGCTCGCAACTTCACGAATTATTCGCTTTACGCAGAACTTGTCGTTTCTATCGCTCCATCGCCGCTGGTTTCATCCGACCGGATATGAATGCCAAGTTGAAATATCATCGAGTATTGATAACGAAAGTCCGCTTGATAGCGATTTTTGAGCACATGTCCGTACCTTAGTGGTAATGTTGCATTCAACGCGTCGAGTTCATCAGCCTTGGGGGACGCCATGACTAGGAATAGCGCCTCCATATTGTGTAATGATCCTTTCGCAGGCTCACCTACGGAAGCCTTGTTACAACTGCTACCTCCTCTACATGACGAGGTTGGACGAACTATCCAGTTTGTGGTCGTTGCCAACCTTCTCAAGCCCGTCCATAGGCTCATTGTGCCCCTCTTTATCTTAACCGAAACAGAACTTCTGAGCTTCGAATTCATCATGTTCAGAGAGGACAGTGACACCAGAGATCAGCGAAAGGCCTTTCTCCGACATGTCAGCCTGATGACGCGTAATGTGTACCTGTTTCGTATGAACCTCACTTCCAATTCTTGAGACTCGGATCTTGGAGTTTTGGTTGAGTTCAAACTATTACGCTGCATAGTCCAGAATCTACCAGAGATGAGAAAGCTTGCAGACGGTTCATTAAGAGACTTTTGCGAAACCAGGGAGATCCTGGTTGTTTTGACGATGGATGTCTTCCTTGTGTGGCGAGAGGGGGCTTCGCATGAGCAAAATGTCACTGTATAGTCGAGTAACATGGCAGATGTAGACGGGTAGCTGCAATGAATAGCTTCAATGACGGCCATACACGCGCTCATGTCAAGTGCCAACATGATGGAGGGGGCTGAGCAGAGCGTCGTACTCGTGGTGTTGTGATTCGTCGCGGGCCGACCGCGTCATGCTCTCGCCATTAGCCCTGCCGAAAGCGTCCAGAGCGAACAGTGCGATGCCGCAGTTCCAGAACCTGAGCGGCAGGCGACTTTATCAGCATGCGGTGGGCTCACTGTGACACGATCCACATGTCTTCTGTAGGGCAACGCTGGCGTGATTTGGTAGATGCCGGGGACACTCGAGCCGCTGCCGAAAGAAAGCTCAGCAAAGCGGTGAACGACGAAACGGGCATAGACGGCCAAGGGGCGCCTTGGTGATTGGTCTGGCGCAACTCTCGGCAGGCACTAGTGCATTTCTACCCACGCGTTGGCTTGCCGGAACAGAGTGAACCTTGAGTGGCGAAAGTGGTACCACGTCGATCAGGGCGTCGCCAATCTCCAATTTAATCCGCCTCCTTTGCAGCTACTTTGCTCCCTCTTCACTGCAGCACCTCCACCAATCGCTCCTTCACCTCTCTGCAACCTGCAGTCTTTCCTTCATTCTACAACTGCCAATTGTTTTTCTTTTGGATACTGAACACAGCCAAAATGTACGCCTCCGAGCCGCCCCGAACGCGCAAAACCCGTGACACTAACAGATGATAGGAACAACGCAACGTCTATCCTGACGCCAATGGCGCAGGACACCTACTGGGGCACCTTTGAGGACATCTCCACGTACAATGTACAGCTCAACTACCTCGAGAAGATGTGGATGGCCTGGTACGCATGGATGGGCAACGACGTCCTGGCGACAGGAATCATGTCCTTTGTCATCCACGAGGCCTTTTACTTCGGACGCTCGCTTCCCTGGATCATCATCGACTGCATACCTTTTTTCAACCGCTACAAGATCCAAGCTGTACGTTTGCCTGGCTTGCCAGCTCCATCGCGACCAAAGCTAATTTGCCGCAGCACAAAGTCCCCTCTGCTTGGGAACAAACACAATGCGCTCTCCTCGTCCTCCTCTCCCACTTTACCGTCGAGCTTCCTCAGATCTGGCTGTTCCACCCCATGTGCCAATACTTCGGTCTCGAGACCTCGGTTCCTTTCCCTAGCATCTACAAGATGGCTTACCAGATCGCCATCTTCTTCGTCTTCGAGGACGCATGGCACTACTGGGCCCACCGTGCCATGCACGCCAGCTCTTTCCTTTACAAGAACATCCACAAGATCCACCACCAATACTCTGCTCCCTTCGGCCTCGCTGCTGAATACGCCTCGCCCATCGAAGTTATGATCCTGGGTTTCGGTTCCGTTGGTGTGCCCATTGTCTTCTGCGCCATCACCAAGGACCTCCACATCCTGACCATGTACGTCTGGATCATCTTCCGTCTGTCCCAGGCCATCGACGCCCACAGCGGTTACGAGTTCCCATGGAGTCTGCACCACTTCCTGCCCTTCTGGGCCGGCGCCGAGCACCACGACGTTCACCACGAGAAGTTCATCGGTAACTACGCCAGCAGCTTCAGGTGGTGGGACTTTGTCCTTGACACCGAGGCTGGTGCTGAGGCTTCCAAGAAGCGACGAGAGCGCAAGTTGGCCGCTGCCAAGGCTAAGAAGGCCATGTAAACGAGTGCTGGCATGCTCACAAGTTTCGGAGTTCTGTCGGTTTTAGCCGCATATACTCGCCGGTGGGAAGATGGTAGAACCACTCCCGACCGACTTACCCACACCTGCTTCGTGCGGAGCTGGTATGAGACATGGCGTTTGGGTTATAAGAAAACCGCGGCCATGAATGATGGCTGCGGCAATAGACAGTAAAGACCCTGGGTAATGGGCGGCAGAGCGGTGTTTGTGTGAATAGGAGCTGGGTCATTATAGAATATCTACCTAATACTATTACGGTCGCTACGTTGAATGTTATCATTATCTCATCACTTACCAATTCGGTCTTCTCAGTTAAACATGCATTTAACAGCACGAACACGCTTATTGAGGATAGCATGAAGTGGAATAAGTGTCTCAGGTAAACGGTGAACGAGCTGCGAGGCCGCCCCTGGTGATAGCGCGGAAGGCGTCTTGGCGCGGTGAGGACTGGCGCGTCTACATTCCGAGCTTCATCAACTTTCTTTGACCCGCCCAAATCGCGCAATCACCACCACCACATCAAATCGACGGCGCGCGAAAACACGGAATCATGAGCTCCGGGCGCCCTGTTGCAGGTGTCCACCAGGACTACATTGCGAAAATCCGATATTCGAATGCGCTACCTCCTCCACCATGTCCACCAAAGCTGCTGGACATTCCCAACACTGGCCTTTCGAGCGGCCAGTACACATCAGCAGGTTTTGCGTCGAGACTGGCGCGGGATCAGTCGCTGAATATTGAGGCTGATGCTGAGCTGGGAATGCCCATCGACTTGGTGGGTATCCCCAAGGTATTCGATGGAGACGAGTCTGGTAAGAACGAACCCGCGGCGCAACCGCCTCACGACGACTAACGCGTCGAACAGCCATCCAGGCGATGCCTCACCCACCGCCGCTCAGCACAGCAGACAGAGCGTTGATGCGACCGCCGAACCAGCTTGGCAAGACGCAGACCAATGCCCAGGGCGCGACCTTCCTGCGACGAACAGAATACGTCACATCAAGCACAACCGGCGGCTCCAAATTTGAGTCCAGCAACTCGTCCAACACGATGCGCCTACGGAGGAAGCGAAAGCAAGTAGAGACCTCACTAGACGATCCCACAAACATCGCCCGACACATCTTGAAGAGCTTCAACATCGCCTACCCAGCCGACGCCTACAATGGCCAAGACAGCGCCGACCATCTCAGAGCCGCAGAATCAACGCCTGAAGAGCGCCTAGCATGGAACAAGCCCAAGCACCCTAGGAACCCCAACCTGACCTTGGTCGACTCCTACCCCCTTCTGCCGGACTGGGACGCCATGCCCGACACGGGTGGCTACATGGTCTTCAAGTTCACGGCACCGCCCATCAACAACCCGCTCGACCCCTCCTACGACCCACGTCTCGATGTCGCCCTCCTGCGCCCTGCCGGTCAAACAATCCAAGACCAAGAAAAGTACATGGAAGACCGCGAGGCACATCGCTTGGATCCCACCGTCCCACCCCCGATCCCCCGTTGGCAATTCGAATACTTCCTCCCCGCAGACCGCAGCAAGGTCCGGGGCATCAAACGCAACTTCACCACGCACGACCCCAACAATGAAGCCGACATTGACTTTGACATTGCCGAAGACGACGAAGGCCAACCGCGCAAATGCTTTAAGTACGATAACGTGCGTACGTACGAAACGAGCCAGCAGGTTGGCGACCCGTCGGATACTTATGGCGATGTTGTCGCGCTGGCGCTGCACGATCCTGAGAAACATGAGGGTGAGAGGCTGAGGGATACCAAGATGCAGCGTGCGGCGTACTTTTACCCCATCACGCAGAGGACGTCGTTGAGGCCGAGACGGCCGGGCAGGATCGATATGACGGAGGAGCAGCCCAAGGTTGATATTATTGAGGCGGCGGGTAAGGAGCCTGAGGGGGAGGCAAGGAGGGAAGGGTATAGGAAGAGGGCAGAGGGTATTGAGTAGTCTGGGGGTAGATGATTGGGGTTGGGGGTGGAAGGAAGGGGTGAGTGTGCTCTCATCGTTGAAATTTTTAAGAGTCGAGATTGAACCCGTTTGGCATTGTCATCAGCGAGGCGTTTAGTGAGGCTACAGAGGATGTAAGAATAGGATATCGTGGCATATAAGGGAATTCACTCAAAAGATATCTGCTGATTGGTATTCTTTCGATTCATGGTAGAAAATTGCGCGACAAGTCTGTCCTAGGCAAGAGAACACTTAGAGCAACAACAACATCAACTCCTCCACAAACCCTCCGAGGAATGGCACGTCGCATCCCACACATGCGCCATAATTCACTCCTCTAATACTGTTTCCAATAATTTCCACACTTCTCAAATCAACCAATCATAAGTCGGAGTGCCGGAGTGGTTAACGGGTGTGACTCGAAAGAGCAAAGCTCTCATAGATATCACATGCTTTCGGGCGCGCAGGGTAAGCATTATTCTTATAGTCAGTTATGACCTCCACTAACGGCTGATAGTTCGAGTCCTGTCTCCGACGTCCTTTTTTTTTCCTTTTCTCCCCTGGCATACCCCGCCCGAATACCCCATGGGAGGTTTCAAATAGGGCGTCAGACAACAATCAATCCACACTTTTCAACCACGCACATGCTCTAAAGCACACTTCCTCCGAACATCCGATCTCGCCTGCCTTTGGCCCAATTCAAATCCTCTCAAACTCTGCATGGTCGCTAGCAAGTCTCATCATAGCCACCCATTCTTCTCTCGTCTTCCCCATATACATCTGATCTGGCGGCAACACACCAGCCATCCCGGCATCCAATTGCCGTTGCAGGTCATCATCCATTTCCTTTTGGAAAGCCAGTTCGTTCAGCCGCCAACCCGAGGTAGATTGGAATCCTTCTTTGAAGGGTAAGAATGGCTTGATATGATTGTATGCTGCGGGCGAATTCAAGGCCCATTTCTCATGTCCACAACGACCAATGTAGAGTTTTTTGCATGACGGTGGCAACTTTTGCGCGACGTCGTGCCACTTGGATCCTATGCTAGTGAGATAGACGTACTCAAAATGAGCATACTGCAACTTTGGCTGCTGGGAGAGGAAGCCGATAAGAGACGATGTTTCCAAAAGGAGACTTCGTAGCTTCAAAGTTTTCAATGCCGGGAAAACCAATGGTGTATATGTGGAGGCGGGAGGACTGACGCTACCAAAGAGTTTTTCAATGTAGTGCTCTCCCATATCCGGTAGTTGTGGATGTGATGTAGTTATGTTGCGAAACTCAAGCGTTTGTAATGTCTCCGATGCGTGACAAATCAACGAAGCAAGCAACGAGCCTTCGTTGTTTGGAGACTCAAGAAGAAAGTCCACACTCTCGACGTTGAATGAGAGTGTAGTGAGAGAGCTGAACATGTGCTCCAAGGCGGCACTCGTTGCTATAGAGGACGGATGAATCTTCGGGAGGACTAGACTCTGGATGCGACTATTTGACGCTTGGAGAGCAGAGCTTAGCAGTTCAAGGTGCTTCCAGGTCGTGCTACATCCAGAGAACTGTTCACTCACCTCATTGCTGGCTACGTTAGTCTGACACTATCTGGACAGTAGTTTAGTCGTACTCACTCGATGCCGTCTACGAACCCGTAGTTACTCAAGTCGCAATGCCACTGTTGGATTTCGATAGCTTTCAAGCTCGGCATGTGCGCGAAAAGTTTAACCAGTGCTGCTAGGATTCCGTCTGCCCTTTCGCGCTGCTCCTCAACCTTAGAGGCCCAGATCGCTTCCGCCTGCTCAATCAAGTTCCGCTCTTTACCAGGTCTTGCCAGCCGTTCCTCAGCGCGACGACGGATACCAACATATTCGCCCTCGGAATCCGTCTCGAAGTCTTCTGCGTCATACATACTGTGGAAGTCTTCCTCGTAGTCCTGTTCCCTCTCTAGCCATTGGCGATAGTTCGACCAGAAACCTTTAAAAAGAACCAGGTCAGTATCTGCCTGGCCGTGGATAGAATATCCGTTGACCTAACTCACCATCTACGTAGTAGCCAGGACTGAACTTTAGCTTGCGAACATGGCGCGCAATGTCCAGTGCCAACAGCTCATCCACGATACTTTCCAGGGAGCCGAGTTCCATCGTCCGTGAACGGCCGGGATGGATTTTATACTGGCCATCCTCCACTCGACCGAATCCGGTCTGGGCTGAGCCGTCCAAATGGATTGTCTGGAATATCAACGACTTTGTAAGGGTCGCGAAAGTGCGGCATGTTTGAGACACTAAGCGTAGATGATGCTGGGGCAAGTATGAGAAGATCTCGAGGTAAAGTTCCTCAGGCAGTTCCATGATGATGTGTGGGTATGATGATTGGAGGACAACAGACAAGTGTTCTATAGAAAATGGACAGGCGTCGTTCAGCGGGCAGGGGCGTGACTGCGCGATGATTTCGCGATATCAGCCTGTTGGCACGAAGGAGCAAGCGGTGAGGCAGCAATCCCAAAGGGAACTATTATATGAGCGATGCAGGCTAATACATCTAAGTGCATGTGTAGAGACAAGATTATTGGTGAGATTTGCATTCGTTGTTGGCGTTGGGGACATAGCGCCAGGCATCAGCGGCGCTAGAGATCTGGCGACGAAGTGCGGGGCGTTGGTGGTGGATCGCCATTCTCCCTGCAATGCCCGTGCACATTGGGTATTTCTATGGTCTATCGTTACAATGACCCTGCATATACCTCACTCTTTTTCAATCATTTGACCACGACAGCGATGACAGCGACAATGGTTCCAATAAAAGCAATCACCAGTCCAATAACATGAGCATATTCCACGATGTATGTAAACCATGTCTTCTTCACATTGGCTCTGTTTGTAGTGACAACTCTGGTCGTTGGATGTATCGGGCGATTGTCGTAAAGATTTGAATTGATTGGAGGTATAGTGTAGGCACGTTGCGGCGGATGGTAGACTGGTAGTATAGGATCGGGGTTGCGCATGGTGATGCTGTCGGCTCTTGATCAGTTAACATGAAGATGCAGTCATTCAGGGACTAGGCGACTAACTCTATACCTAGGTACGTTAAGGCTGGTGGGCTATTCAGGCGATGCTCAGCAGCAGCGAAACTTGGGAGAAACAAAGTTGAAACTCGATACTGTGTGGGTATCTTGATGTATTCCTTCCCAAATTGTTCGAGAGAATCGTATGTGCAAATGCCAGCTTGCTGCTGTCTTTATTACTATCACAAGTGGCCGCAAAGGAGATTCACACAAAAAGGACCGCCCAGATGGCTATTGGCCCAACTGGAGGCTTATGACGAAAGAGCCTTTGTGCTGTGGCTGACTATGCCGCTAAAGTGTGCTTTTCGGTGGAACTAGAGTGTCTACAGGTCTGATAATTGGTCGCTCCAAGGTTTCTGTGGATAAGCCTAGAGAACCGTGATGCCATTTCATACGAGTAGCGAAACTCATGTTCCAAGGACTACACTTTGTGCTTTCTTCCCTATGACTTGTTCTGAGAAGCTTAGCGGACGAGCCACAACCTTCGCCCTATTCGAATGTCTTACATCCACGTGATCTAAGTCCACCCTATGCAACCGATCTCCGTTGCGACTTGATCTGATGGCTCCCCTGCTACATGTACGCATGCATGCTGTCCAAACTACAGACACTACATAGCTATTATACCACGAGGCTGCCCTTGATTCACCTGACTACCACCGCGATGATTGCGACCACGAGTCCAACAATCGTAGCGATCCCAACGATGTAGATAAACCACTGTTTTACACCAGGTTCAGGCAGAATGACTAGCCTTATCGGCTGCTGAGGCCTCGGTGGCAGCAACTGGTTGTTGTAGGAACCGCCGTGAGATGATGGGTGAGTGTAGGCGCGTTGCGGTAGAACATGTGTAGGCAGTGCAGAGCCGGTATTGCTCCGCGGGGGTAGTCCAGAGTCGTCGTGAACTAGTCGTGGTATCATGGAAAAAGGATACCACATGGCACTGCGATGCGGCGCTTCGACCGTCTGTGATGTTTAGTTTGAATGTGCAGCCAATCAGATTCCAAGCCCATCCAGGCCTAAACCACTTACGGTAACAGATCTCGAGTTGTTGCACTACTGCGCAGTTTCCAGTAACAAACCTCAAGGCGATGTTGAGTGTGTAAGCTCTTGGTATGCCTATCTGTTTGCAGCATCATGCTGAGTTTCTCCGCAGCGTTGAGCTTGATATACTGCGACTTCTCGTAACATACTGTTTTGGTGAGGCATCCGATAGTCATAGCGGTCTGTCACCGCCAGTCCACCTCACTCAGCAAGAAAATTACCACGTGGTCCTTCATACACACATAACCAATAAGATTATACTTATGTCTTAGCTTTGTATCGGTGAAAGGTTGAGAGCGACTGTATTTTTGTTCGACTTCAATGTATAAAGAAGTAAATTCTGACATTCTTGAGAACATCTGACGCGAAGTCTGTTGTGTTGCAGTTCCTACCCACGTGGAGTTATAGGATTGTAAGCGTGGGAATGCCAACCGGGCGGGCCTAGAGACGTAACAGTAGACCGGGTCAGAGCGTAATATTACGAAGACCGCGGTCTATCATGACCTCTGCGCCCGTCCGCTTGACATTCCCACACTTGTAGACGAACAAGTGCACACAAGAACAACGCGTTTCGTTCTGCCTTTAAAAAAAATTCTTCTCTGGATATAGAAAATAAGGTAATCTCACTTACATCTTTACCATCTAGACGCGTGCTATCCAGGATGAGGCTTGCAGTGCGCTTAGGTAAGAGTGGCTTGCTCGTACTACTCACGACTTTTTGCCACGTCTTGCACACAATACGCTACCAAACTAGACGTTGAGGCTCGAAGAGTCGTGGTACTCTCAGCGTTGTTGCTTCTCACCTTCAGCCTGACTGCTAGGGTGGCACGTATCATGCGTAGAATCTGGTGCAAAATCATCTATCTGATAGGCCCAATAGTTGGAGTAAAAAGCTGTCTAGTACGCGCGGGAAGCATGACCTTTCGCCAAAGAAACATTAATCAGAGGCAAGAGGTACTAACCTGCTCAAGTGGATTTCAATTTGTTATCAACAGAGCCGCTGCGCACTGCCAGTGGTAGCGAACTGAAATAGCTATATCAGCTGCTTCTTCCTAGCTAAGCACGTCTTCCGTTGACATTGTGGCGCTGAGTTATGGTGTTGAAGAGATGTGTGTTTAGGCGAACGCGTGCAGCGTGCACATAGGCAAGGCTAGTTACATCCTTACCATACGGACACCCGAGTAGGCTGAAATCCTTGATTTGGGAACACACAAGTGGCTAGTCTCTCGTGTTCCGTAGGACAAAATCTACTTCGTCTTTTGCAGCTTCGAGTATGTGCTCCGCCTTGTACCGTGACGTCCAACCAATCTTCAGGCCATTATCAGCAGCCAACGTGCATCTAAATAGCAATTAGCATTCCTTAATCTTCCCTTTCGTACGATCGGAGTAGACTTACAATCCACCGAGCTGGATTTTTGCTGGAATTCCATCAAGGATTTCTGCCATCTTCTCCTGGATCGCATCGTCCGCATCCTTTACCGTCTCATTGTCGACGACACCTCGTTTCTTAAGCTCAAGGCTGTACGCATCATAGATGTCGTCCCAGGCAACCGAACCAGAAGAAGCGATGTAGTAGCCGCTCTTACCATAGCCTATCGATCTTTTCTGAAGCATTGAGCGGATCAAATCGAGGTATAGACTAGTGTTATCCAAAACATGACATACAGGCCAGGTCGGTCTACCTTCGTCGACTCGATACACCTGACGGAGTTTCTTGGCCGCTTTGATGACAGCAACGGTCTGAATTGAGGTCTTGTTCCCAAAGCCTTCTCCCTTCCCATACACAATGCACGGTACAAAGATATAGCTACGCACACCATGCGCTTCTGCTACCTCGATTATGTTGCAGTTAGCCTTGAGAGCTGGACTAAAGATCTTGAGTGGCGTGTGGTCGATTGCACGCTTTTGTAGTGCATAAAGATCCGGATGAGTGTCGGGCAGGGGTCGCTCTGTCGGCATTCCAACGAATTCCGAAAATACTTTCGCGCCGGTGGTAAAAAGGAAGTGCGTTTGGAGACCGGTCAGTTTTCTGACTTCACCTAGGCCGGCAATGGAGTGTGTGGAGAAGGTTGTGTCCATAACATCGTGGAGATGTAAGACGATCGTGATCTTTTCGTTGATGATCGTTTCTTTGATGCTTGCTGGGTTTGATGCATCGATTGTAAGAGGCGAGGCATTGTACTTCTTGACTGCACTCGCTTGCTCCGATGAGCGCACGAGAGCGAACAGCTTCCCATAAGAAGGGAGCTGTGCTTCATTCCAGCGCGCAAGAAGCGTGCCGCCGAGGTAGCCAGAACCGCCTGTTAAAAGAATGTTATGAGACATCGTAATAAGTTGAAGGAGAATTAATAAACATGTATGAACTGTAGTAATGTATGCGAGGGGTACGCGTATTTATAGAAGATGTAATGTATCCCATGGATCTAACATGTGCGCAATCTGCTAATCGTCATCGTTTCCGTGTACTGCGGACATACGACAAGATTCGGAGCTATTCGGGATTCAGTCCTGACTGGGCTGATGCATCTTGCTTGCAGTATAAGGCGCGCCGCATGATTTGTAACTTGAAGCTATAATGTGTTGTACTCTCGGACAAACAAGGACAACAGGATCAGATGGTGTTAGCTACGCGCACAGACAGAAAATGAATTAACTCGTAGGAGAACGTTGAGATAACCAAAAAGGAAATTCTGCTATACCGCTTACAGGACCCCGTCTGCCTGGGCGAAACCCATTACAGGATTGTGGATTGTTTTGGTGTGTCGGAGTCGGAGTGAGGATCCGTACGAACTTCGGCTCGGTAGAATACCTAGGCAGGTACTATGGCTTTGTTGCCCCTAACCTTCAGCCTAAGGCATGCATCCGATAGGCCTAACGACTAAACCAACAAACCGTCTAGTACGCGCGAGAAGCACCACCCTTCGTTTGAGAACCTGCTGAAGTGGATTTAAAGTTGTTTCCGAACAGGCTGTCGTGTCCTGCCTGTCTATGCAGAACTGCCACTGCGAAAAATCTAGCATATCTTTATCATTTTTCATCCCAGGTTTCGCGATCGGTCTGCATGCGCTCTCCATAATCACGGTGGTTGGAGACATGCCGCCCATTGAAGTTCCGTTACGTCATTTCATGCCTGCTAAATCTTCACAACAACCGCGCCATTCCGCAGCCGACATCGCCATCGCCATCGCCATCGCCATCACACACAGAAGTGATCTCGAAGGGCAGGGCAAATCTGTGTCGTGTTTATCATGTTAGGATATGGGCACTAACTACCCTGGCTAATATGTCCGTGCCAGACGGATCATCCAACGCGCTGACTCAAGGGGCGCGATAATATCGCGAATGATTGACGGATTTATTTGCCGGTGATTCGATCTTTATAGCCGATTTGACTCCTATGCAGTTTTCTCTAGTCTCTGGTCTTTCGCATCTTCTGCTTCTTTTCATCATCTAATTTTTAATCCTAATTTGCGGTCGCTTCAATACTTGTTGCCAATGACTTCAACTATGGCCGGTCGCGATACCTACAAGCCACCCAAAGAACCATCGCGACATGATAGATCGGTAAAACTCTACGACAGTCACGAGGTGCCATCCTGGTACGCCCACAACGCCTGGATAACCACCGGCTACCGTCCCGTCACGAAATCGATACCCCTCTGCATCCGCAGCCTATCTTACCTGCATAACGAGACTGTCAACATCTACTCGCATCTCATTCCTGCCGTCGTTGTTCTTTTGGCCAGCTATTCTTTTGACCGCTATTTCATCAGTCGCTTCCCGCAAGCGACATGGACCGACGAACTCGTCTTCCGAATTTTCCTGACCACGTCTGTGATATGCTTCGGTACTTCCGCTGCGTATCATACGCTGATATGTCATTCTGAGACGTTCGCTAGTCTATGGGTGAGATTGGATTATGTTGCGATTATAGTTCAGATCGTAGGGAGTTTTATACCCGGCCTTTACTTTGGGTTTTATTGTGAAACGCAGTTGCAGAAGGTATACTGGTCGATGGTATGTATAGAATGATACGCGACGGTGCATACGATGGCTAAGAGATTCTTCCAGATCATCACATTAGGAACTTTGACAGCGACTATGGTCATCAACCCTAGCCTTCATGGCCCGAAATGGAAAAGTTTACGCCTGTCGGCTTTTGTCGCTACAGGCTTTTCGGCTTTTGCGCCCATCATGCATGGCGCGTTACTATTCCCTTATGGCCAATTTGACAAGCAAACTGGTCTGCGTTATTACTACCTTGAAGGTGTTCTGATAATGATGGGTGTTTGGTTCTATGCGGTAAGGCAATCATGTTCAACGCCAGCATATTTCTTTGCAATGAAGTGTTGATTGACGAGCGTAACAGAAACACTTCCCAGAGTCTTGCAGACCGAAGAGATACGATATCTTTGGTGCATCGCATCAGCTGTTCCACCTCTTCATCGTTTTAAGTGCTATAGCGCATTATTACGGAGTCATGAGCGCTATGGAGTGGAACTATGTGAACCAGCGTTGTCAGTGGTCGTGAGCACGCATTCGTCTGACCGACGTATTTTCTCAAGTTCACTCTTACCGTCAACGTTTATGCCAACCTTCTGCAACCGCCACCTCCAACCTAGCTGCCTTTACCAATCTGCAATAACGACAACGCCAACGTCAACAAGAAAAGTAGAGATTAATGGACACAGCGAGACTCGAACTTGCATGTCCCGCATCACGACCGCCCGGTGGCGAACTGTCGCAAATTCCGTGCTGAGGGATCCTCATGCTCAATTCAGCGACTTCATGCCGGCGACGCTAAGGCCATTGTGTGCTGGCGCCTTACCATTAGGCCATATGTCCTGGACAATTCTTGATGAGGGACTTGGGAAACGACATATAGATGTAGAGTAAAGGTAGATGGGTTGATAAGGAAGGAGAGGTTGGTGTAGGTTGGCAGCGTCAGGCGAATTGTCTGGCAATCTGTCCTAGCAGCATCGATGCCATCTAATACCCCCCTATTAGCAGATATGAACCAATAATTCGCAACGCCCCCGACTAATTGTTGATTGTGTCTCTATCGTTCCACCGTTCCACATGCCTTGCAGACCTCGCAGGCCTGAGCTCCTCCATCAAAAGATCACTTTGTGAATCCTTTTGTACTCTGCTACTCTTTACCCTTTGTCTAACAACGCCAACTTCAGCTCTGGCTCCGCTTTCATCCGTTTTAACCGAAACAGCTTGATTAGAAGTACCGTCAGTCTTCATTTGCTTCTTGACTTCGGAGTCGGTGGCCAGGCCTGCCTGGCTGAGATAAGGCTCGGTAACTGCGCTCATGCTTTGGGCGATGGTGTGCCAACTTTCCCAAATCAGCGTGTTTTTGGTGCTTCTGATGAATAGCATGAAAACTAAGAACACGGCGACGCTGTGTACAGCTGTGGCGATCATGACTATGACGTATGATCGTGTCGCTCCGGCAGGGTTGGTTGCAGGTCGTCCATTACCTCCGGGCACTTGCGCTGTGACGAAGTCACCACGTAATGTGACTGTACTGTTCGGCGTGCCGTCGGGAACTTCAGTGAAGACGTAAGACTGGTAGTCTGCAAGTACAACGCTCATTAGTATGCTTTGCATTGCTTCAGCTGGGGTCCCACCCTCTTGTAAGATCTCCAACCCAAGCCCTTCGATATTTCTATCCGCTCGAGGGGTTAGTTCTTTGGCATCATCCATCAAATGTACTGTTGGATGTTCTTGTCCAGGCACAAAGATCTGATTGGAACCGGTGAGGGTTATCATGGTATCGATGTTCCCAAAAGGATAATCTTGGTTGGTCATGTTGTTGAACAGTAGCCAAGACTGTGGGTGCAAGGACAAGACGTTTCGCTCTTGTAGAGAAAGCGTCGATGATGAAACAAGCTGCTTCCGTATGTTATCGTAGCGAAATTGACTGCGCTCTGCGTCGTAAAAGAACGTCGGCTCTTCTAGAGGTGCCTGAGAACTTGCTGATATGTTGAATACGTAGGCGTGGAATGTTGGGAGACAGAGACTGAAGCTTAGCTTCGTGTCTGCAAAGTTGTTACCATCCGACCGGTCCAAAATATCCGCGTCTTGTTTGAGGTCGAGCCATTCGTTTCTATTATGATAACGCAATCCCGGAGTTGTATCATTGAAGTTCGCAAGTTTTAAGGGCGGAAATTTCGTCTTGTTTTGGACTTGTTGATCGACATAGCCAGTATAGTTGATTAAGAGAAAGGGAGTGATTGGGCTGGAAAAGTTCTTCCAGAAGTTGGCTTGTAGCTTCGCCTGAGCGGACGGTCCGAAGTCGCAAACAGTTAAATCCCAGGCAGAGGTTCGACCTGCAACTTTGTCCTGACCATAATCTCTTATGAAGTTCCATGATGGCTCACATGCGAATGCTGTTGGCTCGAAGTCCGCGAAGGGAGTCTCGGCCAAGAGAACTGGTAGAAGGCCATCTGGGACCGAGATGTTCCCATGGATTTTGAGATCGTAAAGAGGGGCGGTATTGTTGGGTAGTATTCGAGTATTTGTGATATTTGGTCTGATACAAATCGTGCGCGCATCGACAACGGGGGCTGGACCTTCGTAGGTATGGATGAATGACCGAGATCGAGTATCACTAAACGGCAAAAGCGCTCTCATCATGGAGCCTGTGTCTGAGTAGCCTAGTGATCCATCAGCCGAGCCATTTCCCGTATATTCGGCAAATATTGGCCACGGGCGTGGAGCGCTTCGCCAGTTGGCAGTCAGACTTCCCCTGAACAACAACTCAGGAAGTACGTATGCGTACGGAGAAAGATCACTATTCAAATTAACATGACTTCCGGTCGATCTTTGAATTAAGCCTACCTCGGAATGTAGCCCGCGTTCACGTCGGCCAGCAGAATTGTTGACGTGAACTGAAGCAGAACAGTTGTGATCGATATGATGGCGGCCCATACAAGAAGAACCCAAGTTGGTCCGTTGCGACCGAGCCTCGGATATGCTAATAGAGCATATGGCGCCGCCGAAGACGCGCGCATCAAAGACAGAGGTGCTAGATCTTGCAGGGCAACTCCGGTAGTACTTTCAAGCGCAACGGCGGCAAGCATGGATGACGCGAGGCCGGCTTGCACAGTAGTTGATGTTCGAAGCACAACAGCCGCAATGGCGACAGATCTCGTCATCCAACCGGACAGAGCGATGTCTTTCCAATTCTTGTTGCCACTTGCGGTGAACCAGAGAAAAGTAATGTAAATGATGAATGCCGCAGTTCCAATAACGCTGAGCACGAGTAGAGTGCAGGGCCACTTGCCGACTCTGCGCACAATCTGCGTGACGTGTTATTAGGTTTACGTGTGCAGATCTATTTTGCACGTACTGTCACGGGTCGCCCTCCAGGCACTTCTGCCTTGTGGACAGACACTAGGGTTGTTCGGACATCTTTATTTTTGTGTTGTTGCGCAGAATCGACCGAGTTCTCGTTCGCTACACTGGAATTCTGGTATTCGTGTTCTTGTATAGAAACGCTGGAGCACTCGCTCGCTACGCTGACATCCTGGTATTCGTACTGTTGTACAGAGGCGACATCCTGATCTTCTTGCAATCGTATACGGTCGTTTATACGCTCCCTAGTTTGTAGAGCATCATAGCGTGATGCCATGCTGTACGGATATACGAATCGAAGAGATGAGCCTGTGGGAGAAGAACAATGCCCTTGCAGACATTAGCCTGCTTTTAATAAACTCCATCAACAAGGGGATGACAGATATGCCAAGTTAGTAAGGCTGAGCGACGTGCCGTACGTCTGCAGTATGACGAAAATACTGCACCAGGTGAATCCTAGATGCGTGGTGGGGGCTTGGTGTGGGGGCCAAAAGATCCATTGGCTATGTATAGTAAACACCAATGAGACCATACCTACCATCGCTCGCTTTAGCGCTCTTCATTTAAACAAGAAAGGAATCAACCAGTTTGTATCCCTACACCACCATCCTCCTTGTCATCCACTCCCCAAAACCCCCCTCGGCAACACTCTTACTAAACGCAATCCAAAACGCCTGTTTCTCACTCACAGGATTAGCACACCTCTCTACCATCGCCTTCACGTTAATGCTCTCCAGTCCCTTAATCGCCATAACCTGTTCCGCCCATTCTAAATCCATGCCCCCAAAATCACCACCACCAAGCGGACCACCAAGCCACTCGTTCTTCATACGCAGCATGGTGTCAAAGTCGCTGGGTAAGATGGGCGTAATGGAATCCCAGCCGTGATCAGGCTTGCCAGATATGACGTTCAGAGTAAGGCTGCGCAGAGAAATAGGCGCAGGAATCTCGGTTCCGTCGAGAGCAGACTGCGGCGGTGTAGCAAGGTAGTCGCATAGACTTGCCCATTCCGCGCGGTCAAACTCTTTGCTATATGGCAGCGGTTTCTTCGTCACGCTGAGATGACGTAGAGCGGCACGGCTTCGGGGGGTAAGGTCGGAAAGGAAGGGTACTGCAGCTTCAATGCTGGTGTGGAAGGAGAATGTGTAGGTCGAGTAGAGGATTTTGCTTGCTTCGGCGTGGATTTGGTGGTTTAGAGATAGCAGGGAGGGAACGGTGTGGCGGAGGTGCGATGTGTAGGGGGAGAGGAGGACGCGGTACGTTGTTGGTGTTGTGGTCGTTAGAAAGGGCCCTGCGAATCCATTAGCACATTGTCCAGTTGGCTTCAGAGATTTCCCCCCGGATTGCTTGTGAACGTACCGGTTCTAATATGGTATGTACTCCGCCGTCTCCATGTCCTTGGACCTTGCACTCCCAACCATGGATCCATAGTGCGTACGCTCAAAGTACACGGGTCATTGTTCGTATCTTCGGAGAGGTAGGTGTGGAAGTCGGGAATCAGGTTCGCGACTGAGGTTCCATTTCCGGTCGTGGGCGTCGTCGATGGTAGGAGTAGGTACTCGTATATCATGAGACGGATCTCGAAAGGAAGACGGAGTAGCGGCGATGCTGGGAGAGCGTCGGCTGTGTAGGACGTGGACTCCATTGCAGTAGATGTTTGCCAGGACTTTGGTTTATGGCACGATACGTTTTGTGGGTGTAACAGGTGAAGAGACGTGTCGGATTGCTTTCCGGATACTGTGTAGTCCTCTCTTCTTCAAATACAGTCGTTGGCGTTTCTCAGCCCCTGCAATTAATCGGTGTGTCGCTCCAGCTGACTACACGTCGTTCCAATCAACCAAGACAGATACCACGACGCATACGTTTCGGCCCAAAAAGAAAAGATGCAGTCAATTAGCGCGCGAGTGGGCGTTCTGTGATTTTTTGCTTGTGAGCGACTCAGGGACCATCAAGGTATCACGAAGTCGACGCTTGGGGAAACAGCGCGTACACGCCAGAAAATAAATTCCGACAGCACCATGATGACCTTGACGCATGAGTCGAGGGAGCTTTACCTAGAAAAGTAAGACCCTTGGTTTCTATCCTTGCAAACGGATTAGTCGTGGATCATGGCGGCAGTAGCGCGGAGATAAAGGTCTTGACTGGAATGACGTTCCGAGCATGCCCAGGTGTTATCGCGTTGGTAATGTTGGCGGTGAGCAAACATCGCCCGGCAGTGTTGTCTCGTTGCGATGCCAGTGTTCATCTTTTACGGCCGTACTGTTATATATAATACATGGATTGGTGCCTCTTTTCTACTCTTCAGGTTTACTAAATGTGTCAGCTAGGTTCAAAGGCTGGTGTGCTGACGCAGGTAGCGATATCCGCCTACCAGATAACCTGCAACAATACACGCTCTAGACCTCTCTCAATCTCACGTCGATAAGACATGATATCGCGCAATACTCTGATAAAGCTGCCCGATGAACGCCGAGACGGCTCGCGATCTTGCATAAACGCTCTTCTATCGGGCCTTTCGGAAACGACTCGGAATACATGCCCTAGGCCCACGTGCGTATGTCATAGCGTGGCGGATGGTCAAAGAAAACGAGAAATTTCTCAAAAGGGCCGCCGGGCTTGCGTCAAGGTTGCGTGAGCAAGCAAGCGAGAATTGTTGAAGGAGAAGAAGCGGAGGCAGGATCGCCGGTTTCTCGGCCAAAAAAGGTACGTACCTGCAGCTCGCTAAAATCCTTGCCAAGCTTTCAAGCGTAACATGTGAAGTACCCGAGTACCTCGCTACGACAAGCACACATAGAGGTAATACCAAAGTCAAGAGGAAAGCGCGAAGTTGCTCCATGTTCAATGATATGCATTGCTCAGCTGTAGTAGCAGCTCAACTGTGAACGCCATCGAGCTACCTTGCTCTGCTCTTTGCCCCCTTAAGTCCCTAACCATACCCTAACACAGTAGTTTCCTTCTCATAGTACCGGAGAAGGAAAAAAGCCGACTACACGCAAAATCAGACAAACAAGAATCTTTTTGACTTTATCCCTCCCTTGCGGATTTAAACGCCTCGCGACTGAGCACGTAAATAACCAATGGCATGACATGGACCTAGAAAAAGAGAGGATGCAAGAGGAGAGGAACAAGAGAGAAGAAAGGAGATTGTCATAATACAAAATCTGAGGCCTATCAAGCGTATCATGTAAACATGCTTCTTCGTGCCATCAGTCAACTCAAAGTGGACGCGAGAAAGAAAACGATGACCCTTTGTCGTACAAGCTCGTCATGATGATATGGGTAGCCCATATCCTTCTTAACAACGTGTCAAGTCTCTCAAACGTCTTGAATTTGCAGGAGACGGATCTAGTGCTGGCCGTAGTTTCCGCCCCAGCCTCCGCGGTTGTAGCTACCGCCGTATCCTCCGAATCCGCCGTAGTTGCCATAGCCACTCTGCTGCTGGTGGCTACCGGAATTCTGGTGGCCTAGACCACCGAGTCCGCCATACTGGCTGTTGCCAAGGTGGTTGGGGTAGTTTCCGTAGCCTTGCTGAGGGTGTTGGGGTCCGCCCTGTCCAGGGGTGCTTTGGTTGGCGGAACCGGGGCGACCGGGCTGAGCACCGAGAGCCGATGGGCTGGGTCCACCGCTCTTGTAGTCGCTCGAGGGCTTTAGGGCGTCATCGTTCAAGCCCTGGCTACCCGACTGTCCATAGGAGCTTTGGTGGAAGTTTCCTGGTCGAGTAAAGGTATCGGGAATGGCACCGAATCCAGCAGCAGCAGAATTGGCAGTGGCGCTGGGGTTCTGAGATGCTCCAGAAGCTGAGCGACCGTAGTCACCGAAGCCTGCACCCATACCACTGCCGCGATCGTGGAGCGAAGAAGCGCCGAAACCTCCTGCATTGGCGGGTGAAGCCGAGTGCTGGTCGAACGAAGCTTGGGGAGACATGCCGTAGTGCTGGGGTTGACCGTACATGCCGCCCTTTCCGAACGAACCATAGCCTGCTCCTCCTTGGCCGTAACCACCGAATTGGTTCATGTAGTTAGCGTAGTAGGGGCTGCCATAGTATGGGTGGTTGTATGGGTAGCCTGCACTGTGGCCGTGCTGCGCGTGCTGGCCTTGAGCGCCATGTCCCTGGCCTGCCATAGCAGCCGGGTTAGGGGTATTATGGCCGCTGTTCTGAGCGTCACCGTAACGGCTCTGAGACTGAGAATGTTGTTAGCAAGGGATAATAGAAGGATACAGAATTCTGCGTGAGCTACTGTCCCGACTCTGTCCTTGTCGTTTGCCTTTCCCGTCTCGAGCGACTCAGTTAAATGAGACCGTCGGATTCGTATGGCATAGCGTTCGTGAATGAGTCTGGAGAGCGCAACAGGTTCACTTACTTGTGGGATCTGACTCTGTGAATAAGCCGAGTCAGTAGGTCCAGAGCCGAATGCACTGCCAGTACGCTGCTGAGCAGAACCGGCTTCCTGCTGGCTCTGCGCAATGGGCTGACCGTAGCTTCCATAGTAGTTCTGGTATTGCGAGCGTTGCTCGGAAGTAAGGTAATTGGAGGGGTAGTTGTCTGGGGCGGAGGAGAAAGCACCAGGCTGAGACGGGGCCTGGCTTTGGCCAGGGTAATCGTAGTTCTGCGACTGCGAGTGGTTCGACGCTGGGATCTGCTGGCCGAATGGATCGTATGGCTTCTGCGGTGGCGCGGAGGCCTCCGAGTGGATACCGGGCTGACCGTACCTAGCAAACTGGTTGTAGGGCTGGTTGGACTGAGATCCTTGGTTCTGCATAGCCTGAGATCCAATGGGGTTTGAGGGAGACTGCTGCAGGCTGGGTTGGTGTTGGGGGACGGGAGGGAGTCCAGGGGCCTGCTTTGGTGTAGGGGCAGACTCTTGTTGGGGGGCATCTTGAGATGCTTGGCGAGGAGCGGGAGGGAGAGAGGTCTTGGGCTGGGTAATGGGGGAGTGTTGGGGCGGCTGAGTCCTGGTCTCTGCCTCTTCCCTGTCTTCGTCGACATCTGGGTCCGAGCCTTCGCCCAATCCCATGCTGCCAAACTGAACTGCAGCCCTGTCTACGGCGTGGTTGCCGGGCATGACGACTGCCTCCTGTTGCTCCATTAACCTCCTCTGATAGCTCGCGCTTCGGTGTGGGGTACCAGAAGTCGCCTTCAATGCGGTCGTCTGGAATCCTCCAATTGCGGGACGGCCAATAGGTGCTTGTGTAGGACCGTTCAATGGGGTCGCTACTGCACTTCCAATATCCTTCGAGCTTGCGACAGTGCTGAAAGCTGTCTCGGTTGGGGGTGGATGGGACTCGTCGGGCAGATGCTCGACGTTCTCCTGTGTTAGCTGATCTCCAGAGGGTGTGAGGGTGACGTCAGGTGCAGCATCGTCCACGCTCTTGTCTGGCGTCATCTTGGACGTGTCTTCGGCCGTGATGGGCGGGGTCTCGACGGCCTCATCTGCGACAGGGGGTATAGGCAGTTCTTCTGCCTGCACGGCGGGCTCTTGGGCAACTTGGTGCGCGGGCGTCTCGTCGGGTGCTTGTGCGGGCACTTCGGGGGCTGGAGCAGCAGCAGGCTTCGGTGCTGCCTTGGGAACTGCGGGGACGGGCTTGGGTGCAGCAAACATACTCGCCCAAGTCTTCTTCGCGGCTGTCAGGCCAGCCTCTACAACAGGCTTTATGGCTTCGGGCGTCGCTTCGGGCGCGTGTACGGTTTCATCGTCCTTTTTGGTCTCCTTGGACTCTTCTGGGACTGTGGGTGTGTCCCACGCAGCGGACTCAGTAGTCGGGACTGATCCAGCAGCCGCACGAGGTCCACTGGCGGCGCCTCCACGACCGCCTCGAATTCCACCGCGACCACGATCAGTGCCCCGTCCGCCACGGCCTCCGCGACCGCTGTCGACACCACGGCGGGCTCCATCGGGCCGGCCACGCAGACTGGACGCGCCATCGACGGGCACGACGTTCTCCTTGGCCTTGGAGCGGGACCTGTCCTTTGCTTTCTTTGGGACTTCTGAGAATTGCGAGACAGCGCCTGTAGTGCATTAGCCTTGTGCTCGTCGTGTATACAAATTACGTGATGCAGGCGCAGGACACGTGGGAGGGTCGCGCTTACCCTCACTGATCTTCTCGATGGTGGTCTGCAGGTCACCGTCAGATTCTTCGATTGCGAGGACGAGATCGGCGTCGGTCCAGTCGGGGAATAGCTCCTTGAGTGTGGATAGCTGTGACTGGTAGCGCTTCTTAAGCTCTCCAAGTTCGCCTTGGTCTGCTGATGTGTCAATGTTGGAGGATGCGCTGTCGCCGTTGGTCTTTCTGGGGCCTCGAGAGCCGTATGATGCCCTGCCGCCGCGGGCAGAGCTCCTGCCTCGCGCAGGCCGAGATGGTGCTTCAGACATTGGATCTGTGTGATGTGTGGGCAAGCCGCGGGGGACTTAGGTGTGTGTGTTTGTGTGGGCGGATTGGTGGGCAGGCGAGGTGATGATGTAGAGGGAGGAGTAAAGTTGGGGAAACAGCTAAAGGGAAGCGACCACGTCGGCTTGGCGCTAGAGCTTCCAATGGCTGAGGACGCGGCAGGGTCGCGTTGACTGGGGCTGAGGCAGGCTGTCGTTTATGCAGAAGTAAGGTGAGGGCTGAAGGTCAATTGATCTACGAATAGCTGGAGCGTCTCGTCCCAGCCTGCCATGATGCGCGCGTTAAATCCGTCACGTGCGCATAAGGCGGCACCTTCCCGAACCGCCTGGTCCACTCTCGTCATCCGCCTCACTCCACCCGCCCAGACACATCAACACCAACACGAAGCCATGCAGTCTTCCGCCGGCAAACGCGTGCTGAGCACTCTCGCCTCCAAGATCCACCCTCAGCTCCCCCTGTCGCCGCGAGAGTCGCAGCAACTCCTCAACTTGCTGACCAACTCCTTCCGTACTCATCTCGACCACGCCCACCCCCTCGCCCCCTCCGAGAGCAGCCAGAGGAAACCGACACGAGAGTTGACTACCAGCCATGGCCGGCGCAATTCCTCTCCAAACCGCCAGACGTCGTCGTACGATTCAGCAACTCAGCACATCGACTCCATCTTGAACAACCCTCTTCTCGCCGTGAAGCCCCGTCGGAGAGGGTCAGGACCGGCTGCCATCGATATCATGAGAGACCCCATGGCTTGGTTCATCGATGAGATCGCCACAGGTTCTGCCACTTTGCCAAAGGCCGCCGTATGTCTCGAGTACCTCGAGAAGACCACGAATCCAAGTCCCTTGAGACTTGAGAACGGAAGATCACCAGCAACTGTACTTGCCGAATGGCTCAAAACCAGCAACTTGGAAAACTCAAAGCAGCTTCTCGAGATGTCAATCAAATCAGGGCGCGGCACTCGATTTCTAAACAGATTGGTGGCTCTACTGCTAGCCGAGGGAGAGACCACCGCACTCTGGCGCTGGTTCATTCGATCAAACGAACAACGCGCAAAAGACACCGGACTAGATGTCGCACGAATAGCAACTTTCAAACAACAACTTCTGGCCAAGATGGTTGTACTTTCGGCGGACAACAAAGACGTTATTAGCAGTATGAATTTTTTCATGCAAGCGTTCCGCCTGCTCGAGAACGCAGGATACGAAGCAGCTTATGACGTGCTAAGACCTGCAGGTGGTCATCTTGTAAACCTGATCATCTCCAATCCCGACCATTCAATAGCGCCGCTACTGTACCAGAAATTCCTGCTGTCATCAACCCACTGGTGTGGAGACTGGAGTCGAGCGGTCCAGTCCATGCTCTCACTACACCACCCTACCCAACCTAGTGCAAAACCTGGCCTCATATTTATCCGGGATTCTGCTGGCGCTATCACATACGTGAACGCATCTCCAGGTCGACGGAATTTCCTGGTTAAGCTTTGTCTAGGTGTAGCCCGGCAACTGATGGAAGAAGAGAATTTTGCGGAAGCGCAGAGCGTTATGGAGTTCACGAAAGAGCACTTCCCTGACATGGTTCTACGGAAACAAGCGATCGTGCAGCAGCAAACAGCAGAAGAGAAGATAGAACGCAGAGAGAGGAGGAATTTGGAACTACTGGATCGCCTGGTCTTAACTTGAATGGTTTTCTACGCATTATTTCACAGATTGTATACAACTGCGACGGAATCGCAGTTGTTTTTGGGAGGATGTGTCGTATACATGAATCCTTGTGTATAGGCCTAATGGTAGTGCACCGGTGGCCTGGGCGTGCGGGGAGACGCCGTTGCTGGGCAGGCGTCATAACACGCGAGCACAAGATCTGCGAACACGATGTGCGCAATGCTATGCAAACATGATATAATAAATCTCACGATCTCTCACGATCGATTCCATTGCTCTACGAGCTAATCTAATTAAGCCTCCGATTGACTTTTGGTATCGCTAAAAAGAAACAAAAATCGAAATCGAACATGTCGTGTCATCGTGATCTCATTGCCCCGCTCTATGCCTTGAGCTCACCACCGTCGGTCTCCTCTGGCCAGACATCGTAGCCGAAAGTGTCCTTCATGTTGACAAAACGTGTGTGCCGTCCCTTGGCGACCTCCTCGACGGCGTCAAAGTCGGCCTTGCTGAGCTCGGGGATGAGCCAATTGCTCTCGATGCGCTTAGGCGTGGAGCTCTTGGGCAGGACAACGTAGCCGCGCTGAAGACCCCATGCGAGCAGTACTTGCGCAAGGTCGTGACCGCTTCGCTCGGCAACTTCGTTGAGCTTGGGGTTGGTGCGGACCTTCTCGCCCGTGCTGGGAACTTGGTTCTGGGACCCGAGCGGCGAGTAGGCAGCGACGAGGATGTCGTTTTCCTGGCAGTACTTGACGAGGTCCGTGTTAGGGAGGAAAGGGTGGACTTCGATCTGGTTGATCATGGGCTTGACCTTCGCGATCTGAAGCAGCTTCTTCAGGCCGGGGATAGTCCAGTTGGAAACTCCGATCGCCTTGGCCTTGCCGGAGTTGTAGATCTCCTCCATGGCGCGCCATGTGGGCTCTGGGTTCTCTGTGAGCTCCTTCTTGATGATGTACTTGCCATCAGCACCCAACTTGGGCTGGTGGTTGTCATCGCTCTCTGCGGCAATGGGCCAGTGGACGAGGAACGCGTCGATGTAGTCAACGCCCAAGTTCTTCAGACTCGACTCGAAACTCCACTTGACCTCCTCGGGCTCGTGCAGGTGGTTCCATACTTTCGTGCAGATGAAAAGGTCCTTGCGTGTGACGTTGGGGTTCTCCTTGAGGAAATCGCGGACGGCGTCGCCGACTTCGCCTTCGTTCTGGTAGAACCACGCGCAGTCGAGATGGCGGTAGCCCGTCTTGAGCGCTGTGGTTACGGCAGCGTACGTCTCGCCAGATGCGCCTTCGCTGGCAAAGGTGCCGAAACCGACGGCTGGCATGATGACGCCATTGGACAGCTTGAAAGACTTCTGGTTCGCGAGGGGTGCCATGATTGCGATGTTGTGATGCTGGAAATGTGAAAATGTGATGTAGGTTCAAAACAATGAAAGGTGTCAAGTGATTTGGAGATGGTTTATTCAGCGGCAACAGCGCGTGCTGGGACTATTGTGCTACATATATCCAGCGTAACCTTGGTCCGTCTGAAATTTCTTTCTTCAAGGTTTCATCATCGACCATGCCTAACCATGAAGCTCTGCCGGCCGTGACCTCACACCGAGAGATTCCGATCGCAGAGGCATCTCGCAGGCATCGGTCCCATTGCGAAAAAACTCCATAATAGTCCCATCCAACAGTTTCACGTTGGCCCTCTGGTGTTGGCCCTCGTCATCAACAATGACGTCGGTTGTGGATTCAGGGTCCACAGCACGGGCCGAGCGAAGCCATTTTAATTTCTGGCGCGGAAGTTTTGCCGACTTCATCTTCGTTCGCAAGGAAATGTGGAACGATGTAGTCCCAATAGTCGTGCGGCTCTGCCGTTGTCAGCCACTCGTTTAAGCAGATCGCTAGCTGCCTTCGCCCTAATTCGGCGAGCCGCGGTTACCTCGCCCCACCCACTGCTCGTCACTACCAGGAACTGCTGGGAAGTAACGCCGTGTCTGTCTGCAAGCTGCCTGTACCGTCTACACATCCTGCTACAATCGTCTCAGCTATTCCCACATGTCGCATATGCACGCCAACCACCTCTGACAAGCGGTGTGCCGTGCCTTATCTTCCGGCCGCGCTCTGCGTCCGGTCAAATGAGGCTCTGCGCTAAGCTTCGACGGCATCGGCGAGAGGTATACAACGCTGTTTTTAGGTGTTGTGGCGACTCACAGCACTACGCTGCTATCGGTCCCCAGTTTTCGGCGATAATACGGCGGTGACGGTATCCTACACATTCTCTGGTTCAGCAAACTTCTCCACTAGTGCTGCCATGCACGGCCACTTCCGCATGGTAATGATGTCGCACTGTGGGTACAGAGGTACTTGTTGAACGCTCACAGTGCCAGAACGTGGTTGGTGTGGCCGGCCTGAATCGGGATAGCGAAAAGCTCCTGCGAAACTTTCTAGAAGAGATTGGCGAATAATGATGGCATCTGGGGTTCATGGCAGTCGCTACCCATCGGGTGATGTGATATATAGAGCCCCTCCCCCAGGACCCTGATACTGCTCATTCATCATCACACAACTCCACATCTCCTGTCACTCATAGCTTCTGTGAAGCCTGATACTACTATTACTACCTTCTCGATTTGATACCCCATTCTTATATCAAATTTCAACTACAACCGCCATCATGTCTCCCTCCGTCCAAGAGAACGAGGTTCCTCTCACTCAGACCAAGTCCAACACCAAGGAACAGCTCCCAATCCCCGTTGACAACGAAGATGGCACTGAGAACGCTGTCGAAGTACCAGCAACCCGAAGTGCCATGGCCGACACCACTAGCTACATGCACAACCTCTCTCTCCAGCCTTCCATGAAGGATAGGAGAGGATCTCGCAACTCCTTCGGTACCTCATTGCCCATCCCCCGCTCTAAGAGGCAATCACGTCTTTCATCCGTTCACTACCCCGATGGCCGTGGTGCTGCCGTCCGCCCTGGCATGCCCCCGATCCAGCCATCCCGCGACATTATCGCTGCTCAGCTCCAGGACCTCGCTGGTGAGAAGGTTCGCGCCGCTAAGGACATGGCCTTCGTCTTCGACATTGACGGTGTCCTTGTCCACGGTGACCGTCTCATCCCCGAGGGTCAGCGCGTCCTCGAGATCTTGAACGGAGACAACGAGCTCGGCATCAAGATCCCCCACATCTTCCTTACCAACGGATCTGGTAAGCCCGAGCAAGCCCGTGTCGACCAGCTCTCCAAGATTCTCCACAACCCCATCTCGACCGAGCAGTTCATCCAGTCGCACACTCCCATGCGTGCCTTGTCCGAGTACTACAAGACCGTCCTCGTTGTCGGTGGAGAGGGCTACAAGTGCCGTGAGGTCGCCGAGCAGTACGGCTTCCAAGACATTGTTGTCCCCAACGACATCATTGCCTGGGACCCTACCATCGCCCCTTACCGTGTCTTCACCGATGAGGAGCGCGCAACTTCCCGCCCTCGCGACTTCAGCAAGGTCAACATTGAAGCCATCATGGTCTTCTCTGACAGCCGCGACTACGCCACCGATATCCAGATCATCATGGACCTTCTCCAGTCTGAGAACGGCAAGTTCGGAACCCGTGCTGCGGACCCCGTCTCCCAGCGCATCCCCATCTACTTCTCCCAGGGTGACATGCTGTGCCCTACTGAGCACCCCTACCCCCGCATGTCCCAGGGAGCCTTCCGCATTGGTCTCGAGGCCATGTACAAGTCGCTCACCGGTGTTGAACTCGAGCGTGTTGTCTACGGTAAGCCCGAATTGGCTACCTACAAGTACGCCGACGAGGTCATCGCCTCCTGGATGGAGACCATCCACAACGACGAGAAGCTGCCCGCCAACATCTACATGATTGGTGACAACCCTGCTTCCGATATCGTCGGTGGTAACATGTACGGCTGGAACACTTGCCTTGTCCGCACTGGTGTCTTCCAGGGTGGTGACAACGACGAGAACAACCCTGCTTCCTTCGGTGTGTTCAAGAACGTCTTCGAGGCCGTTACCACTGCCATGAAGAAGGAGCTTGGCCAGGACTTCAAGTTCAAGTTCGACGAGAAGATCAACCCTGTCATGGCTGAGGGCGGCTCTTCTGCCATCGCTTAAGTGTTGATTGGGAACATCAAACGATCGATACGAAGGGTTTTTTTTTCCTTTGTTGTAGATAAGCATTTCTCTGGCGTTTATGGGTTTTATATCCTTGCATAGCGAAGCTAGCACCAACTTTATAGATTTTACGAATAACTCGGGTCCACGGATTCTTGGTTTCTTTTATAGATTACGATAAATTCTAAAAGTCTTCTACCTCTTTACATTATCGCTTCATTCAACTGCCTCTTCACATCGATGTAATGTCTACCTCGTCTCTGGTGTAGTCTTTCCATTACCCACTCATTTCACTACCTCATGTAAACTTGACATCGCACAGAGTAATATCCATCTTTTCATCTCTACTCCGAAACTGTATCTTCGCTCCCGGTTCGTCATCAAACCCAGTGACTTTTTGGTGCAGTTCCTCTGTTCGCGTAGACTATCAAAAGCTCGTTAGCAAAACATCTCATAGTCACATAAGTTGTGTCAAGGTTTACTGACACAAAATATCCCCTCCATATATAGCTTCCCCTCTACCTAAATATATCCTCTCAGCCTTCAACTTCTCTTTATTGCCCATATCATTCCTCATCTGTAGCACAAAATTAGCCTCCCTCGCACATAAACTCGTCATAACACAAAACAACTTACTTGAATAGTCCCAGCACCGCCATCCTTCATCTCTGCTCTCACAAGAAGATTTCCTAACCTCCTTTCCTCTGTTATGTCGTCCGCTTTCTCCACCCTTCCCATACTCAGCCAATTTCCCTCGCTCAACTCCGCATCTAGTATTCCTTCTTCTTGTTTCACCACCTGGGCAGCAATCATGCCCGCAGCCAGTGAATCCCAAACACCCTCGCGCCGCCGGTAGTTGAGCAGGAGAGCTAAGGCGCGCCGACGGACGAGCGGATCGCGGCAGCGAGTTGCGATGAGAAAGAGGGGCACCATGGGGGAGAGTTCGAAGGATGGAGAGATTATCTGAGGTGCAAGACGGGATGTGAAGGAGTGGGGGTAGGAAGTATGGTTGGAGACTGGGTAGGCGGTGTCGGAATGGAAGGTTATCGTCAGGTGGGGTAAGGGCGGTGATGCTGGCGGCGATGGCAATGCAGGTGGTTGAGGTTGAGGCTGAAGCATAGGCAACGTCTCCGCGAGCTCAACAGCCTCCCTGAAGTCCCCGATGTAGGCATCCCACACCATCTCACTCGTGAGACCTGCTCCTGCTGCAACGATCGCCCGCATCATGATAGCGTAGATCCGGAGTAAAGTCCCGCCATCCGTCGCTTTCTCTTCGCCCTCCTTTTTCCCTCCTGTATCTCTTTCGGTGCCTTTCCTGCTCTTCCTGTCAAAAAGCCCAAATTTATGCTGCCACACCACCAATGCTCTTATCGCCCCTTCATACATCTTCCTAAATTCCTTGTTCCCCGTGACCCTTGGTTCCTTATCTAGATTCCCCGAAGTCCATAGCAAACACCGACTCAACTCAACTAGATCGTCTCTTGCCGCCTCATTGTTCTGGTAACCGTCTTCCGGTGACGAGATGGCCGGAATCTCTGGTGCGGTATCCAACCACCATTCATATGGGGACGTGTCATCGGAAAAAATCATGGTTTGAAAGTCGAAGCGGTGGAGGACCTTGGCGATCGCATATTGAATGGAGGTTTGACTTGTTGTTGATGAGTCGGATGAACCAGAGGGGGAAGGTAGACAGTATTGGTGAAGGATACGAAGGCCGTTGCGGAGATGCATATTAGCCGCCCTATAGTTTCCAGATAGATTCTCGAAACAGGTAAAAATGATACAAAGTATCAATGTCTTCTCGATGACAAACCCATTCTTACCATGACCATGACCATTTCCATCCTCTTGAAACGAAGAAAGGAGTTCGTTTGAATACCGCACTGCGCGTATGTACTGTACGAGCGCTGCATCACGGGGTATACTACCATCAGCAGTTGGCGAACTGGTGGCGGTGGCTCCACCACTCTCAAGCCTCTCATGTAAACAGCTCAGCGCCAGGATTCCATGTTTCACAGCAGGTTCCTCATGGGTCAACTGAAGCACTGTCTGACACCATAGGCGAGAGTCAAAGAACTCGGTCCAGCGTGGTAGGGTGTAGGTTTGGAAGTAGTGGAATGAGCGATTCTCGAGAGGTTCTGGGCTGAGACTTGTTGAGGGGCTTCTGGAGATAGTCGACTGGCGGCGCGATTGCTGTTGTTGTTGTTGGCGCTGAGGAATAGCGAGGAAAGAAGAATTGCGGTACGCGGCTGCGGTGGCTGGAGACGTGGAATCTTGTGGCGAGGTGTCTCTGTAACCACCACATGTTCGATTGGCTCTTGTGCACCTGTAACATGCTGGTGGTCGTTAGTCCTCATTTCCATCCAGCTGGTTTGCGATATTGAGTAAATTACATGGTTTTGCTTCATCGCATTTTATGCGTCGCTTTCTGGTGACTGATAAGTAGCTTGCGCATGTCTGCTGATTGATTGGTGTGGAGCCACTTACCGGCAAGTGTCGCATCCTGTTTTGACCCTCAACTTTAAACTCCTTTCCAACTGCCGCAGTCTGATTTCATCCTCCATAATCGCCTTACTCACAAATATCTTAGAGCCTTCCATATATAATGAGATAGGAAAGTTGATTCGGACCGAATACATCCGAAGCGACGTCCTTGCATAAAGAGGGTCATCACCTTACCAGATACTGCATCATGACCCTGTAATCGCAATCCGAAGGGCGCAACTTCCAGCCGATTCACTCGCAAAACAGTGTCTCGTATACACGATACTACGCGGCTAGAAGGCCGAGGTACGCGTCCAACAGCAAAACTCAACTCTTCCATGATGCATGGGTGGCCTTGCTTCTATAAGCAAGGCTTTCAATGCTATATGGCAATGATTGCTTACGTGGTACTTCCCTCGGCTACTTTACCTACCCTTGCTTTGATCCTTGTCGGGGCATGCAACCAGGCAGAGGCAGTTTCGCGGAGCTAAGTGCACCTTATTAGCCTCGATCGACCCGACCACGAATCCTTCAGGATTGTTCAAATGACGTTCCAAATAGTATTTCAAATCCAACATGGAGCACGGCGGACGGACTGCGGAAAGCGGGAGTCGAGAAAATCGGACATAAGAGAGACTTCATACGGTCGTTGCATCTGGAACTGATAAAGCCTTCTAATGAAGATACGGTTGTGCGTTGAGGTATGGAAGATCGGAGAAGACGATTTGAAAGCAGAGAGACCTCGGCATGTGCTAGAAAAAGTTATGTTCAACAACTCCGAACAATTCGCGAGAACCTCAGGCCTGGCAAGCACGGAGGCAATATCTTGTTCTCATAATAGGACAGCTACCAAAGCAATCAGGTTTGAGATGGGTTCGCGATCAAAGGTTGGGGTTTGTCCAGGCGAGATGAACAACATGCGTCAGGGAGTGAGGATAGTTTTGCGTCGCCAAATTCGGCACCTTTAACGATAAGAGCTGTGCGTATCTAGGATGGCGATGTCAGCTGCGGATTCGCGCAGTTGCTGTATGGATTTGCAGACCACGACGTAAGAGACTATTGATAAGGTGCCGGCCGCGACGATGTAGAAGCGCAAGTTTTCAGCAATTACCAGCTTTCATGGTATTTCTCTCCCGACTACTCCCCTCTGGCTCTGTAGCTGGTGTACGTGCTGGTGACTGTTAACCAGCGTTGGCCGTAACAGTTCGGCTGTGTTATGCAGGCGTGCAACTCGGGGGAGGCTAGCGCCTCCATATGCCCAATCGCATTGACATAAGGGTACGCCTCAAAGGATTAAATACCTCAGTGCCAGACAGAAACTATGAGAAAGACAAGGTGAGGAGTTTTACAGAAAAGTAGTTCATTTAAGTTTTCGTTGAGTGTCGTTGCGAGATATACTGTTTGAGGTTGGGGCAGTTCATTAGCATCGAGGAGCACGACCGTATGGGGTTTGGCCTCCAATTCGGGCCGCGATAGCACCACGCTAATACTTTGTAGTCGCGAAGCATAGCATTGCATCAACATGTTCTCTACCACCACTAGAACCAATCAGGTTGATGAGGACATCGAGTTAGCTGAGCTTTTTGGCGGCTATACACCTTTTCACCAGGTTAACACCGAGACTACATCACCTACGCCTGTCTTGCTGTCAGTCGCCCAAACTCGATCTCATACATCCAATCATCGACTTCCCAACATCCAAACAATGCTGTCGAGTACGAACAAGTCAGCAGTCGTACGCCATGAGGAGAAGACATGGTTCAGTCATTTCATAGAGTATGCCCCTATAGAACCATTGGCACTACGATTAGAGTTTCTTGTAATGGCGAAGTAGGTTACATAGGGGAGGCAGTTTGAGGTGGTCTGCGCCATCGTAGGTCTATTGCGCGAGGAATTGTCGAATGGAGACTAGATGTAAGAGTTATCTATAGAGTACTCGTGGACTGCGTGTTACCTCGAAAGATCTTTCAATTATTACAAGCACTGTGGAGGTATCGCAAAGGTGGACAAACTTGAGGCTGTGCATCCGTTAGGAACTTGACAGTGTAGATTTGTACCCTTGTTTAAATTACTAGTTGAACGTGACCGCGATGGTGTTGGCGGTTTCGAAATCGTGCGGTTATCACAAGATTTATCGGGTATGATGTGAGGGAGTATTGATGAAATGCAAGAGAGCATCGACGAATTGCTAAGTGTTGCGAATCCGAAGTGCAAGTCTGCTGCCACTGCTGACGTGCAGGTGTTTATGTCTATCTGACCAATGGCTGCAGCAGAGCTTCTTCCTCTCGACACAACTGGAATTAACCATTCCGGGTATGGTAACAGACGGCTGTAGCGGTAGAAGCTCGCTGATGGTAATGGGCCTAGGACGAGGTTGGTATGGCACAAGCAGCAAATAAAGCAGAAGATCGCAAGGTGAGGTCTGGGGAGAGCGCTCATTGGGTGGCGCTTCATGCAACTATGGGTTACTGCTTCATGCAACTCACCGTCCACGCAATTGCTACAGCTTGTCCAGAGTCAGTCCAGGATGTTTCTCCAAGTAAGGTCCAGTCAGCAGCACTTTGACTTAGCGTAACCATGGGAAGTTAAGAAGGTGAAGAATCCACGGACGATGAAATATCTAACGAAACTCTTGATTGTCATAGTTTATTGTGTTGAGGCGCGCTACGACAAGCCAACCCCATCACCGTATGTTATTGAGCGTCTTGCAATCTGATTGGCTCTGCTCATACTAGTAACCATCGTTTAGTCGAAGCAGCGCATCGCATTGCCATGCCATCCTCATCCACGATCACAATCAATCAAGCCAACTACGGCATCGACTTAGATCAGCATATCGACCACGACTCTGGAACAAGTCAGCTGGTAAACACTCACTCTGACACGTCAGAGCTGGTCAATACCGACTCTACACTACCTGCGCATTACCTAGCGTCGCATCACACATACCCAGCCAACGGCAGCAATTGCAACAACCACTACCACACTTCAACAGCCATCGCCAGGGTTGGAACATTTCCGCCCAGATCCAATAACCAAACGCTGGACGCCTATATCGTGACGAACTTCACAGTTATTACGATCGTAATTGCTGCTATCACACTCGTCGCTACCGTCGCTGGAATAATCGTTGCCATCGTTCTAGCCGTCATATACAAGTGAGCTGCACTCGGCAGGAATATACAGAGATAAGCCCAGGGAGTTACCGGAGTTATGTTCTTTATGGTAGAATCAGGCGTAACGAATGTACAATACCCATCTGTAAGCGAGAACCTTGCTCATGTGCAGCTTCGTTCTTCTTTCCATATAGACACATGACATATACGAAAAGATGAAGGAAGAAAAAGGCAATACAATTCATATATCTAATATCCAACCAGCCAGCCAGCTTCCGCGGCCCTCGAAAGTGTATAATATATCCATTACTCGCTCTTACACGTTACGCCCACGCCAAGTTTACAAACAACCCAAAGAGAAAGTGATGAATAAGAAAAGTAAGGCAATGCAAGAAGCGCACTGCCATGCATGCCAGATGACGGTGTTAAACAAGAGAGAGAGAATGGTGCTCGATGTGCCTCGAATTGATGTGAAAGAAACGCCGCCAGGGGATGCTCCGCTTCCGAGCAGTCCGTATGCAAATCGTCAAAGTCTGTGTGTGCGTGCGTGTGCGTGTGTGTGTCGGTATCGAGCCAGCCGAAAGTATATACTCGTTTCTGAAAAGTGAATGTAGTTGCTCTGCCTCCCTACTCCTCCTCGGCCCTCTTTCTCCTCATACACTCTTATCCCGGCCTCCTGAAAGCTTCAACATTAAGCGTAGGCGTCTCGACCTGCCTGTTGGTCGGCACGCCTTCATTCTTTCTCCTATCAAAGAAGTTCTGGCATTCGTGACTAACAAACGTCCATTCCGCCAGTGCCCTTCCAGCATACGTACTTGACGTAGCCGCCGCACCGATTGGAGGCGTAGCCAGCACAGGCTCTGTATTGATTCCCTTTTGTTGAAGTAGGGATTGGGCGGGAGCAGGCAGTTTGGGGGGTTGAAGACGCATGTTGTGGTAGGTACCAAAGCGCTTGTCGACCCATTCGAGGGAGAAGCGGAAGTTGTAGGTGCGGTGAGTAGAGGGTGGTGGTTGTGTGGGGATGGATACGGGGGCCTCTGCGGCAGCTAATGCGGTATTGGCAAGTGCTTCGGTCGTGGACTTGGCAGGGGATGATGTCTTGCTCGAATTCTCCTTTTCCTTGATGGATGGTGCAGGACTTTTCGCCTTCGCGGTCTGCTTGGAGCTGCCCCCCATGAGACTTCGCAAAATGTTCCACTTGCCCTTGCCGGCCTCCTCGTCAGGAAAGTCGCTTGAATCAGCAGATAGGGCGGAAGCTGGTCGAACTTCAGCTTCTGGAATAGTGGTGCTAGTCGGAGTTGGCTTTCGTTGATTAGGGTTTTGGACGACGCCGTCAAACGAAAGGAACGGGCCGCTGTTGGCCACAATAGGATTATCATTACGTATGATGAGGAAACGTCGACCTGGTGCAGGATTGCACGCCTGGGTCGACGGGTAGACGATCTGCTTACGTTCAGCTTCTTCTTGAAGCCAAAGGTAGTGAGACCAGATGGACCGGAGCCGGTCACTCAAAGCTCGTTTTACGGCACTATAGCAATGTTAGTATTCGCCAGCATTGTCAAACGTCAAGAATACGTACACTTCAACATCGGTCTCATTTCCATCGTAACGCGCAACCCGCCAGCAGATCAGTCGCATGAAGTAAGACCGTACCATAGGGCACCAGTGGTTGAACCGACTTTCAAAGAAAGCGGGTTCCAGAAGGAAGTCAAGGCACAATCCACCCTTTCTTCGCTCGTCCATACACAGCGTGCACCAGCTGCTGTAGAGGAATGCGTACAGCTTGATTTCTGTAGCTGTGTTATGACTGGCGGCCATTGCCTTGAAGACGGTAAGCCAGAATGGCCAATCCATTACTGCGTGTTGATCGCTATCGTGCTGTTCGTAGCGGACCATGATGATGAGAGCCTCTTCGAGAAAGTCACAGAGAGTGTAACAGGCACTGTTGTCGTAGATGGAGATTTTACGCGCCTGCGCCTGGAGGAGACGAGCAAAACTGTCGGCAAACATGCGCCTGGCAATGTGAAGATGCGAGTTTCGCTCGGAGAGAAAATCCCGTATTAGCATAATAAGTCGGTTCTCCTGCATCATTCGAGTAGCATTCGCGGGCGGGAGAGCGACGTTTGAGGCAGAAGCATCGGGTTCTAGAACATCATCGAACGTGATGTCTGCTGCCCTCGATGGATCATCCACTGGCTGTTGCGGCGCGGTATTCCTGTTGATTGTTGCATCAAGGTTGACCAATATCTGGGCATGTACCATGATGAGTCCTGGCACGCAGATGCGCTCCGCTTGACTGGGCTCAACAGGCAGGAATTCGCTGACTAGAATATGGAAATGTTTGACAAATACATAGAAAAGATCACTTTCAGCGCCAGACCAGCGCTTGGTCCAAAGCCCATACCAGTCAAGATTCGCCATGGCGAGTGGAGGCAACACAGGCTTGTGCAACTGGCGTAAGAGTCGATGGAGCGAGAGCAACTTCAAGGAGTGAAGCATGGGAGGGAAAGCAGCCACAACTCGATCCGAGACAGCATCGAGTCGGTCTAGCTTAGAAACACCAGACTCCTCCATGACCCGCTTCATCATGTCGAGTGAGGGACTCCACAGGCGCACCAACACATCGGCGACGCCTGGGCAGAAGCAAAAAGCATATGCGCACGTCTTTCCGCAAAAGGTGACCAGGCTAGCTGCAGCGTTCCGTAACGACATTTTCTCTACAACGAAAGACATTTGTGATTGCAGGTTCTGCGTAAAAATATTTCGAACGTTGTGGTAAACGGATTCGGCGAGGAAGTCGGATTGACTAGACGAAGCAGAGCCGGTTGTGGACGTGGACAACGTCTCTTCGCGGTCTGCAAGAGCACAGAAAGGAGATGGGTAGAGCCTCCATTCGGGTCTCTCCATGATGGCCGCGATTCCTTCCAAAATGACTGGGCGATCTGTGCCAGATATCGACTGATTGTTCCGCCCTGCAACCAGTTCCAAAAGGCCGGTCCACCATCCGTTGAGAATGTTGACGCGTCGATCGAGATCTTCCGGCCGGAGCTTGTGGTTTGAAGGGTGTGCGGTATACTGGCGGAGAAAAGGAAGAAGGGTGGTCCGGACGACGTTTGCTTTCAGCGAACTGGACTTGGATTGGAATCTGTTATGTGTTAGTTATTACTTCGCTATCGAGAATGGGGAGTCATGCTTGCGCAGATCTGCGTCGAGGGTCCTGAATGCGGTCCATAGCTCGTCTTTCTTGCGAGGCTCCGTCTTGACACCCTTGAGCTTTTCCGCGGATACGTTGCGTGGTAGCGGCGGAACAACGTGGGTCGGGCTGACTGGATTGTGGTTTTGCGGATAGTGTGGAAGCTTTTCTGTCGAGAAGGACTTGGGTACAGAGGGCAAGTTGGAGGCACTGCTCGAATTGGCAAAGAGACCGCTAAGGCGCTTGTTCTTCTTGTTGAGAGGCGCTGGCGGCGGAATGTCTTCTTTCACGACGTCCCTCGCTTCAGACTCCTCTGGAATGCTGGTTGTGGTTGTAGTCGTTGGTGTCTTGCGCTTGTTTGGCTCAGCAGTGGTAGTAGTAGCGGGCTGCTCCTTGTCGGTGGCACTCTTCTTCTTGAGTTTCTTTTCTTTCACAGGCGACGAAGAATCTCCCGATTGCTCTTTTATGACCCACGACTTCCTCCTCAGATTGGTGAGGGAGCGCGACGGGGAGCCAGCTGGGGACTCTGATTGTTGCTTCACAGCATCAGTCCGGCCGCGCTCAGCCTTTTTGTCCGCCTTGCGTTCAGCTGACGGTTCTCTGCTCCGGCTGGAGAAGGGGAGAAATCGCGAGGAACGACGCGAGAGATTGTTGGGCCTGAGTTGCGGCATTTCCACACCAGCTATGTCCGGAGCCTCTTCTGAGGAGGGGCTCGATCCACCTGAGTTGCTCTCAGACGTTCGCTCTTCGCTCTTGCCAGTCTCGACATCGTCTTCGGAGCCTCTGAGTTCTACCACCGGCACATCAGTATTGATGTCCTTGACCTGGGGGAAGTACGTGTACGAAGCGGCCTTGGGTAGCTGGGCGCGCTGAGTTTCCTGGGGAGGCTGCGGGCCGACCTCTGACGCGGCTCTACTCCTGCCCCGAATGGCATTCGCGAGGGAGTAGTGGCCGCGCGGAGCCGGAGCAACGGCGATGGGCATGGCGACGGGAGTTGGATGCAACAGGGGGATGGAGTCGCAGTAAAGGGCCGGCTGTTATTTTTGGTCAACACACTTCGAGGTTTATGAGCTCATGGCGCTGAATTGGGACGGGTGCGGCGTTGTGCTGTCAGGCGGGCCGTTGTGCAGGCAGTGGCAGTGAACGGGCGAAAGTCCAGTAGGGTTGCGTGAAGGACGCGAAGACGTCACAAACGAGGCTGTGGTACCGGGAGCGAACGGAAGCCGCTCTTGGAGTGCGGGGATTGAGAAGTTTGTGCGAAAGCGAATGGTGTACTTGGACAAGAGGTAGTAGCGACTGGCAGGCCTTCAGGTTTGAGATTCAGCACTCGCTGACGCCGCTGGGGGCAGGTTAGAGCTATTACTTTGACGCTTCGCAGGCGGACGAACTGGGACTAGCAGGGGTCATATGCGCAGCTTTCGCCTGTGCAGATCGCGTCGGAGCGATAATTCTATATTAAAAACGGGCGTATTCTTGGTATCATTTGCCTTTCGTCTACTGACCCGCACCGCGCCGTTTCTTTACCTTTGGACGCTGGGTACGAGTTTTAGGGAGCCCGCCATCCACGGCCAGCATGACGCCTTTCGTCACACAGACAAAGTCCTGTGGCGATCCGGTGGTGTGCCAGCTATGCATCGCGTAGACATGGTCGGGACAGGCTGCGTCTACTGCGCAGTGGGCCCCCCGGCGAACGAACTTGTTTTTCCCTGACGTGAACTGCGAACACTGCAATCTCTCATGGCTGCAATCTCCTGGCCATGACCTGGGTATATTGCAAAACCCCCGCTTCTTACCGCCTCGTTTCAGTCCTGACGTCTTTCCATCATGACTAGAACAAGCACGAGGTGAGCAATGCTGGTCGACTATTCCAACGACTGGTGGACAGGTGCTAGTGCTTCAGGGTAAACCTCTCAACCAAAAAAAGTCCATCGTCCGCACCGCACTAGGACGTCGGTATGCAAAGCCGTAGATGCAGATAGGCGACCGTGCTTGCAGCTACTGCGACAGAGTCCAACCGCGATGCCTCTTCAGCCCCACGCGCATCCTGTGCTTTGTCCGAGGTTCCGAACATGAGAGCATTATCGGGACGGGACATGCCAGACAGACAACTGTGCAGACCGGCTTATCTGAGGGGCCACGGTCGCCGCAGTCGATGATGCAGTCGCGTGTGCATGTGTAGCGATCACCACTGCCAGCCGCGTACGATGGACGCTTCTCGGAACGATGTGCATCAGTCGGTCAGAAACGCGGCACGTCGTATGAGTGAAGGTGTGAAGTTGGGTGGGAATAGATGCGACAGAATAGTCACTTGTTACAGCGTTACAGGCTGGCACGTAAAAGTAAGCCAGCGCCTGCCAAAACCTCATCACGATCATGGCACCCCGCACATGCTTCACGTGTTTTACCCCCTCTCCTGAACATACGCCAGATCAACTGCCAAGGTGGGATGCTTGCTTCTCAAAACACGATGCGCATGCACAAAAAGTACATATTCCAACAACTGCGGACCCGTGTTAGCTCCCAGTCCATCACGACAAAGCACGGATGTTAGACCCTGAGCAGGCTAGTTGTATAACTTCCACGTCTCATGTACTTGTAGATCGCGGCCTGTATCGAGTCAAAAAGAATGCCCGTCCATGAGTAGTTTAGTTTGGGCACCTTTGTCCTGAGGCACCAAAGAACAGCTGTTTTAGATCGACGCACTCGTCCGTCTGGACCCAGCATCAATAGTCACGACTTGAACTGCTCAACATGCCACGGAACCAATGAATAGTCACAGTCAGTTTTGGATGCTCTGCACCCCCACGTTGATCGTATATCACGTCACGTGATTTACATATTCCGGACATGGCTGAGGTTCAGTTGGGTTCATCGCCCGATGGTATTGGCACAGTCGCTAGTATTTTAATACATGGCTTCCCTCACCCAGCAGCGCTCTAGTGAGTGGCTCCAGGGGTGGTGATGCTCTCGTCCTCCTCCTCGAACCAGTCCTCCTGGGGCAGCACAGCGTCGTCCTCGCCCTGAGCGCCCTCAACGTCGACTGCCTGTGTCTCGTATGCCTTGAGCTCGTTCGCGATGTCGGTCTCCTCGGGGGAAGCGGGGGCCTTGGGGACAGTGAACTTCTGGACGTGGCCCTCAGCGTCGCCGGCCTTGACTTCGGGAACCTTGTAGTTCTTGAGCTCGCGGAGGTACAGGTCCTGCACTAGGTCGGCTGGAGTACCAATTGGGTCAGTACGGTCCCATATGTGAGCGCTTGGGATGAATCACCTGATCGGACGGCCGAGGGAGTGATGAAAGTGCGGCGAGCGACAAAGGCAGGCTGCTGGCGGGCAACTCGGACAAGCGCCTGGCGCTGTGGCGGGTCAGTACGTGTCCAGATTCCAGCAGCAACAAAACCGTACCGAGGCCCTGATGGATTGCGCGATCATTGTGTAGGTGTGGTGAGGTGGGGAAGCTGGCAATGGGAGCTACAGTGAAGGTCGATGTTGGGGAAAAACCGTGGACCGCCGCAGCTTGAGCCGCGACCGCAAACAGCTTAGCGCGCGCCAAGTAGCAAATGGCCGCCTGCAGTTCCAACTATAACCTTGGCTCCGTCACGTCTTTCCTCCGCCCTGCAGCCTGTCTCATACCACCACACTCACTCGACCTGCTCCGCCCCAGAAGCAGTCTGCAAGTGTCGTCGGTCGACCGCGCGCAATAGCTAGAACCCAATACAAATCCGTAGCTGATCCCCAGACTGCTGCAACCATGTCGTACGCTCCCGATGGTCGCCTGCTGTCGCCTGGCGAGGTCTATGAAGCCGCGCCCGCGCCCGTGAAAGAAGACGAGTGGCAGGAGGACCTCAACGTTGCCATGATCTGCCCGGACTGCAAGGAGAATCCTCCGAATCTAGTTGAAGAGTTCAGCGCCGGCGACACCATTTGCGGTTCCTGCGGTCGCGTTCTCGCAGAGAGGACTATAGACACGCGCTCCGAGTGGCGCACTTTCTCCAACGACGGCAAGTACTTGCCTGCTTGTAGGAAATGCAAGTGAGACATATGCTAATGTTGCGCCTTGCATCTAGATCAAGGAAATGACGATCCCTCGCGTATCGGAGACGCCGCGAACCCGCTGCTCCATGGCTCTCAACTCCAGACAGAGATCGGTTTTGGCGATGGTGGTATGAGAGTCCGCGACTTGAGCCGCGCGCACAACAAGAGCAACCACGATAAAATCAACAAGGCCCTGCAGGCCGCATATGGACAGATCTCGGCCCTGTGCGACTCACAAAACATCAGTCGCCCGACTGCCGAGACAGCCAAGATGCTGTTCAAGATGACCGACGACGCCAAATTGTTCAAAGGCAAATCGCAAGACGCTATTATCGCCGGCTGCATCTTCATCGCGTGTAGGAAGCACGACCAGCAGCGCAGTTTCCGTGAGATCTTCAAGATGACCAACGTTAGCAAGAAGGAAGTTGGCCGTACATTCAAGGTTCTCGAAGCCTTCATACAAAAGTCGCAGAACAGCGGGCCCTCTGTCGCAGGAAACGGTGCTGTCATCGACACCGTCAACCTTCTCAACCAGAAAGGCGGCACCACAGCCACCAGCGCCGCGAGTCTCATGCCCCGTGCCTGCGCCAAACTTGCCCTTGGAACACAGGTACAGATGGTTGCAGAGGAATGCGCGGATCAGGTCGCTCATTACGGAGTCGCAGCTGGACGCTCGCCGCTGTCCATCGCTGGTGCCTGTCTCTACCTCGTCTCCCATCTCATGGGCCAGCCCAAGTCTCCGAAAGAGATTGGTCTCGCAGTCGAAGTCAGCGACGGAACCATCCGCACTGCATACAAGCTCATGCACTTGGAACAGGACAAGCTCATCAAGGAGGAATGGATCGCAAAGGGTGGCGACCGCTCCAGGATTCCGCAAGCATAGTTGTCTTGCGAGCCTTGAGGGTCGCGTTGGAAGTTTGACGTCTCATCAGAAGAATGGTTTTGCATTTACAAGGACAGCGCATTGCATGGTGTTTATGAACAGGGTTCGTAATTCTCTGGTATGGCTAAGGCTTGGGGTTTTCTTAATACGGTGGCATTGCTAGTACGTTTTTTTTTTCTCTTTCTCTTTCTCTCTCTCTCTCGCAGCCTCACTCAAATTGCTTTGGCAACAACACATGATACCCGATAGATAGGCACATATCGAAAAAATTGAAACGGCGTTGGTTTGGAAAGTACGTCGACATGTTGAGGTGAAAATGACTGTAAGCCACATATACTGGTCTTACAAGCATACAGCATAAGACCGACGATTCAACCCTCAGAGTTTGGTCAGAGGACCCTGGTGTAGACCCTGTTGACATTGCATTACGAGTACATAATCCCAATATCGCGATTTATCTTAATCTGCCCAACATTTTCGTCCGATAGCCATTCTTGCTCGTCCATCTTGAGTTCATGTTGTAATCAACGCTTTCAAATCTCCATGTATGTTACGCTGAGGAAGGGAGAGGGTCTTCCCCCACAAGAGCATACGTCTGTGCTGCATTACGAGCATACCTTATCAAGTACCAGTATGATGCTGTGATAGTCATTGTTGGGGCTTTGCTCATGATGCCACCCCTCAGTCTAACCTCCATAAATGTTTCCTCACCATTTTGAGAAAGAGGACAAGGCTGGTTCCAGTAAAGCAGTATCATTCCTAATAAATATCAAGAAAGCGCAAGCGGAGCTGACCCGGCGAAAGTGGTGTATCGTTCTTCCTATAAAACCGCATCTACTGCCTTCCATGGTTTTGTTCACGTTTCCGTCAAGCTTTCCTCGAGCCTACACTGGAGCTTACCGGGAGTACTTCCCTCACTCCCTAACCCGGCCCATCACGAGCTTTCTGAGCCGTAGGTCGCCAGCCACCAACTACTAAACATTCGCCATGGAGCCCATCATGCCCTCCCTCATCACTCTCTTCTGTCTTGTTTCGGTTTTCTTCGTCCCCGTCGTCTCTGGCCACAACATCGTAAAGTTCATAAACCACTGCCCCTACCCCCTCTTCTTCTGGCAAGTCGGCCCCCAAGACTCCGGTATCGATGGCAGCAACGCCTACCGAGAAATGGTTCCTGGCGGTGGTGGCTCGGTAATCCACGAGATGCGAAATACTGAAGCGCTAGGTGGGGGGTTGAGCCTCAAAATACGGGATCTGGATCACTATGCGGTGGCACCGGCGGGTATTATCCAAGTTGAGTACCATTTGGAGCCGAGCAAGGGATTCATGTGGTATGATCTCAGTGCTGTGGATTGTGACCTGAACGCTGGGCCTGAGAATGCGACGTATTGCCGTAAGTTGTCTTCTCTTCAACCTTGATAGTTGGCTGTGGACTAACGATGTTTGCAGCGCTTATTGAAGGTGGCATCAAGCTTTACGTTCCTGACGCGTACCTACATACTCCAGAAGGGCCGCAAGGCGAATGTCCGACAGGGAGTTGTAACAGCACCGGATGTACCGACGCTTATGAAAGGGAAGGTGGATATGCTGGTGAGCCAAGTTGGGTGTGCAAGGCTGGTGCTGATCTCTTCCTTGAGACATGTAAGTTGATGACGGATTGAAAGAAGTCTTCTGAGCGAACACTGACGAATAACCTCAGGCATCGAGAAAGCTGGCGAGAGGACCTTCTTCGGAAAGGACCCAAGTGCTTCCCTACCGGTCCACCAAGCCATCCCAGATCCCTTCGCCCAACCTGCTCCGCCGCCTCCAACTGTTCCCTATAAAGAGCTCAAGATCTCGCCCAATGGTGAATGTAGGTCTTCTGCTAAACCCCCTTTCCCTTCCCTCTTCAACATCTCACTGACGAAAGTCGAACAGGCGGACCTATCGAAGGTTACACTTGCACCGGCTCTCAACACGGCGTCTGCTGCAGCCAGTACGGGTACTGTGGCAACAGACCCGAATACTGCTATGCAGGATGTCAAACCGGCTTCGGATACTGCCTCGGAGAAAACGAGGCACATCCCCAAGTTGCGGGTCCCGAGCCTTTTGTGCTGTCCATCGTTAGTACTGCTACTGATATCAGTGTCGCTACGCGGACTACAACAGCGAGTACGTTTTTGACGGAGACGGAGACAGAGACCGTTGCTGCTGCTGCTGCGTTCACTTCTCTTCCTGTGTCGGCAAGATTGTCTCAAAAGATGTTCAAAAGATATCTGAGGAGAAATGCAGCGGCATATGCGAATATGTGAGGGGAAGAAATCCCTTCAAGCACCTGTTGAAGTCGAGGCATCAAAAACGAGACGGGTACAAAACGAATTGTACTGCTGTGTTCATCTCCATCACGACGCCAGGAAAGATCTGCTACGACAAAGATTATTTTGATATCCGTTATCCATCTTCATGACTGCCGATTCAGGTATGCACAACTACTGAGGCTGCAGAATCGGCGCTACGTGCTACTCATGGTCTGGTCTGGAACTATGGATGCCCGGCGAGAGTCTAGACATGGCTCTTGAAGTACTTCGCCGTGATGAAGATTGCGACACTTACGGTATCGACATTGCCAATTCCACTGTGGCCCAGATCTGCTACTTCGCGGCAACTTCGAGTTGTAGGACGAGGCATAGAAGAAGCGCTTTCATGGTCTTCATGACGCTACGCACGGTCGTTTTCGTAACCGGAGGAATGCACTCAGTACTCATAGTCAGTCCTCGTCAAATTGCCGTGGTGGTGGCTGTCATGGTTGGGCGCTTTTAGCCTGTGGTCTGTTCATAATGTTTAGTAGATAAATGGAATGAAAACTGTCACTAGAAACTATTGCTTCTTGGGATAATGAAGCCTTCGTAACAGGTGAAACTGTGCTTTCTACTGTAAAAGAGAATGGGTGCCTTGAGCTCAAACTGTAGCCCCAGCTGTGGCGCTCGTCGTTGGGTTGTGCACTCCAAGGTTGGTGGGCCGGACGACTGCAATGGCCTCTGGGTGCTTCGCTGGCCTTTGTGCAAGTTACCAGGCGGCGAGCGCATCGCCCCTAGCTCTCGGAATCTACAATAGGATGTGTGACTACCGAGAACCACGAAATAAAGCTGCGACGTCGGTGTTGGTGTTGACATGGACGCTGATGTGAGTGGGCCATGCACTAGCGCATCGGACCCCTGCTCGCCTAGCTAGCGCACATTGGAAATTTGCCCACCGACGGCCCTCACGCTCGCCCATCGCCAGCTTGACTCCATCCCCGAACGCCCAACCCAGCTCTTCCGTACACCGAACGAACCGACTCCCGTCGAAATTCACAATCGCACAAAATGGACTCTGCTAAGGCCCCCGTCAACCTCGTCAAGGTCACCCGTGTCCTTGGCCGAACCGGTACGCGAAATTTCCGAATCTCCCCACAAGAAGAAGAGAAAGAAGAAGAAAAAGGGCGCAGTCAAGGAATCGTGGAGGATGCAACGTTACTTGAGAGAATGGCAGGCTGACGGACATAATACAGGCTCCCGTGGTGGTGTCACCCAGTGCCGTGTCGAGTTCATGAACGACCAGACCCGTTCCATCATCCGCAACGTCAAGGGCCCAGGTACGCACTCTCTGCCTACCCCGCGCACCCTCCAAAATACTAACACATGCACCACAGTCCGCGAGAACGACATTCTCTGCCTCCTCGAATCCGAGCGTGAGGCCAGGCGTCTGCGATAAGCCCGCAAACAACTCTCGGGGAAAAAGGGAAAGCGGCATTTTCTACATTCGGTTACCGGAGTTCTTTGCGAAAGCTATGGGCATCTATACGGACTTCACGAGGATGGACAATATGATGGCGTAGTGTTTCTTGCTAGCGCTGCGGAAGCGGAGGATGGGGATGAGTTGATCTGTGGGAGATACGATTACGACGATATATCAAGAAGTCTGGGTTCTCTCCCTGAATGAATCGAAAATCTACCAACTCCCATTGAGTAGTGGATGTGGATGTGACATATGGAAGCCGCTGGCAGGACAAAACATGGGTGCTGACGTTATTGGATATGGACTGATCTGCTTCTAGGCACGCCTTGTGAGCCTTCGATCGGTTTATGATTTCGGAGATGCTCGAGACGTTCGTTCCGCCGACTACCACGCTATGCTTTGCCCCCGAACCAGCTAATAACCTTATCAAATGACACACGATACCACTGGACGAACTTGATGAAATATATGTTAGCCCTGCGGACATCTACTTATGGATTGTTAGGTCAAAAATGTCTCCAACCACAGGTACAATACTTATGGTACGACCCTACACACAGCAACTTGAATTCAATTTATTCGCTTCAGCCCTGAAGCGCCCTCGGATGCCGCTCTTGGATAGCGACAAGGGAATCATTGAGCTATAACTTCATGCTACAATACAACAGTTTTGCTCTCCACGGCTTCTTCGATACACCTTGCACGCAACAATCTACCATCTCAAGCCCAAGCACTGTTCGTACACCATATCATCTCCTAGAGGCACTTTCTTACTCCTTACAGCCGTAATTATACCTGTCGCCATGGCTAGAGCGCAGAGCGTCCTGTATCTAATGTCCCAATACGACGACGCTACGGGCTGTGATATCCTCCTATATTGCCTATCTGTTCTGCGAAGCCATCCGCGGAGATTCCAAAACGCATCTCCTACTCAATGGTGGACCCTCACTCTACGATCGCCGCTCGCAAAGGTCCAATTTATCGTCTTCTAGCTCCCCATTGTTCATGGTAGGAGGTTCCTCAAAGGTACTTTTGGGTTCGGCACCCGTGTTTCACTCCGGATTACCCTCCATGATCGATGATGGAGGTGCATTGATGCCCATTGACAACAGCACATCGATCATGCCATCGCTACAGCTTTCAGCTAGACGGAATAGGACAATCAGCTAGGTGGACCAACATCCAACCCGACCCGCGCCGTCACCGTTGCCGTCGTCCGAAGTCGATTTTGGAGGAGCACATACAACGCACGGCTCCAAAATCGCACCACTGTTTGCGCAAGAGTACTTAGACAGTGACCCCAGTAGCTCAACGCTTTCCCTCAACTCACCTTTCTCTTTTGACCTCCATCTTGCCATACAACTTCTTACAACCCAAACCACAATATCTGATCAACAGAGTGAGATCACCATGCTAACCAGTCCGCGCGACCTCTCTCCCTTCAAGGGAAAGCCCCTCTGGGAACCTGACGACGAGGAATGGGAAGACATAGACGCGATGCACATCTCTTCGACTTACAAAGCCTCCTTCAGAGACCCGGGACGATGTAGTCCGCAGAAGACAACAAATGCTAGCACACTGTTCCGCTTCAGTGGCACCATCACATCCTTCCTACCTTTCTCCCCTGCCAGACTCGCCGCAGAAGCCCGTCTGCGCGATGAAGAAGAGCTGCGAGACAGAATAGAGGAGCTGGACAACGCGTACTATTCCGACCCTGCCGGAGACGTCCACGATACTGTCGTGGCCTCCACATTTCTGTCTGGATCTCAATACTTTCGCCATGAACAAGCTGGAAGTTTTGCCCGCGCTCCACATGTCATCGATCTGGAACGGTATTTCAATACTCAAGACCCATTAGTTGGAGCTGCTTACCCGCGTCTTTGTAGTGCAGTCGCTACGATACTTAGTCACACGAACAGAGACTGTTTAGAAGCATTTCTTGATCCGCGAGTCGACGAATTTGTGTATCGGAGGGAAATGGACAGGAGTACTGCAGGAAATACTCTTGTAATTAGGAGGATGGGGAACAGTGTTGTTGTAAGTTTTTCTCTGTTGACAATTTCTCTTCCCGGTCCTACAAATACCATCTCGTCCATCATCATCACCGTAAGCACTGAGCTGACTAACGAGACAATCAGGCTGGTTCCTACCGTAACCTAGGCTTCTCGTTATCATGGACCTTGTACGTCAGAGCATCGTTCAGCGCCACAGGCCTCTGGTACGAAACCTTTGCGTCGCCCGTCGCGGGCTCAAGTCCCATTATAAACGGAGTACCAGCTTGGGATACCTTCATACCAATCAACGCGCCATTTTCTTTTCCCGTCTCCTCGCCGTTCCTCCCACCACCGTCATCATCCCAGTCGCAACAATCTACCCTGCCGTTGGAATCCTCGCCTCGGAAGATACTCTTAGCTAGTCCAACTTCACCTCCGCAGTGGACGCAGGGTCCGAAGAAAGACGATGAAAAAGAAGACGATACCATTAATCCGACAGACGAGAAGTTTGTGCTATACCAAAGCAGGGTGCTGGCAAGGTTCTTTCTGAGAGACATGTGGATTAGATTCGAGGGACGGTATGAGTGCAAGGCCACGTGGGAGGTTGATGGGGCAGTTAGCGAGGTGAGGCTAAGGAGGGCTGTCGTGGGGTTTCCTGGGGACAATGACGATGATGGATAAGTACAGATATGTTATGTCCTTGTATGAACTGCCTACAAGGCATACACCGAACTCGTACACTGGCACTTGAGGCAGGAATCTGGATGTTCCTGCCGGTAGAAGCCATCTGCTTCTTGCCTACAGCAGGAGCCTGGGAAGTCATGATAGTACCGGACGAGATGGGATTGTCAACAACAGAGATAATGGGTATTCAAAGCCTAAAAAGAAAGCAAATACGGAGCAACCACGCTATGCGACCCTAAAATTCCAGATCATACCGTGAACCCCTTTTCCCCACATAGTATCTTACTCCGAGTCACTGTCAATGACAAACCCTGCCCTTGTATTTCGTGGCGCTGCTCTTCGCGCCACGGGTGCATCATCCTCATCGTCATCCGTATCTGTCTCTGCCATTGCAGTATCCATAGCCTTAGCTGAACTACTCGCTGGTTTCCTAGGCGTATCCGTATCGCTCTCTGCCGTCATAGCATTGGCATTCTGACTCGAAAGCGGTGTATCTGTCGTTCCCTCTCCGACATCATCCTCGTCTTGATTATCCTCAGTCATAGATGCAGCTTGGCTACTCTCTGCATCCTCCATATCATCATCACTATCCTCAAACAGCGCTTTCTTCTTACTCCTCTTACTTTTCTTAATCGTCGCATCAGCCTTCCTCTTCTTCCCCACACTAACAGCCGGCTCCACGGTCCCCAACACCAGAGACTTTTTGAACACTTTCAGATTCTCTTCACGAATCGCCTGCTCTCTTGCAAAGAAGGCGGCATCCTTCTCAGCGTCCCAGTCCTCATCATCGGAGTCATGGACATACATCGTACTCAACGCTTTAGCTTGTTTCTCGATTTCCTTCTTGCGACGTGCTTCGGCTCGGCGGTCTTGTTCTTCTTCATCGAGCTCGACGGGAGTCTTCTGTCGGCGCCGTCGCTTCAGTGTTTTGCGAGGAACATCAGTGTCTGCGTCACGCGTAGTCGGTCCGCCTTTGGCGTATTCTCCGTGATCCTCATCTTCCAGATCGCGATCTATGCCATCAGAGTCATCGTCGAATTCGGCCCGGCGGGTAGACCGACGAGCTGCTGCGGCTTTGCTGCGGAGCATATCCTCTGGTGCTTTACCGTCTTCGTATGTCGGCGGGTCGAACTCAAACTTGCGAATGAGATCGATGGCTTCTTGTAGTTTTGTTGACGTGAGCGATGAAGGAATAATCCATGCAGCGTCCGGGTCATGGTGTTCTCCTAGTCTCTCAAAGCCGACTAAATTCATAAGTAGTCGTAGCTTGTTGTCTTTGAACATCGCTATACGGCGCTCTTCGGTGTCGTGCTTGATGACTAGATTTTGTTAGTAGACTTCTTTGTAGCAGCAGAGTGGGACTTACAAATAGATGGTGGCTTCGACGTTTCGGCATCTGGTTCGGCGACCGTCTCGCCCTCTGGACGCTCTTCTGCGTCAGTCACTAGAGCCTTTTGTGCTTCGGCTGCCTCTTCCCATGCCTTGCGCTCTTCAGCTGCTGATGTGAGTACGTCTCGTACCCAGCGGAGGTGGTCCGACTTTGACTGGTTTACAAGAACACCAACAGCGACACCAATCTGATCCGGTAGCTCCATACCAGGTTTGACTTCTAGCTCTGCTGGCGCTCGTGGCGCTCGGGTGTTTACCTCCTTATCGAAGCCGTGTTCAAGGAAGAAGATGGTTGCAGGGATCTTGCTGAACAGCATCTCTACTACCAGCTCCGGTCTCTCCTGTACTCTCTTTACGACTTGCCTAAAGAAGTGTTTGATAAAGTCATCCCACTCCCTGTATGCAGGAGACTCGGGGTCCAGGCCGCCTGGACCCTTCATCATCTTATTGAATAGCTGCAGGATGTCCACCCGGCACAATAGAACACCAAGCTCCATCTTGAAAGCTACGCGGTGGAAGAAGCGATGCGCGCGCTTCAGTTGTTCGGTATCCAGATCGTTGAAATACTTGGCAAACGCCACGAAAGTGTTGACACTGGCTTGGTTGACAAACTTTGCAGCAAATCTCGTGAAATCGAACTTGCGTTCTGAAACCGTCTTCTGTGCCTGCTGAAGGTCTTCAGTCTCGGAAGCGTTGCCCTCTTCCTCTCCGTCTCCGCCCTGCTTTTCAGCTTTCTTTTTCTTGATCTTTCGAGCTCGTCGCTTCGAGCGGATCTGCATATCCACGTTCTGCTTTGCATAGCGCTCAAGCATCCGCAAAAAGACATGAGAAAGCTCAGTGACCGCATCGAGATAGCCAAAGCCTTGATCCTTGTATGACCTTAGAATCATGACTATTCTATCATGTGTTGACTCTTCGTAGAAGATACGGTTCTGTATGTTCTCAGCAATCTCTTGGTCCTCTTCAAGTGCCGACTCGGACATTTCGTGCACGGTGAGCAAGATCTGGGTAAAACACTTCAGTCCGGCGTTCAGATCTCGCCATGCCTTCTCGTCTTGACTCTTTTGCATGAAGCGGTTGAGTAGAATGAACGTCTCCTGGTTCATGACTTCGGCTACTAGCCCGTAGCTCTCATCCTCAGCAGACAGAACTTCTGGGCTCTTGGGGTCTGCGGCCCTCTCCTTCATAGTCCGCCGCCGCGCGCACTCTGCTCTCAGGAACCACGATACGAGATAGAAGTACTGTCTAGAATGCCGTGTTTCCACACGTTCAGTCTCGCGCTCGATAGCTTTCCGTAAATGCAGGAATAGAGGATTGAAAGATGAGTCGAGAAACTCTTCAACAAAGGCTTTGATATGTTTCCGTGCAGAAGACGTCAGCGACACCGGCAGGTCGAACTCCTCTCTCTCTTCGCTACCATCCTGCTTGCGCCTTCCTTGTCGAGGTTTGTTCCACTTCTTCGTAGCATCCATCTTGTCCATGCTAGCCTGCGCCTTTCCTAGCACATCCTGCCCAGATATAGTCGTGACCTTTTCGTCATCCCGCTTCATCCATATCATTGTTCCGAATCGGTTGTGCCGGGTTGGTGCATGCCGAGCATAGCCTGCGAGCATAGCCTTCTCTTTTTGCATCAAGTCCTTGAGCTCATCTGTATTTTTGGCATTGAGCTTCTTGTCTTCCATGAAGAGTTTCTCAGCATCGATACCCTTTAATAGGAAGAACAAGATTTCCAGTATGACAACATCTTGTGTGACAAAGTCCTCTCCAATGCTGGAGGCGATACTCAGAATGACCTGGAATAGATCCTGTTCTTGGAAAGTATCAATCGTTGCAGATCGAGAGACTTCGGCTTCGTCAGTGTCCATATGTGCATCGTTGGGCGGTGCAAGCATGGCAATATTGCGTATGAAATATAGCGCGATCCGGATGATGCCTTCATCTCGTGGTGTTCGTTCGCGGAGGGGTACTGCCATTGAAGGAAGTGCAGTCTTGACGGCTGTCTGGAGGATTCTGTCTCGGTCGAATTGCAGGATAGCGCGCTTGTATCCAATCTGGGCGAGCCCGATGTAGGGGCCATGTCGATGGTGGTTTACGGTCGCTTCGGTTGGGTCGATTTCGTTGGGCCATGTCAAAGGCACAAGCAGTTCCACTGTAGTGGTCAGTACAGTCCAAGGACGTCAGCCATGCTTTCATACATGTCGCAACTGCAATCTTGTGTTTCCACGCGCTTTCTGTTACAGTCGGTGATATCTTGGCAAGTATCTCTAGTAAGTCGCCCTTTACGAGGTTTGCTTCGGCCATGCATCGTGCAACATCGCGTCGATTGTACTGCCCGTCGGCAAACTTTAGCCATTTCCGTAGGTCCTTGAGACACAGCAGGGCGTCGTGTCCGAGTGCATACGTGCCATCATCACCAATACCACCGAGCTGTGCACATGTCAGTGACGATTGCATTGGCAAAGCAGGATACATACAGCAGAAATTAGACTGGAGACGTGAGCGCGAACTTCTGGGTTCACAGTGTCCTGCGCCCAATCGTCCAGCGTCGTCTGAGGCATTGTTGTGGTTGATGCTCGGACTGCCCGCCGGTGTCGCGATAATTCAAAAGACGCGTCGACGCGTAAAGTGCCACATGCGAGACAAACCGCTCAAACCCGCCAAGCCCAGGCTGATCCTCGCTCCTTCCCGCCGCCAGTCAACGTCATGCCTCGGCTAGCCCGCGGCGGCTCTCATCGGCCTGGGGAAAGAAGTTCCCCATCACATGTTGTGTGTGCAACTCTCACAATCTGCTTGCAATCTTCCGAGCATATACTCACCATGTTTTCTGTAGCTTCAAGACAGGTCGCCCGATGCGCAGTGAGGCAGCAATGCCGTGCCTTCAGCTCGACCCCCTCTGTGGGGGCTGCTGCTGAGGTCAAGAAACTGGGCGTCATTGGAGCAGGTCAAATGGTGTGCAACACTCAACCCGATCATACAGGCGAGCCTTCGGAGCTGACCTTTTTAGGGCCTTGGAATAGCTCTCGTAGCAGCACAGAAAGCCTCTGTACCAGTCCGGTTAATTGACAATTCCCAAGCATCAATCGACAAGGGCCTAAAGTTCGCGGACAAGCTTCTCGAAAAGGATGTCGGAAAGGGCAGGATCTCCAAAGATGATGCCGTCGCAGCAAGAGAGCGATTAACGTCTAGCACCTCAATGGACGACCTCTCAGACGTCGACTTCGTAATCGAGGCGGTACCAGAGATCCCAGACCTCAAACACAAGATCTTCTCCCAACTCGCACAAATCTGCCCATCACACGCTATCCTAGCCACCAACACCTCTTCCATCTCGATTACCAAGATCGCAGCAAGTACAACCACCGACCCAACCGATCTCTCGGCCTCATCGCGTGTCATCAGCACACACTTTATGAACCCGGTCCCCATTCAAAAAGGCGTAGAAATCATCACTGGCCTCCAGACCTCACAAGACACCGTCGATACCGCAATTGCTTTCTGTGAGAGGATGGGCAAGATCGCTTCCAAGTCCGCCGATAGCCCAGGTTTCCTCGCGAACCGCATTCTTATGCCGTACATCAACGAGGCCGTCATCTGCTTAGAGACCGGCGTAGGTGCCAAGGAGGATATTGATAGTATTATGAAGAACGGCACGAACGTACCTATGGGCCCGCTTCAATTGGCGGATTTCATTGGTATCGACACGTGTTTGGCCATCATGCAGGTTTTGTATCATGATACGGGTGACTCCAAGTACAGACCCGCTGTGCTGTTGAAGAAGATGGTGGATGCAGGGTGGTTGGGAAAGAAGAGTGGGAAAGGGTTTTATAACTACTAGGAGAGTGGCAGCCCAAACATTAGCATTAACAAATAGCAACCCATTTCGCTAAAGCACGCCCCGAACATCCTCGCAATAATTTTCTCTGACAACCCGGAGCGGGTCATGTAGCCTATAGCCCGTCACCAGAACTCCAGTATCGACCCATTGTGACAACACAACTACTCCCGAGCCCAGTTCTCTTTCCCCCATACCCGCTCACTCAAAGCTAGCATCCATAGGCTTGTCGGCTCACCACTCCCATCATACAACTCTACATCTAAATGCCCTTTTGTATCACCAATATTCACACTGGATGGTCTAAGAAGTTGTATATATATAGAGATTATTTGAGGATTCAGTCATCGAACTACGACTGCAGCGTAGTTCGGTCCCCCGCAATCGCCAGCAATGGCCCCCCGCAGCCTACCCCAGCAATGGGCCCCCTTCTTTTTGGACTGAGTTCGACTCACGATGTCCACCTTATTTTTCTCTTCCTTTTTGTCTTTCTCTGCCTAAGTTAGTTAAGGATTGATCGAACGCATAGAAGTGGAGTATTTGTATAACAGTACCACAGTTGGGTCGTCCAATTTCACGTCTAGTTTACCTCCTGCCCTACCAAAGTTTCGCATCCCCAAGCGTCCTATATAACACACCATTGGCAGCAAAGTTTGGACTTCTTCCCTGCGTCCCGAAGTACATCACATGCTGAGCAGACCACGCGAAGGGACCAGTCTTTGTCAAGAAGATGCGATTGATCACTGGCTAGGCATTTCACACTGAAAAATTCCATAGCGAGATTTCTCAGATAGTCTCATCAGTTTCCACGTTTCTCTCTCTCTCTCTCTCTCTCACACACACACACACACCCCATTAAAACATCCAAAACCTCAGCGCCCTGTCTAATAAACGTTGCTAACAATAAGACCAAGAGTCCACCTCCGTGTCTCGACTAGCCATCTCCAACACAACCTCTCATTCACACGGCAAATCTGACTTGGTAAACCGGCCTGTATTCGTTTTCCTCCACTCGGGCAAGTTGTTCGGTACGCCTTTCCTCTCATTCGCAAGGTCGTCCCATTCAAGGCCTGATATCATCATCCCCATGCGCTCCCGACCCACTCGATTTTTCTCGTTGGACGAGAAGCAAGACCATGCTAGTCTGATGGCGTAGTCGCTCTCTGTGATGCTTTTGTTTTGCTTTAACATCTCATTCTGCCTCTCGTCGCGCCTAGTTTGTGTCGCTAGTCGGATTCTTTTGGTGTCGTCTGCATTTTTGGTAGGATCTGGGACTGAGAGGCTTTCTAGCAGTTTGTCGACGCGGGCAGATCTTGCGATGGGTGGTCTTATGATGGGTAGTTTTGATAGCGGCGTAGGATCGTTTGTAGTGTAGTGTCTCGTGAGCTTCATTTTGTTTGGGTCCTTGATCTCCTCCCTTTTCTTTGGGAAGGGCCGTTTGAGTTTGTGTTCCCGTCGCTCTGCGGTAGCTGCTCGCGTCTTGGGTGTTTTGTCCTCCTCTTTGGAAATCTCTTTTCCTGGTATTTCGAGCGAGAGACACGGCTTTTTGTTCGAACGCATGCTTATGGGTTGTGCTCCCGCTTCTTCGGAAGTGCGTTTGAGTGAAGTAGACATTGCAGTAGCTTTTCTGATGTCGTAGAGTTTGTTTTGAGTGATCTGTTTCGTGTATTTGCTTGAGAACTTGATGATCGCGGTTTGGAGAGAAGATGTGATGAGATTAGGAGAAAGATCGTTTTGGGAGGGAATATATGCCAGGTAAGTGGAGTTTTCATCGTAGCGGGGTGTTGTATTACTGGAGTACCAGAGTAATGAGGCCTTGGGATTAAAGTCAGTGCAGATGTCTTCAGTGCCGTGGACGAGGTTAGCGCATGAGGTAAGAATCCATCATCGGAAATGGCCTTCACACAGCTAGACCTTATCAAAAAAAGTCTTGTACGGATAATCAGACCCAAAGATACTCTCGGTGTTCCACGGAAAGCTCAAAGCCTTGCGTACGGTGGATTATCTCAAGATCAAGTGTCCTTGGATCTTTATGGCTTGATATACTGCAGTGAAAGATGCCTCAAAGATATGAACGATGATCCGACATCTTGAACAACCGGCCTTACATGCTTGTGGTTCTCTTGGCTAATACGAGAAATATGTTCTTCTTCTCACGTCTGAGTGCAACAATACCTTGGTTAAGCCCACTCCAGGGACTGTAATACCAACGCACACAATAGACGAGCCACTCATAATTCCAGCAACCCACACCATGTTGCCGCACGCGGATAGCCGAGTCTCTCACCCCTAGTCCTCCTCGCTCTCATCCTCATCTCTGGCCACCTCGCACCCACAAGGCCAAAGGTGAGATACCGCGTATCCAGGATACTTCTTCGTGAAATCACCATACCATCTATGCCATTGGTTCCATGCCTTCTTCATCTCAGCTGTAACCGTGGCTGGGTAGTGTGAAAACTGTTGGTAGATTGTGCCGTGGAAGTTCTTGTATTCGTCCCACTTGAGTTGGTCTTCTGGTTCGATCTGATGGCCTACACCTGTGCGGCGGTCGGGGTCGTCTTGAAAATCGCCGTTGCGACCATGTAATCCGTTCTTCAAGTATGGAATGGGAGGTGGAGAAATTGCTGAAGGGGGGCTGAGAGCATTGTGGGGTACTGGGGGCATTAGTGGGGCGTAGTGCTGGCAGCAAGCGTAGTAGATAGCCAAGAAGAGAGTATGTATTGACCACTCCAGGAGGTACTCAGATTACTATCAGATAGTTTGAGATATCTAATAGTACCTTAAGTCTACTAGGAGTTGGTAAAGAAGTTCTGTAACTTACTTGTTGTCTCAAAGAGGTATGTCACGGGCCCGCGAAACGTCTCATGAGAAGTAGCAGTCAACACACGATCTTCATCATCGCCCCGGACTATCATCGAAGAGCGGTCGGGATCAGATGGATTCATGCCAGTGCTGTTGAAGAAAGGGTTCTGAGGGTATGTATCATGATCTCTGTCGTTATACGCGGCTGTTTGCGCGTTCGTTTGCGAGGGCGTTGGTATAACGTCGTCGAACGGCTTGTCTATCGAGCGTTTCTTACCCAAATTCTCAATATCTTCAGTGCTCAGGTTTGTTGTTATATCACGCTTCTGTAACTTCGCGGGTGGTTGATCGTCCCGTGACCTACCAGGTGCGCTCCTCTTCCGCTGACGGGGCTGAACGAATGTATCATCGCCTTTGGTCGAGGTTGGCGGAGAATCTCCTTGGCTGTTGAAGGCGGGAGTTGTAGCGGTATGCTTCTTAGTATTTGGGCTAGAAGATGTTGTGGTAGTGGATGCTAGGAAGGAAGCGACATCATCGGATTGCTCGACCTTTTCTTGATCATCTGCAACTAAGATTGTAAGTACATCTGCTCGCAGTGAGCAGGGTAGGTATGAACCTACAAGACAGTTCCGATTTCGGATTGCGTCCAAGAGCAAGTGTTTCCTTCTCTTCAATCCAGTTTGCAAGCATCGTCTTTGCTAGTCCCTTATTCTTTAGCTCTTGTCTCTTATCTGTACCTGCATACTGCCCAACGATATCGAGTAGCTCGTCTGTGTTGTATTTGAGAAGAGTCTTGGACAAGCGAGCGTTGGGTCTCTTCTTGTTACCCAGGCCGTTTTGACTATAGAGCGGAATCTTCAAGCCATTCGCCTCATAGAACATGGATGCGGAAGCCTGCGTCAAGGTGGGAGTTGTAGGCGATGTTGGACTTACCGGGGTCTTTGACCTTGCCTTCGTTGGTTCCATGGTCGTCTTCGTCGGCTTTATGGGACCGCTCGCGCGGGTTTCAGTCGCCTTCTTCCTACCCTTGCCTTTGCTCTTGCCTTGAGAGGCCGCAGCCATCGCGCATGCGGCTTCGTCGGTGTCGATAATGTTAGTATGATCCATGTTGACACTGAGCTTGATAGCAGATTCTGTGAACGAGCAAAGACTTGGAGGAGATGCAATAGGCAGCTAACGAAAGTGACTTTGATTGAAGGGTGGAAAGTTTCGTTTGTCTTGGACATTGTTCACAACGGAGTGAAGGCGCGAATGCACCGCAGCAAAATCGATTCGCGCACAATAACCTTCCCCTTTCGGACGACTACACATTCGTATCGAGTACGCAGACTGCTCCTGACCATACCGATGAGCAAATTCTCTTCCGAATAATCGGCGGTACCATATACAACTAGGCCAAACCAAGAGGCCTTATGTAGGCTGTCCAAACACCAAGTGGTTGATGTACACAATCAAACAATAGACCAAGAAGTTGAAAACGCTTACAAAGAGTGCGCGCTAACGGTTTTCGATGCTTCAAGAACCAAAGAAAATCTTACGAAACATGCAAGCCGTCTACGCGACAGCTGTGTAGTGGTTTCCATGGCTTTCGTGGCTTGCTGCTCTTTCTTCCCGATGTTGTAGCGGAACAATGTCATTATGAAGTGAAAGAGACAATGAGATGAACTGGAAATAAGTGACATGACTGAGAAGAAAACCAACATCATGATACTTGCAGATAGGTAATTCAAAGACATGCTCATGTCGTACTTCCAAAAGACAAGCTATATAAGAGTACCATGTACCTGACTTCGTGAATGATGGCTCATGATTCAATGAAATAGCATATAGAGCCCGAGTGTCGAGATATTCGAGCGTCAGTGAATGTTGTAATTAAAAGTCGCAATCTGACGTTTGGACGTCTCGCGTTGAAGTGTCGAAGTCGGAAAGAAAGTGCGGTCGCCGTGCCACGTGAGACGAGGCGGAACCGACCGCCGATCTAAAGGAGCCGAGGCATACCCGCCTCCAGCTTTCGGATCGTCATTTCGCGACTCTCCAGTTCCATCATCAATCGACAGCTCGCGCGTGCTACCGGCATTGCGTAACGTGTAGTCAAGATGGTGCGCGAGGATATCATACAGTCTGCTGTATCCTGTAAGTTGATGCGTGCTGCGCTCCACGCTACGCGACGATACTAATCATTCTCGTCAGTCCTCCAAGACCCGTCGGTTGCCAGCGCGCCCCTTGAGAAGCGCATCGCTTTTCTCCAGTCCAAGAACCTCACGCAAGAAGAAGTCGATGTCTCGCTCGCGCGTGCAGCCGAAGACCCCAGCCTACCTTCATCACCTCCACCCCAAACATCCGCAGTAGCCAGCAATACGTACAGACCACCACCTGCAGCCCCGTATGCGAGCTATCCTCCCCAAGGGTACTGGCAACCGCCGCCTCCTCCACCAGAGTAAGCTCGCATGTCCCAGATATTCGAAGTTGATGCTGACTACGTAGACCCCCGAAACGTGACTGGCGAGACTACTTCATCATGGCGACGGTAATGGGCGGTGTAGGGTACGGTCTATACTTCACAGCGAAACGATACGTCCTACCCCTCATACAACCACCTACGCAACCACAACTGGATCAAGACAAGGCTTCTGTCGACGAACAGTTCAAGCGCGCATTCGATCTCCTCGAGCAACTCAACACCGACACATCCGCTCTCAAGGCTTCGGAAGAGGCACGGACACACAGACTCGACGACGCGCTGGGCGAGGTGGAGAGCGTTCTGTCTAGTCTAAAGGAGTCATCGAGAAGACAGGGCGACGACAACAGACGCATTGAGGACGACGTCCGAGGCCTGAGGGACTTGATCCCGAAGGCGCTTGACTCCCAGAAGGAGGCGACCGACAACAGGCTGAAGGAGCTGTCCACTGAGCTCAAGAGCCTGAAGACATTGATCGGAAACAGGATGGGATCCGGCGCACCACCGCCACGCCCACAGAGCACCTCAAGCTACTACGGCACCAGCACACCTGCTGCCTCGGCATCAACTCCCCAGCCATCGTCTACCCCCGCGCCCAGCGAGCAGACCAACGGCACGAGCTCGACCGAGAACCAGTCCAATGGTGCTACAACAACCGCGCCTAGCTCCATTCCCACTCCTAGCACAGAGAAGCCGCTCCCTGCTTACGGTAGGCCGTCTCCGGGACGCGCCGCTATCCCAGCATGGCAGATGGCCGCCGCGAAGAAGACTGAGGAGGCGAAGAAGGATACCAGCGAGAGCGGGACTGTGGCGGAGGCCGGTGCCAGTGCGTAGAATGGTCACGGCTGTGTTATCTGATAGTCTTTCTGCATCTTTGGCGTGGTCATTCTATATGTGTATTAGGGATAAACTCATGGTTAACTTTGAAATGCAATTCTAGGTACTATCTAATAGGGGTTTTCACTCCTTCCATAAGTGATTTGCACCAGCGCCGCTGCCACGCGTACGCTAAACAGCGCTAGTGGGAACAAGCAGCGATGACGAGCATTGTTATCTCATATCTGAGACCATCTTCACGCCCTTCGTACTGTTGATACTTTGCCAGATAAATCTGCCACCTACCATGTATTGCTCTCGCGATGCTCTCTCCGCTCCCAGCCCACGATCAGTTCTCCAGCTATTGGATACGAGTACAGTATTATGGACAAACAGGACGTGAAGGAGGGCACTGTGGAATAATCTAGCTTTCCATGCGAGTGGTACAACAAAGTAGATAGGTGAAATATTCGGGGTTCATGCCTGGCGCTTACCGACCAGCTTTACTTTTCCCTGGCCAAGGCTGGCCTGTGTCTCAGGGACAGCTCAGACGTCTGATAGATCTTTCGTCATTCTAGTATTTTGTAAGGGGGGTGACATCGAGTCAAGCAAAGTTCCGAGGTTATGCGAGGTAGCTCGGAACGTTCCGAAAATCTTCATGAGCAAAAAGAGAAGATTGTTTTAGACAAACCGTATCGCATCGTGTCCTACTGTTCGAAAAGACACAGAAGCAAGCAAAAAGAATGCTGTCAGCGGTGGGATTCGACTGATGAGTTTGTTAGCAACATGCTCGTAACGAGCGATGTAGTCTTGGAACTTACACCCACGCAGGTTGCCCTATGAGAAACCTCTTGAGAGTGTGTCTTCCAAAGAAGACAAGCTTTCGCTTGAGTCACACGCCATAACCACTATCCATCGTCAGCAATTGCGATCTGAAACTTCATGCTGGTAACATACCTCGGCCACGCTGACGGAAGGTGATTCGATTCCAGTATCAGTAAAAGAATTCTTCATATTCCAAGGATGCAGGCTCGTTAAGCGCACCCACGAAGGTCGCTCAACCTTTGAGACGTGCCCCGCCCACTGTCCCACTTGCTATCCCACATAGAGCGGCGTCTCGAACATGAGAGACTCGACTATCCAGGTGTTTCTGACTGTAAGCGATTTGTTAGTAAAGACGCCAGAGGATAAAAACTTGGCGCCATTTGTTCTCAGTGTTGTGCTCCTCAACAAGCAGGTTGAACAATTGGGCGTCGGCAACATGCTCGTATGCCCTAAACAGCAGTGCAGTGGGCAACGGCATTATGGCCCTCGTCGATCGAGAAGACTTGTACACGCGTTGCCAGATGGCGTTGTCCATCGTTCTGGGTAGTCGGAATGGCTTCCGGGCCAACGTCGTGATGTCGTGACGTCGCGATCTCGCGTTTCGCGTCAATGCTCCTAACCTAACGTCGACCCGTCAACCCAGCCACCGCAAAACAAACTTCCAGGTCCCCCAGCCCCAACGTCATCGACATCTTACAGAATCCGATATCTCATGCACGATCGATCTCGCCAATCTCCCTGCCCAAACAAAAGGCTCCACACTCCCCTGGCGCTACGCTCGTGTTGACGTCGACTGTCACCTTCTTTTGGCTACAGGTGCGTTGCTAGCTTTGGCTTAATGGGGCTTCTTGTTGTCCCTTGCATGGCGGGTGCTTAGATGCCGTGCGTTTGCAAAAGGATGACGCAGTTTCAGGGTGTCGTATCGCACCCCGTCCCTGCATCGCTCACATCTGTATGGCTTCACACAGCTCAATGGCACACCAAAGATGCTGGCGCACAGCCGCTTAATAGTTAAGAGAAGGGATACTGGATGGCTGCCGTGGATCATCCAAATCTACTTGTATTACCGCCATCGTATGACGCAGCGACTTGTAGACTTGTCATTGCATCGCACCTTTCTGACAAGCGATCATCATCTCCCGCCTCTAGTAAGGAATCCCGTTTGCCGGATCGACATGCTTATCCACTTACAGTACACATCAATCTCATGCTGGTATGGCGCATTGTGGAGGTCAGTATCGGATTCTCGACTATGCTGTCATAATCGTGATCGTAGCATGGGATCTAGATTGCGAACCGTGCCCCTTGTTGTTTCCAACCATCTTGTTGCATCAGAGGCTTGAGAAGACTACATGACGTATCGCTTCTCTGTATGACAGAAATTCCTACATAAAGAGGTGATGCCACGCAACTTGCTCTACATCAACACATCACATCATCAAATCATCACAACTACTTTCATCCTTATACATCTCCACCAACTCCATATTCATCCCTGAATAATATCCACACCAACATCACCACAATGAGCTCCAGCGACATCCCCAGCGGCAACGCCATGGACAACGACTACAAGTCCCGTACCGGCCAGTCCGAGATCCCCGTTCAGGCCGATGAGGCGCCCGTAGAGGCGACCGAGTACACCAACGGTGGTGACTCTGATGCGCAGCTCGGTATGTATCTACAACACAAACAGTCTCCACAGTCCTAACATATTTCAGAGCGCGATGAGAAGGACGCTATCGATGAGAGCAACATCATTGACGAGCGTACACGTGGCGCTACTAAGCAGTCTGGCACATACGCCGAGCCTGGTGATGAGGAGGGTCTTGGTGCTGCTGCTGACGGTTCTGATGGTACTTCTGCTACACGATAGAGTGTGATACCCAGCATAACAGAAGAGGATCTTGATAGCGTGGAGTAATGAATTTGATATCCTATCTACTTAAGAGTTTCCACTTGTCCTCGCGCGTCACTTTTCTTGCAGAATTTGTGAACATTCTGACGC